CCAAATCATCTTGATGACAGACTTTGTTTCAGGCATTTCAGAATGATCAAACCAACATTTGAGATGCTGTGCGATGAGATTGGTCTGCTGGCTAGTCCAGTGATCCAATCATATCCTCTGTTGAGGCAAAGTCACATGAGTTTTTGTTGAGCATCAAGGGGTTTATTCAGTAAATGTGGTTTCATCTTAGTTTATGTGCATGTCTCCCCATGTAAGGTTTTTTGCACATTTTTAGAATTTATGCACATCTTGGTGTTACCATCCAGTATTTTTTTTAATGTGATAATCCAAATTTCGCATAAAAATAGGTTAATGGAAACATAGCTTATGATATTCTGTCCCTATATAGTCCCTCCTGTAAATTCAAATAATGTTTCTTCCAGAGATTTCTTTTCCATTTTCTAATAGCAAACATTTACTCAATAACCTGCACAATTTGAGATATCATTCATATCTGTATATCACAAGAGGTATATAGAGGTCTGTTTAAATCTCTAATTCCAAGTAATAGTGATGGTGATGCTTGCACCACTAATGATAGACTGGATTGACTTTTGGTACCTTTGTAAGGCTCCTGACTCAATTTAGTAGATCTGGACTCTGTGAACGTCTCCAAACGATACTGAGAACAGAAGCAGAGCAAAAAGACAGACCTCAGATTGATATTGCTAACCACATTCGGTTCTATAAAGCCAAAACAACAACAGATTTATGTATGTCTACTAATAATACACAGAATGATGGTAATCACTTAGCTCAAAATGGAAATTATTCACGTCTCACCCTGTAGGTGGTAAAGGACTCCATGTTGGTAATAACTCCATCTCTGACGGGGCCAGAACTATAGCAGCACTTGCTGGAGACGTAATCTTCAAAAGCTTCACGTGCTCTCTCCTCTGAGATGGAAGGAATGTTGTCGCTAACAAGAAAATATTAATAGACATGAATGTTGAATTACATGCATTATGAACATGCAACAGGAGTCAGTTTAAGAAATGAAGACATCAGAAAGAAACACAGAGAACTCTGGTTATGATTAGTTTCTTTGCATGGAGTAGCCTACTTTTGAATCCATAAAAAGTACTTTAAAGGGATAGTTCACCCCAAAATGAAAATTCTGTCAGTAATGACTCACCCTCATGTTGTTCCAACCCCGTAAGACTTTCGTTCATCTTCGGAACACAAATTAAGATATTTTTTATTAAATCTGAGAGCTGGATCACTCCTCCATAGGCTTCTTAAGGGATCGAAACTGGCCGGCCCAAAAGTTATTAAAGACATCGTTAAAATAGTCCGAGTGACTACAGTGGCTCAACCTTAAGTTTATCAAGCGACGAGAATACTTTTTGTGCGCAAAAAACAAACAAAAATAACGACTTTATTCAACTATTCATTTCCTTCTCTGTGGGCCTCGAGATAGTTCACGTAGTGTAACAGCGCAACACTTCTAGGTTGCACATCACACGTAGGCTCACTATTGGCCAACGCAGGTCATGTGTGTGATGCGTGTGATGTACAACCTAGAAGTTTTGCGCAGTTACACTACATGAACTCACTCGAGGCCCACAGAGAAGGAAATGAATAGTTGAATAAAGGCGTTATTTTTGTTTGTTTTTTGCGCACAAAAAGTATTCTCGTCGCTTGATAAACTTAAGGTTGAGCCACTGTAGTCACTCGGACTATTTTAACGATGTCTTTAATAACTTTTGGGCCGGCCAGTTTCGATCCCTTAAGAAGCCTATGGAGGAGTGATCCAGCTCTCAGATTTAATAAAAAATATCTTAATTTGTTAATATTTTAACACTGTTGTCGTCTGTAGAGCTACTTATAGCTGAAATTAATTTCCCCCATAATTGATTATTTGCAGCATTAGGGCTGGTTTACAAGAAACACGTTTTTGATGTAAAAAAAGAGAAAAAACCTAGAAGCAGGTCAGTGGAAAGAAAAAAGCGAAGGTCTAGTCTAGAGACACATTGACCTACTTTTAACTTAAGCGCCCCTTTTGTAGAATGCCACATCATGCACTAGACACGAGCGCAACGGTTGCATTATATGGTCCCTGCGCGTTTACATGAAAAAACTACGGAAAAGTAGCGCAGTGTAATGTAAAAACCTAAAACACGTTCTGTGTGAACAGCCCCAATGTTATTTTTCTGTTTATTAATGTGAAGCTGCATTGAAAGCAATATATTTATGAATGTGACTTCACTTAAGCTACAGAGAAAAAAAACGTACTGCCATTCTGGATGGCTGGAGACTTCAGGCACAGGCATCGGCACAGAGGGCATTGGAGGAGGAAGATACACACCTGTGACAAGAGGAACACATCAGAGACATTCATAAGAGACCAGTGGTTATAATTTAGCAACACATTCAACATCCACGTTCTGTTACTTAATGCAGAAATCTAAAAGCTATACAAATGCAACCATGAAAGTCAGCACATCATCCGCTTATAAATGCTTTTCTTCCATTTCCGATTGTTTCACCCATAAAAGCATGATTAGATGAAAAACAAAGTTTGCATCTAATTGGATCCATAGGTAATGACCTAATAATTAATAATTTATTCAAATAGCATATAGGCCTAGACTACCTTTCAAACATTTGGGTCATTATAATTAAAATAATAATAATAATACATTTATTCAGCAAAAATGTATGAAATGGATCAAGAGTAAGAGTTTTACATTGTTACAAAATATTTCAATCTCAAATAAATGCTGTTCTTCTGTTCACCAAAGAATATGATAACAAAAATATGAAGCGGCACAACTGTTTTTAACATTGATAATAATAAGAAATGTTTCTTGAGCAGCAAATCAGCATATTAGAATGATTTCTGAAGGATCATGTGACACATGCTGAAAATTCAGCTTTGCATCACAGGAATAAATTACAGTTGTTTGGAATTGTAATAATTTCACAATTTTTGATCAAATAAATGCAGTCTTGATGAGCGGAAAAGACTAATTTCAAAAACATAAATCTTATCAAGCCCCAATTTCTGAATGTTATGCCACTTCTATGTCCTGTATCTTAAAAAATATGATATATGATAGGAGCTCTTTTAATTATTGCAATAATAATGATATATGATATAATAATTACCTACAAATTGAATAATATATAGTAAAAAATGAAAGCAATTAATATTTTTTTTGTGCTTCTTACCACCTTCGCCGCCCGAAGTTCCTTCATATCCCGGGATGCTGTCAAACATGCTTGCAACAAATAAATTACAACAAATTAAGGCAACTTGCTTAACATCATGAATTATATTGCAACTTGATTTCAGATAATCAATAGCAAACATTAAGTTTAATTTGAATGATTTATTGAAGTTCCCTCATTAGATATGCAACAGCTGAACATAAGCACATTCAGAAATAGGAACCTTTTTGCATATGCTAAATATAATTATTTATATAGCAATTAATTAACACATCATTCATTACATACTATAATTTATTTATATATTATAAGCCAAATAAGCTTTTTTTTCAAAACATAGAAATAATCAAAGACTTACCTTTTTTATTTGTCAGAGCTGCAGCACAAATCAGACTAGAGGGATACAGATTATATAGCTTTACAGAAGCATAATCTGACGCTTATGAGTTATGATTGGAGGAGAAAGATGCTTCTGAGTGGTGTAGTCTAATGGTTAAAAAATTGAGTTGGTGGTTTAAAGCCCACCTCCATGACCACTGTTCCCTTCAGCAACATTAACAAACTGGTTCAGAAGAACTTAGTTTTATTTTAATATGAAAAAAAAAAAAAATACAACCAAATGGAAAAACTGATCACGATGGTAATTTCAAATAAAACAACCATTTACAGTTAATACACCACAACTTTATGAAATTAAGGTCTGTGAGTGCAATGTAGATTTTTAATTTAATCTGATTTACATTAAACAAATTTGCTGATCTATGCAAATAATGCAAGCTGTCATAAAAGAAGTGAAACTAAATAATTCTGAATAAATGGTGCATGAAAGTTGAAAGGAAAGGAAATTGCAAAAAATCATATTAATTAAATGCCTGTTAGCTTTGTTTTGTTCCTGGTCATTTTGAGACCACAACCGCAGCTTTCTCTCTGACACATTTGTAGAGACAATGGATGAGCACAGAAGTCGCATATAGCACAAAATATATGATGGCAGTGAAATGGATGGTGATGGATGTATTGGTAGTTAATAAAACAGGGAAAAAAAAAAGAAAAAAAAAGAAATGTACGATAATAAGTGTTAAGTCAGTGTAATATTTATATAATAGAAAAGCTATAGCTGTCATTTTTTTGTTGCTCTTTAGTTTCTAAAAAAAAAAAGGTTTTCAGTACATCCGTCAGCTTTGGTTTGTGGTCATTTTATATAGAAATTTGGTACAAGATCACCAATGAGGAAGTCTTTATGACCACATAACCACAGGCTTTCCACTGTGTATGCAGATAAAAATGGCTCATTCTAAGGTAAAGAAACACAACGGTTCAGAACTTTATACACCACTGAAAATATAGTATATAATATAATACTACGGTAGTTATGTATACGATATTGCATTTCTGGCAACAGATCCTCCTAAATATTACACACTGCACCTTTAAAAACCTTTTCCATTAAACAGTATGGCCAACATACCACATGCAAACTGCAAAAAGGTTTCTGAAACCATAGTAAATGTCTGCAAAACAATTTAAATCATCCACATTATTAGTTCTCGAGTTTGATTTTAATATATTTGGAACCATTAAGAAAATAACAGATCAATCATAGTGTAACATCTATCACTTAACTGTCACTTCTTAGCTTACACACAGTAAGTGTGAGTGCATGTCTACTACAACAGAGAATAAGATGAAAATGTGTGATTATGAATTTCATAGAGTCACATTTTATATTTTTTTAGGCGAACCAAAAATGTATTAACAAAATTTCATTAAAAACAATTATTTAATCATCAATGTCCAGTAATACGAATCAATTATGACACAGTAAAAAAAAAATCTCACAGTTTATTATATTGTTATTATTTATAATGATATAAAAAGTGTATTAATCTAAGAGAGGTTTAGTAATTGACATTTGGTCATATTGAATCACATGATGATTACTTCTGTCTGTCAAGTATTGATGTATATTTTGCCTATACGTCAGAACCATTACATTTGTTCATCTTAATGGATATACAGTATTTATACTGCACTTCTACTGTATGTCAGGTCAGGTGTATTTGATGTTACATCACAGAACAGCAGCAGGTGGCGGGATAGTCCTCAGCGTTCACTTTCAACTCATTTCCATACACATAGTAAACATGGGATTTTCCTTTCCACATGTAGCTCACTTTGGTTATGGGAATGAGCTCGATGGTCTGCCTCTGGAACAGGACAGATGAAATTACAGAATGACAGATTCAAGATTAAGCATGTCTCTATTTACAAACAAATGTAATTATACAGTAAAGTTTGTGCATTACATTTTTAGTACTAAAACATAGAATTTATGAATAAAAAATCTAATTATAAAAAAGTACAGCTGTACCTGTTGTGATATGCGGGAGGTTTGGGCGTATTTCACCTGATGGTCTCTTACTAAGCGCTCAGAAGCTTGTGCAACAGAAAAGTCTGGGAAGCCCATCACAGGATAGACCTACAGTAAACGTATACATCTGATTAACTTTTTTTTGTGCTCTTTTTTTTTTACTGCTCATTATATGTACAGTCTGTGCTTACCATATACTGGGCGTCTTTGAAGAGCTCCTTCCCTGAAACCTTCTCCAGATTTTCCATTCGTAGACCACTCACATCTTGTGCTAAGAAATCATCCTTCTCAGTGCTCCTGAAATGATCCAAAAAATAGATTTCAGAATGAGACAGTTCAGTTTGAAAGACTTCTGAATATCATTAATATTCATTCCAAAGAAAGGACTTGAATGTAAATCTTTGGGGTTTTTTTATGCCCATTTTAATGTTCACCAGGAAAAAATCATCAGCATGATCGATTAGAAAAAAAACAGCACAGCTCTGCATGATTTCTCTGCATGATTTATGTCAGTAGCAAACAATGAGGGAGTAAACCCAAAGACTATAGATATAGAATAACGGTTTACTCCCATTACTTTTGAATGAGGGAAACTACAACGTTCAATATGGTGGAACACACCCAGTCTTCTAAGTAAAAGGGTTTTGAAAATCTAGTCGCCAAGTGAATAGACTTTCCTTGAAAGGGACTTTGGTTAACCTTAAGTCTGAATATAGTATGTAGTAATAGCCATGCTTGTGTCATGGTGCGTTCACACCGGACGCGAATAGCGCGTCAGGCGCGAGTGATTTCAATGTTAAGTCAATGCAAAGACGCGTTACGCGCGTAAAAAATTCCTGCGGCGCGAATGAGGCGTAGAGCGCGGCGCGGTAGACGCGAATACGCCTCATTCGCGCGTCAAGTTCGCGCGAATGGCGCGAATTGAGCGTCTGGCGCGTTAAAGGAGAACTCCGGCGCAAAATGAACCTTTGGTCTAATTACACATTGTTACCTAGTCAACCGTTATCTGAGATTTGTTTTCATGATTATCGAATGTAAATAGTTTTATCTCTAAAAACAGTTTAGCCTATAAAGCTAGTATAACAGTAGTATATTGGGCATAGATCAATGACAAATAAAAATCGCTTGTTAATACCACTAACAAGGCTCAAAATAGCCCCACACTACCACGGTAGCATAATGAGGGTCCCTACCTTCAAACCGAAGCATTGAGAACTTTGTCAGTGTCCAGACAGTTTAATAAGAAGATATTTTAAACATACAGTCAACTTCGCGTATACAGGCAGAATCCATCTTTGAAATACAGCCTTTACCAGTCGATCTACGAACGCCGATCCAAGCCTGCTGTTCGCGCTCACCTTATCACAACTTATAGCTCGTTCACATTCTCACCAGCGCACTTGGATCGGCGTTCGTAGATCGACTGGTAAAGGCTGTATTTCAAAGATGGATTCTGCCTGTATACGCGAAGTTGACTGTATGTTTAAAATATCTTCTTATTAAACTGTCTGGACACTGACAAAGTTCTCAATGCTTCGGTTTGAAGGTAGGGACCCTTATTATGCTACCGTGTTAGTGTGGGTCTATTTTGAGCCTTGTTAGTGGTATTAACAAGCGATTTTTATTTGTCATTACACTATGCCCAATATACTAGCATTATACTAGCTTTATAGGCTAAACTGTTTTTAGAGATAAAACTATTTACATTCGATAATCATGAAAACAAATCTCAGATAACGGTTGACTAGGTAACAATGTGTAATTAGACCAAAGGTTCATTTTGCGCCGGAGTTCTCCTTTAAGCGCGTTACGCGCGAATGATTTAGTTAGTGCTATTTGTGCATTCACGCGTTTGACGCGAATTCGCGTCTGCCGCCCGAGTTGAAAAATCTGAACTTCTGCGTCAATTCGGACAGATTAATCACTTTTGGAGGCTGGCTTCATTTATTATCAAAACAAAAATAAATGACAGATTAGGTGTGTGCCGGCGATGGTGAACCTCGCGCCGGGCTGTAGAGCGCGGGCTCGACAGGCATAGACCACTCGAGGCCGAGGCCTTATACGGCCTACGCTGTCCTCGTCGGCGTCCTCACCGTTAGGTCCACCAAACCTAGCTCCTGGAGCAAATTGTGAAACTCCTGAAACCCTCCGGAGGTTCTGGTGGACCCGAGTACAGCGACGATGTCCCCTACGGAGCTGTTTCTGCTCTCCAGAGCATATACGAGCGGTGACTCTATCGAATAATGCTAATGCTAATGCTCGATAAACATCTAAAAAGATGGCCGCCAACGGGTTTCGAAACTTTCGCCTCCGGATTTCGCCTCTGACGCGCGTAAATTTCGCTTCAAACTTTTGTTTTTACGCGCGTCAATTTCGCCATTGACACGCGAATTAACACAAAGTGCTCAAGCGTCAAACTAGACGCGGTAGACGCGAATTTGACGCGCTATTCGCGTCCGGTGTGAACGCACAGTAACACTAATGTTAAAGGGCACCTATTATGCCCCTTTTCACAAGATGTAAAATAAGTCTTTGATGTCCCCAGAGTGTGTATGTAAAGTTTTAGCTCAAAATACCCAACATATAATTTTTTACAGCATGTTTAAATTGTCACTTTTTGAGGCTGAGAAAAACACGCCGTTTTAGGCCCTGTCCACACGGACACGGGTATTTTTATAACCGTGACTTTTTTTACGCAGTTCGGCCGTTCGTCCACACGAAAACGCACTGAAACCGAACATTTTTGAAAACCCCTGCCAGGGTGAGGATTTTCAGAGACGCCGGTTACAGTGTTGTCGTGTAGACAGTGAAACCGGGGTTTTTGCCTTGCGACGTCAGAGTGTGCGCCGTTATCAGCTGTGTTTGACATCAGATTTGCGCTTCTGATTGGCCAACGTGGCTTTAGGGTTAAGGTTTATATCGCCGCCTGCTGGCGTGGCATGCTCTTGACCGCGCTTGATTGCGTGTTTTTACGTTTTCATGTAGACGGAGACCGAGCATGTGTGGACGGGATTTTTTTTTAAAACGCTGTAGGAAAAACTCCGGTTATAAAAATACCCGTGTCCGTGTGGACATGGCCTTAGTGTGCATCTCTTTAAACGCCAATGAGCTTCTGCTGCCGGCCTGGCACAGAGGGCGGAGCCTCACGAGTTCGCGCTCAGTGGCAGGACAATCTCATCTCACGGGATGATAATTAGTAATGGGAAGTTCAGATCATTTAACTGACTCGGATCTTTGAATTTCGTTCGTCAAAATGACCGAATGGATGTTCTGAGACGGTGCTTATGATTTATGGGGATTAAAAAAAAAAAAAAAAACTGGGTGGATTTTTATCGTTATAGGGTGGTTGTGTATGTGTACACACACTGCCAACGCACATTTATTTTCAAACACCATGTAAAAGTGAATTTTGCATAATAGGTGCCCTTTAAATCATACCATTTAACATTGAGGTTGATGAAGACGATCAGTTGTCTCTTCCCATTGCAGGTGTCACACTGACAAGAGCCGTTGCCGCTACATGGACTACAGCTGAAAGACACCAGACAACATGTAACCACTCAAAAAACACCAAACCACTCACTGAAGCCCCCAGAAGGATTTCATGAGAATTCAAACCATAGTAGCTAGAATAACATAATATATATATATATATATATATAAATAAAAATAAATAAATAAATTAAGACTTACTTTTCACGTCCACGGCCATTGCAGTGATTGCAGCGGTCATTAGTTTGGCGGAAACCAGAACCATTACACACCCAACAGGCTTTCTGCACATGGACAACAATAGAGGACAAACAGTTCATGTTAGACTGCTATTTTATGTCATATAAGCTGAATGAAAACCATTCTGTGGACTGTGTGCACATTTTCAATAACATTCAACATCTCCAGGCACCACACAAAAGGAGACTTTTATGCATCTAGCTTATTTTCTTCTGTGAAAATACCTTTGAGAACAATGAAATTCATTGTTCAAATGGCAAGCAGCTGGTTCGGTCTGTGCTAGTTAAAATTGACTTACGCTTCCAGCTCCCGCACAGGTGTTACAGGGGTTTCTTCCCATTCCAAGACACTGGTGACAGTTCTAGGGTACAAACAGAATTTAATGCTGTAAAATATGATCTGACTGGTTGAATATAAGCATTACTGTGATGTTTACCAAAAAGCACTTGTGCTTATTATTATTCATCCCATTATTTTTTTCCATAGGGATTTTAAAAAAAGCACAAGAATGTGAACTTAACGGCTTTAATGAGGTTAAGAACTACAATCCCATAAAGCTTTATGAACAGCCTAATCAAATTAAAAATGATGGATAAATATAAAAACATTGATTTGAATATGTTGATTTTATATATAGAAACAATATATTCTATGTTTATTGTACAATATTGCAAAGAACTTAATTACAAAGATTTAAGAAGTTTGACTGAAGAACTACTAATGTAGTTCTTCACAAGGGATTGTGCTGTTAATCGTGATTATTTAAACAAAAAGAGTTAAGATTATGCAGGTTGACGGCTTCAACAAATGCATATATCATTGATTAACAACCTTGTAGCTCATTTAGGTCTGTCTTTAAAGGTTTATAAAATTTAAAATGTATTTCCTTATGAAGGAAGGTTCTGTACAAACAGAACAATTGAAATGAAAGATCCTTGTGATCTTCTGGAAGATTAAATAAAATGCTTCCAAAACCTTTAGAATTTGTTGATGTTTCATGCAGAAATGCTCTGATACAGTGTGTGTTGAATGAGACCTGCTCTCTAAGTTTGATGGATCTTGTGGTTAAAGTGTCATGAATTGTCGGTCTACATTAGTGTCTTCTATGTATCAGAATAATTCATCATGTCATTGCGTTCATTATCAGTACAGTTGTATCATTGTCCATATTTGCACATTTCATTTGAATAAGACCTGACTAAATATGTGTGTATACGCGGTGTTGGTTCATGTTTAGAGCTCTAGAGTATTTGAAATTTGTCCATAGAAATGTGCTTGCTCCGGTCCGTGTATGATCTATATGATCCTCGTTGCGAGCATTGTTAAAAGAGTTAATTCTCATGAATAAATTCAGCTCACGCTCAGGACTGGCTGACGTAAAATCGTGCCGGCAGCCAGTCACACACTCCCAAATTTCCACTTGTTGGTAAAATTTATGAGCGCTTTTAGGCTGCATTTACACTGCAGGTCTTGATGCCCAAATCCGATTTTCTGACTATATCCGTTTTTTTGACGACCCGCTTACATCATCTTTTAAAAGTGACCCGTATCCGATTTTTGCATTTACACTACACTGCTGAAACTACCAAATGTAGACGTTCTGACCCGGAAAAGGAAGTAAAACAGCACGAAATACAATGGATGCAGATGCGAATAAAATTATCCAGTGTTTTGCTTTCCACAATATTTTTAAAAGTCATTAAGCTTTTTATCTTAAGGTGGCACTGCCACGAGCGCTTAAAACCGTGCCTCCCCATATCTCGTGAAATGTCTTCACACACGGATTTATTTCTGTAACAACCCTGCATTTTTGCCTGCACTGTCTCTTCACCCCAAACACTCAAAAGACATGAAACCTCCGCATTGCTCCACTGTGTGTATCCTTCATCCTCCATCGCGCCTATAATAAGTCATGTGATCTCAGTTGGTGGTGTCCACCTGAGTTGACGTCACTTTTTTTAGTGATGTACGACTCGCATTTACTGGGGAATATCCGATTTGTCTGCTTACATGGCACACGCAAATGCACGTATCCGATTCATATCCGATTTATTACCACATATGAGTGAGGCCTGAATCCGATCTGAGAAAATCGGAATCCATGCGTTTTTTTCCTGCTTGCACGTTCATGGGTCATATACGATCTGTGCCACATGAGAGGAAAAAATGGGATTTGGGTCACTTGAACCATGCAGTGAGTAAATGGGGCCTTAGTGTTTTCAGTGATGTGCAGCCTGTGCATTACTGTTCACATCTCAAAAATATGTTTTGGGGATTCATGGGCCTTTAAAGGACAAACCTTGACTGAGGAAGTGAAGGGCACTCTAATGGTCTGCTTGTGCTCTTGAAAGAAGGCCGGGGGTTGAGCTGCAATCTGCCACGGTCCTGGAGCAGGTTGAACACCAGCATCCACAGGCTGCCCTGGGAGAGAAGAACACAGTGAGAAACAGTTTGGTAAATTCCCAAGAGCCATGTCTGATGAGGCATTACATCATAGAGGCATGTGAGCTTTAAAAAAAAGGGCAGTTGAAATTTTTATAACGTGACCCAATGAATCTTCTTGACAGAGAAATTGAGCTTTTGTTGTTAATTGGCCACATCAAATGCAGAAAAATGTAATTGCCCAGCATTTGCATCAACATGGAGATGAACTAGATTTACATATGCGAGATCGGATTTACATCGTACATCTCTTTTTGTGGAGACAAATGTATGTGACCAAGTGTTAATGGAGCCAAAAGACGCATGAAGTGCAAACAGGCCCAGTATGACTTCTGGGTACCTGCAAACGGCTCCTGACTCCATTCAGTAGATCTGGACTCATTGAAGGTCTCCAAACGATACTGAGAACAGAATAAGCAGACACATCTGAATAAACCATCCAGAGCAGCATTTTGTTCTATCAACCACAAATCACATTAACATTATGCATGTCAAAATAACTCTAATAGTCGATACTTTTTTACGGAGCACCTAAAGGGACATGTTCTTTGTGAGCGAACACAAAGTTTCTTGGGGGAACGCAAATTTTTTGGAATCTATTTTTTCCTCCCATCTTATATTTATTCCATCACCATGTCCTTTTAGAGGCTCCGTACTTTTCTACTCCTCATACTAAGAAAAATATGCTCATAATGACGATGATTTATTGTAGGTCTCACCCTGTAGGTGTTAAAGGACTCCATGTTGGTAATAACTCCATCTTTGACGGGGTCAGAACTATAGCAGCACTTACTGGAGACGTACGTTGCAAAAGCTTCGCGTGCTCTCTCCTCTGAGATGGAAGGTATACTGATATCAATGAGAAAAGATCAATATGTGGGTGACCTTTGCACATGTTCAACAGGGTGTGTGTTGTACAATATTTGTCAAACTTGGTCCTGGAAGACCCCACCATGACACTTTTTTGTTGTTTTTCAAAGCAGACACACCCACTTCAGGTCAAAGTGCACACTGATGAGCTAACAAGGCGAATCAGCAAATGTGCTAGATAAAGCTTTCAAACTTTTTGATGCCAAGAACCAAAAATGATTATCTCCTTGAGAATGGAGTATACAAGCATATATATATATTCATGTACAATTACCTATTTATATTGTCTGACAGGAAAAGTGTGATGGTCTAAAAACGTGCTGTTTGCTCCAAAAAATATTTTTTATTTATTGTTACTGTACTGTCAAAAGTCAACTATTAAAAAACATGATTACTTAAATAATTTTGAATGCATTATTATTCAAAAGTTCATCTATATATAGGTCTATCTACAGTAAATAAATAATCTTGAGAGACATTTTTCAGTTTGACAGAGCTGCACAATTTGGAAAACATTTTAGATTTTTCTGATAAAAATTGCAATATAAATGTAAAATGTAACATTTTGTTTAGTTTAAAAAAGTTAGCTGTGCTTGTTTGTAGGCCTACACAATTTGGCCTTATAGATTTGATTAATTATATATTATAAAATAATATTAATATATATTAAAATATTAATTATAAATGATGTTTTATATAAATATAAAATAATAATAATCCTTATTTTTTAAAATTATGACTTTTTATTATTACTATATGAAAATATAAAACTATACAATTAAATTAAACAGTACAATTGTAATACATCACTGTAAAAAAACAACAAAAAACATTACAAGTATGGTAAGGTACAGAGTGCAAATGAACACAGCGAGTGCCGTGCTTCACTCTGAAACACATAGCACAAATATTTGTTTAAATAAATCACAGCCTTTGCATTTTGGTTATATTTCAAATTTTCAATTAATCATGCAGACCTAGTTTGAGAACCCCAAAGATAAGGGACACCCAAACGGTGAGAAATTAAGAATTCCCATCTTTGTACGATGATTGCATATCGTAGGTGGGTGCCTGTACAGTGTTAAAGATTCACTGAGTGCATTGTGTGTTTTCTGTGTAAAGAAAAAGCTCTTACTGCCAGTCTGGTGGGCTGGGGGCTTGTTCAGGCACAGGCATCGGTACAGTTGGCATTGGAGGAGGGAGATACCCACCTGTGAAAAGAGAGACACATCAGTAACAAAACTAGGGGCTTATTCATGTGTTTTGGTGCTCTGAAAACTACAAAGTCTATTGGTGCATTTAAGTCCTACTGGGAAGTTTGCATTTTCGAGTTGAAAACGCTCTAGTTTGGTCAGAGCAAGAGAGCGATGTACCTTTTCTTTTCTACAAAATGATGAATTAAAGAATGCACACTGGGTTTGTTTTTGCTTTTATATGTTTTTCAGTTTATGAAGGTGCTGTAAATTAAACCGTTATATATTCTATTGTACTGTAATTGTACAATACTATGGTATTTTGTATATGCAACTTCTAAATGAAAAAAAAGAAGATTTAATTCATTATAACAAATTTAACACTCCATACATTGAATCTCACTCACATGCCTCCAATTCAGAAAGAGTTTTCTACTCTTAATTAAGACTTTTGACTTTCATGTGTGTTAAACTCTTACATACGATATTTCCGGCATGACTAAAACGCACATTTATTGCTCATGCTGAACAGGCTTGTGCACAATTCAGAATTGAATTGAGAATGACTCCTGAATTCCAATTCAATTCTTGAATTTGAATTGAATTTGAATCGATGTCATAAACAGGATCTAGAATTACAATTCGAATTTGAATTAAAGGAAGCAGAATTGCAATTCAATACAAATTCAAACAAACAAATTCATATACATATTTTAATTGAAGTGTTTAACAATGAATCTTTACAGTATATGTCAGATATGATTGCATAACATATTCTATAAATTATATTAGTTTGAACTACTTGTACAGATTACATTAACAGGAAATGTTTTCCCCCAGTAATGAATGTTAAAAGCTCTAGTCACAGAACAAATAATTAAGTTTGATTTATTGTAATTGTAATTTTGTGGAACATGATGGAACATGACTACATTTCACAGAATTACTGGGAAATGTATTCAATTTTTTGCATGCCTCTTACCTCCTCCGCCAGCCACTGTTCCTTCATATCCCGGGACCGAATCGAACATGTTTGCCGGGGGAGCGGAAGGTTGATGGACGCTTGCCGCGGGTGGGGCTGCCATGGCTGAGTGACATTCAAACAAACCAGTTAGGGAAGTTGCCAACAACAAAGGCATTTATTAACCATTGATAAAATTCTGTTACAAATGTCACTACATATTTAAACTTTTTTTTTTTTCTATGCTTTTTTCTATTGCACAGCTTTCTGAAATATTTTATTCTGATTGGTCAATCGCAGTGGCCTGTGCTGAAATATCTTTGTAAAAAGCCTATAAATAGCCAGTTATTAATAGTTTTCAGTTGCTTAGCCAAATAAGCTATTGGACATGTTATAGAAGTCTGCACCAAATAGTAAGGGACTTACTTTTTAGATCTTGAAAGATTCCTGAAGGCAGTGTTTTTCTCGAGGTGAGCAGAGTGAGAACTAATGCCTCTGGGGGCAGGTCTTATGTAGGCTGCATAATGTGCATATGGTACAGGAATGTATGGTTTACGTCTGAGAGTGGCTGCTATTGGATGGTGTTGAATGGAGGAGTGGGTGTATAATTGGATTGTAAACTGAGTAGGCTAGAAGGCTAGTTGTGACAAGCTTTAGGAACTGTACCATAGTGATGAGATAGTAAAACCCTGGGATTTTGGCAGTTGTACTGAAATTGATATTCCACAGAATTTATATTACAAAGCAGTTCTATGGAATATCCTAATACTACCATAGAACCATGTCTAAAAACCATAGTAGTAAACTTTTTTTTTTTTGTAAGTGCTATAATCACAATAAAAGGGTATGTCAAAGAATACCATACTTTTTGTAATACTACACAGTATACACTTGTTTAACAATGTTTTCACACTTTTAATTAGCTGTTTCTACAATAAAACTGGTAATGTGGGATTACAAATTTAAGAACCTGTTTAAGATCCGCTGATCCTTACATAACATCACATGAAAAACTAAGGGAAAGTATATTGTATTTAGCATTTAAGGTAAAGATGATGAAATCTGATGAATGATTCTGTTAAGCAAAGATTGAAGCAAGAGGTTCCTGCCAGTCGTTTTCTTTATTGTAAGTCAAGTGAGTCAGAATGCAGAGACTATCCCCCCTCTGCTCTGTCCCATTCTTTGAATTTATGTTGATTGGATTAGGTAACATAGAGTCTGGGGCGGTTTATACTTGGATAATTCATTTGCAAGCTTTGTTTAAGGTCGTATTCCAGATGCTTTGTCTCCATTTCTAAGCACTGCCTCCTAAAATCTAGTATAATAAACTACAATGAATCATTTCCTTAAGGCTGTAATACACTACACAACTTTTAAAATCTGAACAAAAGTCTTGAAGTGTATTCAGCCTTTAGTTCGACTGGATGACGCAGCTAACAGATCGTTCACAATAAAGATTCCTCCTGCTGAAGATACAACCATGTCTCCTGGTCTTCACTTCTGAGTTTCCTACAGTAACTTCAAAAAGTTACACTGTTTTGAATATTTATTTTATGAATTATGATTTTACAGTCTCAATAAAGATACTGTGGTGGTAGTAGTAGTGGTAATGGTATGACGAGTGTTTTATATACTAACAGAAAGTGCCATAAAACTAACTTTTTTTTGTTTGTTTGTTTGTTTTTTACATTTACCATAGTTTTAAGTAGCTACATTGTTGGTATTTTTCGGAGTACCATATTAAAGTCCCCGTGAACCGGAAGTTGCAAACGACTTTTCTCCAGTGTTTTGACGTATTTCCGAGAGAAACGGAATACTAAATGAGGCAAAATGGTGGGCGTGGCTTTTTCCCCAACTAGCACCTGATTGGATCTAGAAAAGTAGGTGTTTTCATTCAGCCTGTCTACTGTCAGTTGGAGGGGCGTGGTTACGGATGTTAAGAAGACGCCCAAACCGTGAAACCTACGTCATCAGGCAAGGTCCTCCAACGCAGAGGGGAGGGGAAATTTCAGATTTTGATTAAAGCTCCAGTCGGCAATTCTGGCAGATTATATCTTGCAGGGAAACCCCGCTTGACCATGCCCACGAAGAGGCCACGCCTCTCGTGGAGTGCGCCCTGACACCCAAGGGGCACTGTAGGCCCTTCGCAGAGTAAGCGAGCGCAATGGCATCCACTATCCATCTGGATAGGCTCTGTTTTGAGGCGGCGAGTCCCTTGGAACGCCCGCCAAACAAAACAAAAAGCTGCTCCGTCTGTCTGAAAACAGACGAGCGTGACACGTAAGCTCTCAATGCCCTGACGGGGCAAAGGAGACTCGCATCCTCCTCCTCACTGAGAACCGGAAGGGCGCACAGGGAAATTACCTGGGCCCTGAACGGTGTATTGAGGGATTTCGGGACATACCCGTGCTTCGGTTTGAGAATGACCTTCGAGTCATTAGGCCCAAACTCCATACACGACGAGCTTACTGAAAGCGCCTGTAAGTCCCCTATGCGCTTCACTGAAGCGAGAGCCATGAGAAACACTGTTTTGAACGACAGGTGTTTCATGTCCACCAGCTGGATTGGCTCGAACGGGGCGCCTTTCATGGCCTCCAGGACCGTGGAAAGGTCCCACGTCGGGACTGAAGGGGGCCTGGGAGGGTTCAGCCTCCGAGCTCCCCTAAGGAAACGCACGACTAAGTCGTTTTTCCCCAGCGACTGGCCAGACACCGGTTTTGCAAACGTTGCTATGGCCGCCACATATACTTTGAGCGTGGATGGGGTCCTGCCCTTATCCAGTAGCTCTTGAAGGAAGGAAAGCACTTCCGAAACCCCGCATTCCACAGGTGAAAAGCTCTGGGCTTGACACCATGCAGAGAAAACAGACCATTTCGAGGAGTAGAGCCGCCTGGTAGACGGAGCTCTAGCCTGCGCGATCGTGTTTAACACTCCTTCTGGGAGGCTAGCGGGTACCCGTTGATGGCCCATGAGTGCAGGGACCACAACTCCGGGCGAGGGTGCCAAATCGAGCCCTCCGCCTGAGAGAGGAGGTCTCTCCTCAATGGTACAGGCCATGGGGCAGTGCTGGTCAGCTGCATCAGGGCAGGGAACCACGTCTGGTTTGACCAGAGCGGAGCTACGAGCAGCACTGGGCATCCGTTCTCCCTGATTCGTTCCAACACCTGAGGCAGGAGCGAGACGGGAGGAAAAGCATATAGGGGGCAGCGGGGCCAAACATGAGCCAGCGCGTCCTTGCTTTTCGAGAAAAACTCCGGGCAATGAGCGTTTTCGTGGGACGCGAACAGGTCCACTTGTGCTCTGCCGAACGTTTTCCACAGCAGCTGGACCGTCTGCGGGTGCAGCGACCATTCCCCTGCCGGGACCTTGTTCCTGGACAGTCTGTCTGGTCCCACATTCAGGTGACCAGGCACGTGCGCCGCTCTCAGTGAGAGCAGGCTGTGCTGAGCCCAGACCAGAAGGCGTTCCGTCAGCCTGAGAAGGCTTCGTGACCTGACGCCGCCCTGGCGATTTATGTATGCCACCACTGACATGTTGTCCGACCGGACTAAGACGTGGTGGCCTGTTATCTGGGGACAAAAAAGCCGTAGCGCTTTGTCGACTGCTATCATCTCCAAGCAGTTTATGTGAAGGAGCTTTTCCCGTTCTGACCACAGGCCAGCTAGCGGTCTGCCCTCGAGCAGCGCTCCCCACCCCGAGGTGGAGGCGTCCGTAGACACCACCTTCACACTCGAAGCGGTCCCCAGACTCACACCTGACTGATACCAGTCGGTCACTTTCCAAGGTTCCAGAGCTGAAACGCACTGAAGGTCGACCCTGAGGCGAAACAGACCCGCTGTCCATGCCCTGGGTGGAACCCGCGCTTTCAGCCACATCTGCAGTGGGCGCATGCGGAGCAAGCCCAACTGGAGTACAGAGGCTGCTGAGGCCATCAGCCCCAGCACTTTCTGAAACCTTTTGAGCGGAACTATCGCGCCGTGGCGGAAGGATTTCACGCCGCGCTGAATACTCAGTACGCGCTCTGGTGACAGGCGTGCTGTCATGGACAGCGAGTCCAACACGGTTCCCAGAAAGGAAATTTTCCGACTGGGAGACAGTGAGCTCTTCGCCCAATTGACTGTGAGGCCCAGCTTCTCGAGGTGCTCGAGTAATGCGGCCCTGTGTTCTATGAGCTCCGATCGTGATCGAGCTAGAATCAGCCAATCGTCCAAGTAGTTCAGGACTCGCATGCCCTGAAGTCTCAGGGGTGCGAGCGCCGCGTCCATGCACTTCGTAAATGTACGAGGTGCTAGGGACAGGCCGAACGGCAGGACTGTGTATTGATATGCCTGGCCCTCGAAGGCGAATCTCAAAAATCGCCTGTGATGGGACGCTATTTGTATCTGGAAATAGGCGTCTTTCAGATCTATTGACATAAACCAGTCCCCGTGGCGCACTTGCGCGAGGATTTTCCTGGTCGTAAGCATTCTGAACTGGCGTATGACAAGCGCTCTGTTCAGCTGTCGCAGATCTAAAATGGGTCTGAGACCCCCATCCTTTTTCGGTACCAGAAAATATCTGCTGTATAGGCCCCCTTCGCTCTGAGCCTGAGATAAAGGTTCTATAGCCCCTTTGCTCAGTAGTTTCGCTATCTCGGCACGAAGTAGATGAGACACTTCGTTTTTCACCGTAGTTTCGACGCGCGCCGTATAGCGGCGTGGGCGTCGAGCGAATTGTAGCGAATAGCCTCTCTTTATAGTGTTCAGCACCCATTCTGATACCCCGGGAAGCTTTGACCACGCATCTGCATGAATAGCTAGGGGCAGAATGAAATCCGGGCTCTGGTCGCGGCAAAACGGCAACTCGAGAGCCCGGGCATACTGGGAACACAACACCGTGTTTACAGCGTTCGAGGCGGGGGGCGCGCTGATCACAGCGGGCGGCCTGACCGCGCTCAGCTTTTTTATGGCAGATAGTGCAGAAAAAGCGAGCGGGGGAGATCCCGTAGGAATCGGCGTGTCTGTGACAAAATGTGGGCGCGGGGCTGCGGGCAAATTTATTACACTGAAAACACCGTCGTTCATGGCCGACTGAATGTGTGTTGGTTTCGTTTTTACAGAAACCAAGGGACACGCAGCATGTAGTGTGAGCGGGCATGGTGACATGGGCGCGTTTACTACATTGTTTGCACAATCGACCTGAGTCGAGTTTATTTGTGCTAGCCCTGCACCGTGGCAGGCTGTGTCTGGGTGTGGGAATGGGCACTGGGTGGGCATTCTTACAACACTCATAACACCATCGGCCGTGGCCGGATTGTTTGTGCGAGCCCTGCATTTCTGCGGGCTGTGTTTGTGTGTAGAAATGAGCCCTGGGTTGTAGGCATTTTCAATACACTCATAACACCATCGGCTGTGGCCGGAATATCAGAAAATACACCATTTATGTGATTTATCTGGGTCGCCGTGGGAACAGCATTAGTGTGCAGGCAAGCGGGCATGGTACTGGCTTGCTTACTGCAAAATACACTGGAACAGTCACATTTTCTGGAACTGAACGAGCGAAAATTTCAGTGGAAGTCTGGCCACGGCGAGACTGAAACACCGTCAATTTCCTAGGAGGCTAGGAAGACTTGTGTTGGTTTCGTTTTACAGAAACCGTGGTAGTGTATGTGGGCACTGGGTTGTGGGCACATTCACTACATTTAATGCACAATTGTGCGAGCCCTGTACCGTGGCGGGCTGTGTTTGTGTGTAGAAATGAACACTGGGCTGTGAGCATTTTATTACACTTATAACACCATCGGCTGTGGCCGGAAAACCAGAAATACAATGATTTTTCTGGGTCGCCATGGAAACGGCCTTTATGTGCAGGCAAGCGGGCCGTGGTACCAGCTTGTTTACTGCAAAATACACTGGAACAGTCGCATTATCTGGAACTGAACGAGCGAAAAGTTTCGGTGGAAGTCTGGCCGCGGCGAGACTAAATTTTTATCTGCTGCAAAGCCGGGATCGAACACGGGTCTCCCGCGTGAAAGCTTCAGGTTCCGCCACTGGGCCACAGGGAGAACTACACTAGCGCAAGCAGATAAGAGAGCGTCATCACAGTTTTGTGTGTGTCGGCGTTTGTATGCAGGTGTGCGTGTTATACAACAGGCTCATTGCTGCAATAATGACATTTTCAGCCGCTCAAACTAGGAGCTGAGAAATGTTTGAGAAATGGAGATTAATCCGGCCTCGGCGGGGACTAAAACACACTCTTTTCTCATCTGCCGGTGACGCACGCCCATGGGGGGCGGGGTAGAATGCTGGCCCGTTTCCTTGACGACTCGCGGACAGAAGGCGGAGGTCCACAGAGCTCGCCTGTTGCGCGGCGGTTGCGCGGGCGCTTCCCAATCGAGGCCGATGCTATCCACGGCCTGAGAGAGCAGACGCATCAGCTCAGTCTCAATGCCGGCTCTCTTACCAGTGGTCTGGCGGGAAAAGCTAGCGGAGGGGAGGTCCACGGAGCTCGCCCAATCCTCGCTATCGGATGCCAGAAGAGAACACGCCTCGGTGGGTTCGTCAAACTCGTGGATGGACGCGGCGGCAGGCGGCGGCCGTTGTCCGTCAGTGAGCGACTCGAGCGAAACCGGCGAAGCTGGCGGGCGAACCGGCGAGCTTTGGCGGGCTGGAGAAAGCTCGGGAGCGCGCTGGGCGCGGCGCTTCTTGCGGCGCGGCACCACGGCGGGCTGCGGTGAAGGCTCGGAGAATGATGCCAGGCGAGTCCTCAGAGTCACCATGGGCAACAGCTCGCAATGAGGGCATCCGCCGTCAGCGAGCGCGAGAGCCGCGTGATCCTCACCCAAGCAGGAAACACAGATGACGTGCCGGTCTCCATCGCTGAGCGGGGCGCGGCACGAGCCACAGGAAGGCATCTTTAAAAAGACGCAGCTCTTTTGTGAGAGAAGTGTGAGTCGCGAAGTAAGCTGACAAACACTCTCAACAGAGTAAATACACACAGAGTATGAAAAGGATATATAACGCCGGAAAGCGCAGCAGGTACGGCAGTTGAAGGCGGCGAGGCCAGCGACTCCAGAGCTCGTCCCGCTGAAAGGCTTGCTTCGACGGCGCGGCTTCTCACTCCGGATCCAGCGATGCGTGTGCTTCGCTGAAGAGGTAAAAATCAGCTTGTATCAGCCTAACGAGCATATTTATAGGGTGAGACCACGCCCCTTCTGGCGGGACGTGACGATATGGGCGCGAATTGCCCCCATTGGTCATTGCGTCACGCAGAGTCTCTCTCGATAGGCTGCTGCATTTGCTGCAGAGCAACCAATAGGCGCGCAAGCTGTTTCGCCTAGGTCTGCTTGCTGCTGCAAAGCGTTTTACATTAATAAAAAATTAAGGATAATTTTTGGCTTCAATATCTCGCGGAAAAGAGTTTTTCCCCTAGCGTAAGCTATTACGCAGTACGAGAGATACTCTCGTAAGAGAACTCTGGCCGCGCCGCTCTCACTGTGGAACCGGCATGAATCAAGCGCGTTTCCTCTGGTGTTGTTCGTCGAGCTACACAATAGCCAATCAGAAAATAGCACTATTGTATCTGGGTAAGATTTAACGCAACAACCAATGACAAAAATGTATCCAACCCCCCGTCGGCTGGGTGTCACTCTTACCTGTCTTCAAAACTTGAGAGCCCTGGAACGCGCCCGTCTCATCAGCATCCATCAACACCATGGAGTATTTGGAGGTATGCTGTCCTGACCTGGCTAATGTACCGATAGATTGCAATTGCTAACGTCATTTATACTCTAAATGAGCTTACTTGATTTTCCGCCATCACTCTTCGTTACTGCGCGAATTTCCGCGAACTTCAGGCGTGTGCATGTGATTGTAACGTGCGCGAGGGGTGGCGTGTGCCCGATCTGTGATTGACAGTCAGATCTCACACCCCCCTGCGCTGATTGGACATGATGAACCGGGAGCTGTGGATTTTTGCAAAACAAATAACAACCTCCAGGTGGAGTTAGAAGCTCGGGTTTTTTTCTAAAACCACTTTATTTATGTTGTTCTGTCAGATTATAGTGTCGATTTCACTGAATATGTTCAAAAAAATGTTGCCGACGGCAGCTTTAAAGATTACGAAGCCCAAAATTTTTTTTGTGTGGATTGACTTGCATGGATGAATTGTTCACCACAAAACGATCAATTTAGGCAAACAAAGTAAGTATGGTCAATATTGAATTCATGGGGACTTTAACATGGGACTTTACCATGGTAAAAAATGTTAGTTTTGTAAAGTTTTGCATTAGATGTACCTAGGTATTTTCGCGGATGCGTTCATTAACATAGTGCATTTTTGTAAGGAATACCGCTATAAGTTGAATACTATAAGTTGAAATGTTGAAATGTTTTTTTTATGAAACACTATGCACGAAGCGACACATTTACGTAAACATTTAGCGTTGTTTTGAAAACCAAAGTGGCTTTAAGCGGAAACTCTGGTTACCATGGTAATATCGTAGCCTTTGTTTAAAATGTAGTCAGATGAAGAACGTCATCATGACAGGTATGAATGAAAGCGAAACGTGAGGGATAGATCATAGACGTAACTTTACGTACCGTGTTTTCAATGGTGTCCGCTGTAAAAAGCTCCTAGATCACTTATAATTTTCCACAGCTTATATCGTCTGCTGAGTTTTTTGTCTGCTGAAATTGCTTGGAAAGATTTTTTTCAGTTTTTCGTCAGCAGAACAGTTCAAATAAGAGTACAATCCACTGAGATGACGTATGTTTATCCCTCACATCCTCGCTTTCCTTAGCGTTAAAGATGGCGCTGCATGTAAATAAGGTAACCTATATGCTGTGAATAAGGGGTGTCGTCGTGTGGAAATCTGAGAATGCGTGAAATCAAAACAAAAGCTTACCTGCTACTGCTGGTGATCCATAAACCGGGTTAACTGTGCCGTAATTTGCTCCATAGTCACTTCGGAGTAAGTTAAGTTGAATTAAGTCAGTTTGTGTACTTTTTGAAACCGAAACAATGTTGATTAAGAAGACTTTTTAAATCTTACCTCACCATCGGTCTCTCCATTTTGGAAACGCAGTTAGAAATAGCTAGAGTTCCTGAATTGTTTTAACAGTTTCCTTTTGCTTTACACATCATGTGATCGTGTTATTTCCTTAACGATTCCCTCATAAAGTGTACCGAGTCAACAATAGGCCATTGCTCAGTCTACACAGTCGTTCATTGTATATAAAAAGTAACGTTAGTAAATCTCCTTGTTATATTGGAGTCGTAGCGCATGTCACAAAAGCAAAGGGGTTTCGATTTAGTTGAGCTGTGTGAAACTTTGACTCAACTTCGCAAAACAAGCATAAGTTTTGAGAGCGAATGCAAGTTGCCCTGGGGAACACAAAATCATTGAGATCCAATTTTTCCTCCCATCTGATATTATTTTTCCCATCACAATGTCCCCTTAACCCCTTCAGACCTGAATTCTGTTTCAAGTTTCTGAAAAATATAAAAGTACATTTTCCCAGCTCACGAGGCTTCCCATAGTATAAATGAGATCAGATTAAAAAAAATTCTTGGCTTTAATTGTAATTTTTTGTCTATTTCAATGGACGTCAGGTCAAAACAGGTGTAGCCTACTTCCCAATAATGTACCAACATAAAATAAATTAATAAACATAAACATTTTTGGTCTATACTTTAAGCTTTTTCTCAAGGTCAAAACATTTTCAGCAGTATACCATTTCAACTTTAATTTTGAGGTTTTTGTTTTACAGATTGTGCATTGTTTGTAACAAACTACAAATCAATCAATATGGTCATATTAGAGTCATTTTCTGTGTGCATCTTTCTTTTTTAGATCAACAACTTGAACATTATAACATTTCAACTTTAATTGTAAGGTTTTTGCTTCATAGATCGCACATTTGTTTATTCATAACAAAATAAACCTATCAATCAATGCATTCACGTTAGAGTCATTTCCTGTTTGCATCTTTGAAACAATTTCTCGGTTTTCTTGTATTTTTACAGTACATTACTGGCAGCACGGTTGCCAGCAAGTGTATTTCGATTTCCAGTAAGTAACTGTAGTGTAATTCACTTTACAGTGCACAAGATCAGTACTTTAAACTACAAAATAGTACTTTACTATATTTTTACTGTATTTCGTAATTTGGTCTGGTTCTGCTGTAATTAATTATACGGTATTGTGCTGTAATATCTATATTGATACATTACGGCTAAATATTATTGTAATTTTCATAATAATATTAATAATAATGATAATATTATATTATAATAATATATTATGTAGTTATTAGGAAAATATATAGTAGGAAAGAAATACTATGGAAGTCAATGGCTACTGTCAACTGTCTTACCGACATTCTTTAAAATATCTTATTTTGTGTTCAGCAGAATAAAGAAACTCTCATACAGGTTTGGAACAACATAAGTAAGTGATGACAAATATAATGTTTGGGTGAACTATACTTTTAAAGGGATAGTTCACCCAAAAATTTTAATTAGCCCATGATTTACAAGCCATCCTAGGTGTATATAACATTCTTCTTTCGAATACAATCAGAGTTTTTTAAAAAAAAAAGTCCTGGCTCTTCCAAGCTTTATAATGGCTGTGAATGGTTGTTTCTGTTTTGAAAGTTCATAAAAGTGCATCTATCCATCATTAAAGTGCATCTATCCATCATAAAAGTGCATCTATCCATCATAAAAGTGCATCTATCCATCATAAAAGTGCATCTATCCATCATAAAAGTGCTCCACACTACTCTGGGGGGTTAATAAAGGCCTCCTGAAGCGAAGCGATGCGTTTGTGTAAATTTTTTTATAATATTCAAGTTGTGCTTTAGATTTAAGTCAAATCCGTGTGTTCGTTTGGCCGGAAGCTAGTTATTGTACTTTATAAAGTTTTAAATATAGATATTTTTCTTACATCTCCATCTTTCTCATCACTCCACATAAAGTCAACATCTGAGATATTTCCATCAGCTATATGTTGAAGCACTTCAAGAACTGTATATTCTGCATATGTATCGGTACTGTGATATCGATTTTTTTTTATATATAAGAAATTTCAATCAGCATTACTGAAAATGTGATTTCAGTAACAGGCTTTCGAACCCACTGTCCATTCTAATGGACAGACACATTTGAAAAAATCCTGATTTAAAATTTGCAATTCTACAATCGATTTTTAACTTTAATTAATAAGTTCAATCTTTCTATTTTACATAGAAACTATGAAATACTGGCAAAAATATATATATTTTTAAATAAAACCATAGAAAATGTTGCTTGCTTCTATGTTTAGAGTGAAGTGCTGCCATGCTTCTCTTCAATGCAGTGTTTTTAAAAAAAAAATAATAATTACTACATGCAGAGCTTTACTGCCATTTGATTGGATGACAAACGTCCCATCTCATGGACTGCAGGCTTGAACTAGGTGAAATGCTCCAGAAAAAAAAGGGCTGACATGTGATGTCCATTGTAATGGACGCAGGGTCTCAATGGGTTAAAGGCTCCGTAGTTCATACTGACGTTCTGGATGAACTATAGCACCTGCTGTTGAATATGAAGATACTGAGGAGTCGGAAAGAAAATCCTACTGAAAATCCTACAGAAAAACTGTACAGTCGCTGCATTTAGAAACATGAATGCCCGTGGACCCTTTGATACAGTAAGGAATCAGAGATGGTTATCCATGGTAGTCTTGATACTGTCCGGGGCTAGTTGTCACACTTTTCACACTTGAATATTTCTCGGTGGGATTATTTTTTGAAGCTGAATTTCTTTATTCAGGGGTTAATGTGTTTAAATAATCCTTGAATTGCAAGGAAAGGTAAAACAGAAAGATGTGTTTGGATTTCTTTGGATTATTCCACACTATATGGCGTAAATTGTCACAATTTAACCTGGCATTAAATTATGTATTAGGTATTTAAAAAGCAAGACAATTATGAAGCACATAATGATTAATGAAATAGCAAAAATGGGTAAGATAAAAAAGAAAAATGTATTTATCAAACCATTGTTTTGGCTAACATATTTTATTAAATATGTATATATAGTTACACCATATGCCAACCTGGCCTGACTTATTAAAATACTCGTCTCACCTTTTTGGTTAAAATCTACCATACATTTTTGTACATTTGCTAATGTGGATTTATTTGCCCATTGGGTCGTAATAAATAATGTGATGATATTGGAAATTTTGTTTGTAGAATATAACAAAAAGGTTAATTAATTGAACATTTGACTGAGATATAGAACTTTTTTTCATGTGACAGCTTGCCCCAGTCTCCCCACCATTATATTGTATGGTTACCGTACAAATACCATGGTATTTAAACATTTAAAACATAGTGCTATTACCATAGTAGTTTTTGGTAGTGTAGTGTGGTGTCTCTCCTGTGGTTCAGGCAGCCTGTGTCTCTGTAGCAGGCCGCTTCAGTCCATCTGTCTCATCTCTGAGCAGCCAACAAACACACTCGCACCCCAACGGTGTTACTAGCCCTACCCACTATTTAACTAGATTTGTTATTAAGTCATACCCAGATTTTCATGACATGACTTTGAAGAGGTTGAAATGAGATCAGCCGTGTTTCTCTGAAACCCTCAAATCTGAGTAAGCCACAGGATTTCCCACAGAGAATGAATGAAGAGCTCTTTCAGGATGAGAGAGGGTAGAGGAGGAAGATAAGAGAGGAAGAGACCCAAAGCAAAGACTAGATTAAAGATCTGTGTGGTACGGGCAAGAGGAGAAGGAAAGAGGAGCCATGTGGCATGTTAGTTGTTCGGTAAATCCTAAACTGCTCCCGACCGGGGTCCTGACACTGGGGACTGTGAAGAAAGGACTGGCTGGAGGAGTCAAAGGGAAAAGGAAGATGTTCTCGTTTTCTTTGCGATGTCGGATTGGAGTTATCAGAGGAAGGGTTAAAGGTAAGACATAATGTGCATAAAGTGTGGGACCTTTACATTTGAGTGGGTGTGTGGTGATGTTTGTACAGGTAAAGGGTGAATTGTATGTGTAGGTTGGTGCTGTATTGAGCAATCATGCTGAAGTCATTGTGTCTGTTTATGTTTATGTGTGTGTGTGTGTGTGTTGGTCTGAGAAATGAATGCAAGATCTGTTGTCCTATATCAGCTGAAGTGACCTGCAAAACAACGTCCGGCCACATGGGGGCTGTAGAGTGTAAAATGACTATCTGTTTAACTTTATGCAAATGAAGAGCGACTTTCGGGAGCGACAACCAATAGGAGTGAAGTCAGTGGAGCGCGTCACTCTTTAGTGCTGAGTCTGACTGACCGAGGCAAGTTGAACGAGAAGCTCATTTTAGCAGTCAGAAACGGTCCTATAATTTATGATATATCTCCGTGTACATACAGTGGTATTCACCGTACTGACTCCGTGCCTGAATGGTTTCGGGAACCCAGATAGACCAAGGTATTTGCCCGTTTGCTGCAGTTAAATAGCCGCGATGGCAAAGAGCACTCACTGTTTCTCGTTCATTTTTAATATTATGCATTTTATGTACTGATTCCATTTATATTTAGACTTTTCCTTCCAAAATATTTGTTTGTAGCGGCAAGAAAACGTATTTGTTGTCTACAACATAGAGTAACATCCGTGAATGTCACTCACAAACATTACTAGGCAACCAGTAGTGGGAACGCCCTCCAGAACACAGCTTTACAGTAACCCCAAAAATATTTGGACACTTTTACCCCATTCTTGACACCACATTAGATAACAAAGTGTAAATTATTTGGAAAATAAATAAATACATAGGGTATTTATATTATGCTGGTTAATAGTTTTCTATTTTAATGTACTTTAAAATATAATTTATTCCTGTGATGGCAAAGCTGAAATTTCAGCATCAATCCTCTAGTCTTCAGTGTCACATGATCCCTCAGAAATCATTATAATATGCTGATTTGATACTCAGTTGGTACAACAGTTGTACTGCTTAAAAATGTTTTTGAACATGTGATACTTTTTTCAGGATTCACTGATGAATAAAAAGTAAAAAAAAAGAACAACATTTATTAAAAATAGAAACCTTTTCTAACAATATAACAAAAAGTCTTTATTATCACTTTGTATCAATTTAAAGTCCCTTCCCGTTAGATTAGATTGTCAGTGTGACTTGTTGAATGTTTTGTATGTGTTATAGATGTGTCATCTGTTGTTGGGGAAGAAACTTATTTCGGTGTTATAAAGAGAAGAATGTGTGGAATGTGTTGATGGGTGAAACAGGTGTTCGTCTTCTCTCACAGACACATGCGGCTGTCAAGACAAAATACACAGACCAACCCCAAAAAATGAAATTTGAGACAGATTTCACATAGACTTGCTTTTGGTTTGTCACTTCATGGCGTGTTTTCTTTCTTTGAATAATATAATAAAAGCCAGTTTTTAACAAAATAACAACATGAGGGAATATGATGTGTAAGGAAAAAACTGATCATGTTTCATTATTGCTAAATCAACCCTGACAGGGTGATCAGGATCTTTTATCCTTTATTTTGTGGCAGCAATGTTGAAAATGTCATGAAATATTGATTTGTCTTGAAATATATATATATATATTTTTTGTATGTGAGAAGAAAGAGAGCACAGCTATGGCAATTATATGCTGCATGTCAGTTAAATATGACAACAGTTACAAATTAACAGTCAATATTATCAAATTTCACGTCAGAATGCCACCATGGACCAATCAGAATTGAGTATTCCAGAGAGCCGCATAATAAGCCATATTATTCACATAGGCTATTAAGTGTGTAAAACATGGTTCTAGAATTTTTTCATAGAAATATATTTTTTTTAAGTACAATAGATTAAAAAGCACTGTAAACAGGCAGATATAGGGACGGTATCAGATGGTGCTTTGATGTATATATCAAAGTGTCATATACCAATTATTAGAAGAAAGTACTAGTGGTACCATGGTATAGTGATAATTCAGATGTTAAAATATGGTACTTTGAAATATTTAATTGAATTGTGTGATAGCAATACCAAATAGATTTTTGATATGCATCATGGTGTTAAATTAATTGAATCAGTACTAAATAAATACTATGTTGTAGCCTACATGAATATATCATATACATTATCAAATATTCTATGCATATCTGATATCTGTATATCATATTTTATATATCAAAGTACCATATATCCATTACATAATTTTTTTTATTATGGTGATTTGACCACAGTTACAATTAAACATAGTAAAATGTTTCACACTATATGAGCTCTTAAATGCCTCTTCTGCTCACATTGGCTGAATTTACTTGATCAAAAAATAAATATTGTAAAAATACAGTAAAAACATTAATATTGTGAAATATTATTGTAATTTCAAATAACTGTTTTCTGTTTGAATATATTTTAAAATGTAATTTATACCTGTGATGCAAAGCTGAATTTTCAGCATCGTTACTCCAGTCTTCAGTGTCACATGATCCTTCAGAAATCATTATATGCTGATTTGCTGCTAAAGAAACATTTCTGATTATTAGCAATATTGTAAACATTTGTGCTGCTCAGTGTTTTTTGGAAACCGTGATACATCTTTGTCAGGATTCTTAACCCCACATTTACCATGGTAAAATGTTGCAAGGGCTGTTTAACACTTGATGCTCAGCTGCTAAATGAAGGGAAAGGGCACGTGAGAGAGAGACAGACAGACAGGGAGGAGGAAGTGTTTGTGCGTGAGGCACGTGGGGGCTGAGAGAGTTACTCTAGTGACGGGGTTTGGCTGTGCTTTTAATATTTGTGTAGCTTGCTGGTAGGAAGATACTCTCGGGCAAGACTGTGTTTGTGTGTGAACGGAGATGATTAATAGGTCAGTGCAGGATGGAAGAGCACGTGTGAACAGTAAGAAGCTCAAGAAGTGAGGGAGGAGTGGCAGAAAGGAGAGAAGGAGTGTGTTCGTTCTGTCCGGGGATGATCTGTGTGAAGCACTGGAGCGTTCGGATACGTTCCCACACTGCAGCGCTGTCATCTCTGGGTGAACTACCATCTGCTTCAGAAACCCAGGACTGAATCTGTGCGAGCGAGTGGATCACATGTGTTTTATGGATGACTGACTGGAGACTGGTTGCATGTGCGGATTGGCAAGCGTTATAACCACGTTATGCTGTCTGGAAAGAGCAAATTGGAGTGACACTGGAATGTCTCAGCCAGGAATAATCCAGTTCCCAACACACTTTTTCAGTCAGTCATTCATGCATTACACTCTTGCAGTCGCTTGCGTTTACCTTGCTGAGATTCAGATGATCTGCACATTTTCATGGAAAAATTGTGGAATTGTATGATTTGTAACAGGATCTGTGCAACAGGATCAGCTATAGATAAAACCATCTGAGATCTTAATCTTCTACGCTGAATGGATTCATGCTTGTCTTCCTCCGGACCACTGTTTCATTGCTTTTCAAAGAAGATTCTATCTAAAGTCACACATGTAATGTGGCCTAACTATATGTTAATTTCCATGTGTCTGCTTTAACAAACGGTCAGTTTGGTCAATTTAGTTAGTTTCTAAACTGTTGTTGGCAGAATGGAATCGTGATATTCCCATGATGCTGTGTGGCTTTAGGAGAGAGGGTCGCAACAATAGTGGTGAGTCATGTTGATCATTTTTACAAATCCTTTCTTTTTCATTTAATTTGTCGTATATATTAAATAAATTGTTTAATGTTTTTGAAGGAAGTCTCTTATGCTTACCAAGGCTGCATTTATTTGATCAAACATATAATAAAAACAGTAGTATTATGAAATATTATTACAATATAAAATGTTTACAATATTAGAAATCTATTTGAATGTTTTAAGAATGTAATTTAGTCTTGTGATTCTTCAGCATCATTACTCCAGTCTTCAGTGTCACATCCTTCTGAAATCATTCTAATAGCTGTGCTAATTATTCGTATTAATTTCACTGTTTCAATATGTTTAATATGTTAATGGAAACCATGATACATTTTTTTCAGCATTTTTCTGACGAATAGAAAGTTCAAAAGAACAGCATTTGTTTGAAATAGAAGTGTTTTGTAACATTATGAATGTCTTTACTGCAACCTTTGATCAATTTAATGCACCCTTGCGAAATAAAAGTATTAATTTATTTTAAATTCTAAAATTACATCATACTGACCCCAAACTTTTACAAAATAAAAATTTATTTATTTAGTTAGTGAATTATTTTTTACACCCAGCTTCTTACGGTATCTAGATTACCCTTTCAAAAATGTACATGGTATCAATTGGTATTTTATGGTACCATGGACCTGAATGATTACCACATTCATATACAATGGTATTTACATTATGCTCCAAGTTTCTTCAAAGAGTAGCATGGTACTAGTACATGTCCAAAACAACAGTATCCTTGGTACTTTTATGTTTGTGTAAGCTTCTTTTTGAAATGATTTCATCTTGTACAGTTTATGAAATGTTTATGGTTCTTCACATACAGCAAAAAACAAATTCTATTCATCATTCACTTTACTTTAAATCAAACCATTTAGATTGTAATTTTTGCCAGAGGATCTGTTGTTCTGCAGGTTGTCGACCCGGGCCCTATAGGGTCCATTATGGTCCTCTATACGGTTCTTTTTGTATTGGGCCAGGGTAGAGGAGGCCCACACATTTATTAGTTTTATCCTGGGCCGTGTGGTTTTCAGCTTCAGCCCTGCTGCTGGAAAAGCCTGTTCAGAGCTGAGCGAGGGGTGACAACTGGGGCCGCTGTGGCCTCTATAAATAAAAGCCCAACTCTGAAAATAAGCCCTGAGCTTCCATTTGCATTGTTAGAACATCATCCGTTTAACCTACATCAGGATTGGTGTCAACACAACCAGGGCCGTCGGAGTGGCTTGCTCCAAATTAGTTTCAGAGTTTTAATAGACTTGGAAAATTGAGTTATCCTGACCCATAATGACAGTTTTACTCTGCTGTGACTTTCAGAGCTGATGCTGTGTGTCTCAGTTATATAACATTTGCTGATTTTGAATACTCATAGATGTGCGATTGACTGTTAAAGCAGTGGTGTGATGTTTTGAGCCTATGACCTCTTAAACAAACAGTCTGTGTGATGTTGGTTTCTTTAGCCTTTTGGCCTAAAGGGCAGCTTTACTGACCAAATGGAGATTTATGGGTTGTTAACGCTCAGGTTGGACTAGCATGTAGGGATTGACAGACCTTTATTTATTGAGTAGCACACAAATTGTCTGAAATAGTACTTCGACCAGTCACCTAACGTTTGATGGATTGGGAAGCTTCATGGTTTAAAAACAAATGTAAATGAATCCCTGCTATTACATTACATTCAAAATTTTTGGGTCAGTATATATTTTTTTAAAGAAAGTAATACTTCTTCAACAAGGACGCATAAAATTGATCAAAAGTGACAGTAAAGGCATTTATAATGTTACAAAAAAAATATTTCAAATAAATGTTTTTCTTTTAACTTTCTATTCATCAAAAAAGTCTGAAAAAAATGTATCGCGGTTTCTACACAAATATGAAGCAGCACAACTGTACATTGATAATATTCAGAAATGTTTCATGAGCAGCAAATCAGCATACTAATGCCGAGTTCAGACTGCACGATTTTAGCCCCGATTTTGGCTCGCCGACAGGTTTTGAGAAATCGCCGACAAATGCCCGAAATCACAGGCAAATCGGTGCTCGTTCACGCGAGTGACAATCACGCAGTGTGAATGAGCAAAGACGCGATCTGAGAGAATCGCCGACGCACGTGAGATATTTGGCATGCTAAATATCTGGACCTGTCGGCGATTCACAATCCTGCTGTGTGAATGTGTTCTGACTGAAAACTACATCGGCGATGACCGACAGCCAATGAGAGAGCAAGATACAGGGAGGAGGAGGAGGAGGAGTTATAGACCAGAATATCAGTATTTTAATAGATAGGCCTATATTTACAATTATATCAAACAGAAACAAAGCACAAACATTTGCATGACCAGCAGCAACAGCAGGACATTTGCAAAATTATTTATTTACCCCCAACTCTCTTTGCAAAAAACATTCCTTGCTCCCCTCATCTTCCCAACCATTTCCTGCATAAACTGTTTATTATTATTTTTTAATTTTCGCCACAAATCAGTGCACAGACAATTTGTAGGCTATCATTTTTAATAACAAATTCAGTGTCGCGCGAGAACTCCGGTCTCACGCACGCGTGATCTTCCGTTATTTTCCTATCACTTTTCGCGTTTGTTTGGTTGTGAAACGTAGTTTGCGGACCAGGCAGAAGTTGTCGGCGATTCTTTCTTTTGTAAAGTCATGCAGTGTGAAACCTCCTGTCGCCGATCCATCGTGCAGTGTGAACACAGCAGCAACTGAATGTTACCCCAGATAGTCATGCAGTGTGAAAACAACAGTGACCCGATTATTTTGAAAATCGCGCAGTCTGAACTCGGCATAAAGCTGCAGTCCGTAGCTTTTTTGGGGGGTTAAAAATGATCCAAAATACATATTTGAGAAAATACATAACCAGCCAGTGTTCAACGCTATCTGCTTGCCTTAGCTCGATTCAAAGCGGTAAGCTTGTAATAATGTTTTTAATTCCAGTGGTACTGGTGGATTACATCTGTACACATAAAGAAGAGTCTCGGCTAGTAGGCTATATTGAGTCATTACGTCACATCTGTACACATAAAGAAGAGTCTCGGCTAGTAGGCTATATTGAGTCATTACGTCACATCTGTACACATAAAGAAGAGTCTCGGCTAGTAGACTATATTGAGTCATTACGTCACATATGTACACATAAAGAAGAGTCTCGGCTAGTAGACTATATTGAGTCATTACGTCACGTCTGTCCACATAAAGAAGAGTCTCGGCTAGTGGGCTATATTGAGTCATTACGTCACATCTGTCCACATAAAGAAGAGTCTCGGCTAGTAGGCTATATTGAGTCATTACGTCACATCTGTACACATAAAGAAGAGTCTCGGCTAGTAGGCTATATTGAGTCATTACGTCACATCTGTACACATAAAGAAGAGTCTCGGCTAGTAGACTATATTGAGTCATTACGTCACATCTGTACACATAAAGAAGAGTCTCGGCTAGTGGGCTATATTGAGTCATTACGTCACATCTGTCCACATAAAGAAGAGTCTCGGCTAGTAGGCTATATTGAGTCATTACGTCACATCTGTCCACATAAAGAAGAGTCTCGGCTAGTAGGCTATATTGAGTCATTACGTCACATCTGTACACATAAAGAAGAGTCTCGGCTAGTAGGCTATATTGAGTCATTACGTCACATCTGTACACATAAAGAAGAGTCTCGGCTAGTAGACTATATTGAGTCATTACGTCACATCTGTACACATAAAGAAGAGTCTCGGCTAGTAGACTATATTGAGTCATTACGTCACATCTGTACACATAAAGAAGAGTCTCGGCTAGTAGGCTATATTGAGTCATTACGTCACATCTGTACACATAAAGAAGAGTCTCGGCTAGTAGACTATATTGAGTCATTACGTCACATCTGTACACATAAAGAAGAGTCTCGGCTAGTAGACTATATTGAGTCATTACGTCACATCTGTACACATAAAGAAGAGTCTCGGCTAGTAGACTATATTGAGTCATTACGTCACATCTGTACACATAAAGAAGAGTCTCGGCTAGTAGACTATATTGAGTCATTACGTCACATATGTACACATAAAGAAGAGTCTCGGCTAGTAGACTATATTGAGTCATTACGTCACATATGTACACATAAAGAAGAGTCTCGGCTAGTAGACTATATTGAGTCATTACGTCACATATGTACACATAAAGAAGAGTCTCGGCTAGTAGACTATATTGAGTCATTACGTCACATCTGTACACATAAAGAAGAGTCTCGGCTAGTAGACTATATTGAGTCATTACGTCACATCTGTACACATAAAGAAGAGTCTCGGCTAGTGGGCTATATTGAGTCATTACGTCACATCTGTACACACAAAGAAGAGTCTCGGCTAGTGGGCTATATTGAGTCATTACGTCACATCTGTACACATAAAGAAGAGTCTCGGCTAGTGGGCTATATTGCGTGTGAGGATGTTGGAGGTGGAGATTTATAGCCTTTTCTCACAGCACTTGATATAATTAAACTTATCAATTTGGTGGCGGATCCAGAAAGGTTCAAACTACAATCACCAGTGACAACAGATTCACCCGTTGTAAAATGCAAAAGACTTCGTTCGGACTTCGGAGTGGCTACAGAAAAAAAGAGACTGCAACTGGGCATCAAAAACAAGGATACATATCGGAAGGACATTACATGTAGTCACGCAATGCTGACGTTGTTAACATTAACAATTTGAGAACAAAGTTTGCACGGTTTTGCGTGATATGATAAGCGATTTTTTTATTTAATCAGCGTGATTTACTGCAATCTCAGAACCAGAACAAAAGTGGATGTTTCTTACTAGTTCAGATTACATTTTCCGGTGACAATTCTTATGTTGGTCATACTTCCAAAAAAAAAAATCTGTGATTCTTAAAGACAGTATCACCGGCGCGGTGACTGACAGCCTCACACTCTCCTCAAACATTGTGTTCATCCGTGCTGTGCCGTGCCGAGGCACAACTCACGTAAAGTTGATAATTCTGCGAATAACTGCAATTGCAGATTTCGAACAGAGATGGCGACAAAGAGGAAAAACTGCGGACTGCAGCTTTAAGATGGATCGTGTGACACTGAAGACTGGAGTAATGATGCTGAAAATTCAGCTTTGCATAACATGAATTCTACTAACCCCAAACTTTTGAACAGTTGTGTATAGACCAACAGTTTCAACTTTCCAGGGTTAGCAAACAATGAACAGAACAATTCTGACGTATATTGTCAGACATGCGAGTCACTTAAAGTGAATCCGTTTTCACAACCCATGCTTCCATAATGGATCTTTCCAAGTGAAACAGGATATTCATTAACAAAAACACAGGATAGGACTTACCAGAAGAACACGTTTACATACGATTTTCGTGTTGTATATCCTGCTTCACTAAAATAATAAGTAAAATGGTTTGCAAATGCTGTTTCATGTTGTTCCATTCTAAATGTTTAAAAAAAACGGTCAGTCCATGTCTGATAATTGAGTAAAATGCATTTGTAATTTTTTTATCATATTTTGTGTTTCAGATGATGTCCCATACACAAAGGGAAGTAAAGATGCTGCGAGTGACAGCAGCGGCCTCACCAAGAGGTGCAGTCTCGCTGGTAAGTTGGCATGTGACCCGGCAGAACTAAAACCTGCAGATAACTGCTGTTAATGCTCCTCATGAAACCCCTGCACTGTATCAGACGTGTGTTCGGCTCTAGATTGAGACTCTTTAGGAAGGAGTTCTGCGAGCCTCAGCACACACACAGTGTCTCGTACCTTGAGGTGAAGAGACTGTTCGTCTGTGATAATGCTGATATTTTGAGTCTTCGGACCGCTTCTAAACCCCCCCAGTCGCTCTCTCTGTTCTTTTCTCTTTATCCCTTGGGCTTGTGAGGAATTAGTGTCAGTTATTTTGTCTTTACTGATTTACGACACTGACACTCACTGTCTGAGAGTCACTATAGAGATTTAACAGCAGTAATGAATTATCTAATAAATAGCATTATAGAAAATCTTTCCTCATTTTGTCATGCGGAGTAAAATAATCTCTTTTCCTTATTGGTGCCCTCATTACTGTTATGAGTGGAATTTATTCTATTTTCTTTATCTAAATATTTGTGGTATTTTACGAAAATGTGTAATATATTGTTTGTTAGTGACAAAAAACACAAAATAACTACATTCAACTGAAATTAATACATATGAATCAAAGAGATTCCGTTTTTATGTTATTAAAGTAAATATTGTTAAACCAATGCACAAAGCATAACTGTTTATAAAAGCTATCAAACAATTTGTCTTTATTCTGTCATAATTATTTGAGTAATTATAGATTCTTCATCCAAAATATCTTCCCCTTAATGGGGGTCCTCATAACTGTCGTTTATATTGTTCTTAAATCATATATAATATTTGTGTTAATTAAAGAAAGTATGTACTGTTGTGATAAATAGTGTTGTTTGTGACAAAGAAATACCAATACACTATTTTTTTTCCTCATTAAAAACATATACACTCATGTTCAAAAGTTTAGCCTCAGTAAGAAATTTAAAAAAGTAATAATTTTATTTTATTCAGCAAGGATGTTAAATTGATCAAAAGTGACAGTAAAAACAAAATTTCACAAAAGTATTAAGCAGCACAACTGTTTTCAACATTGATAATGATCAGAAATGTGTCTTGAGCAGCAAATCATCATATTAGAATGATTTCTGAAGGATTATGTGACACTAAAGAGTAAAGACTGGAGTAATGATGCTGAAAATTCAGCTTTAAATCACAGGAAAAAATTGGACATTACAATTTATTCAAATAGAAAACAGTGATTTTAAATTGCAGTAATATTCCACAATATTACTGTACACACACACACACACTTTTGGCTGATTCCAAGTGTCCAATGTGAAAATTGTCCTAATGTTTTTCCTCATAAAAAGTTAGTTTTTACACTGCTTGGACATGGTTTGAGAAAATCACCCTTGTTTTTTCGCATAATGTATACATGTATTGCACACAGCCTGCTACACACACTGCATTACTACCATCTGTCCTTCATGAAATGGTTAAATGAATCTGAGTTCCATGTCACAATGCATGGCTACACAAGCTCCCCGGGGGTTACTTACCTGCTGCGAATGTCCATGTGCTGGTGCATGTGTGTTTTACTGTGTGTGTTTGTGTACGCACAGATGAGCAGAGAGGTGTGACGACGGTGGAACTGATTAAAAAAGAGGGCAGCAGTCTCGGCCTCACGATCTCCGGAGGTTGTGACAAGGACGGCAAGCCAAGAGTGTCAAACCTGAGACCAGGAGGTCTCGCGGCCCGGTGAGAAACACATCAGTGACTCAACTGCCAGTAGAAAAAGCTAATTTCTTGAAGGTTGCCTTTTTACAGCTCTTTCACAGCTTTCAGTTGTGTGTTCAGTATGTGTGTTTTTCAGGGCCGTAGCCACCATAGGCATTGAGGGGAGAAATAATTGGAAATTTTGATATTGTAAATGCTGCTCTCCATTACACACATCTCTGTTTGTTGTTAGGATGACAAACAGTTTAAAAAGTTACATTTTTAGGTTGAATGCCTCAGCGGTCTAACAGCGCTTGTCAAGGTCAAAATAATGGCCAATCAGATCAAAGAAGGCGGGGCTTACTGTTCACTGAAGACGAGTGTGAATTCCAACGCTACGCTTTTAGTTTTTACAGTGAAAGAGTGTGTGGTAAGATTCAAGCAGCTAAACATTTAATATTTGACAACGATGGATATGGTCAACAACCCACAGTAATATAGTGAGGCAAACTACTCAACTTTTTGGGGGAATTTTGATATTTTGAATTGAAAAGATGCTATCATTTAATTAAATGATCCATGTCATTCATAACTGAATGTGATGAAACGAGAAACATTTTGTGTTTTTTACATATAAGACATACAAACAAGAGTGAATGTGTGCATATTTTTAAAGCCCCTTTCACACAGAGCGTTGATCCCAGAAAATTCCCATAATTGCTAAAGTGCCTTCTGTGTGAACGCAAACACGTCCCGGGATGGGGACCAAGTAACATTGTGCCCTGTGTGAAGAAAAGGCAGGACCAATGTCGTAAGGGGTGTGTCGTAGTGATGACGCATGTGTCACTGCAATGACGTAGTTATGGTGCGACTCTTTGACCGGGGGTTTTAAATGCAGATCAACGTTCATGTTGCACATTAACAAAGAAGGAAGTTTGTGTTCATCAAGGAACAAAGGAAGGACGAAAAAATGTCGTTAAACACGTAACATCCTGATGTCACGGTGTGTGAACGCACGCACAGATTCCAGAAAATCCCTGGCAGTGTGAATGAACCAAAATCAAGCGATCCTGAGTCAAATCCCGGGACAGATTATCTGTGTGTGAAAGGGAAACAATTATTTGCGAAGAGTTTAAATTGCTTACTTCACTATAGGCTACTATTACACCTAGAACTTCTTTTACCATTCTGATTTCTGATTTATTCCCTTAAATCCCTTTGAATCCTTTCTGTAATTTCTTTAAATAAAAAGACCACCCCCTCCCCCCTAAAAAACTGTGAAATAAAAATGTGAATAACAACTAATAGTATCTCAATGATGTGTAGTGTGTGCAATGCACCATGTTTACTCACACAGCTCTTTAACCTCAGGATCTGAGCTGCTGTGTGTGTGTGTGTGTGTGTGTGTGTGTGTGTCCGTCCTCAGGATGTGGGCTGCTCATTCACATCAGCCTCTAGTGTGACAGGCTGACGCAGTCCTAACGTGACCGCTCCCCCACCACACACACACACACACACACACACACACACACACACACACACACACACACACACACACACACAGGATTGATGTGCATATTCGTGTTGCAGACAGGTGATATAAACCCTGTGACTGTGTTTGAGTTTACAGCTAATGCTTTTATATGATCAGTTTATCAAGGTCTAGTGCAGATGTGCAAGCTTGTAATTAGTACAGTATGTGTGTTAATGCTGTTTAACTCCAGTGCATAATTATGCAGAATCACAAAATGACGTGTTTGGTTTTGCCTTTGGTTGTGTGCTCACGTGTAAATTAAGTAGTGTGTCGTCATTGTGTCGGTGCCGAGCGTGTGTCGTTGTCTCAGTTAATGCGATGCTTACAGGCAAAATCCCAGTGCTGGGTGACAGCGGCGGCTTAAATTAGCTTCTACAACAGTACATGAGAAGTCAGCTTTACTAACATCACACATATATACACTCACACAACACAGGTACCTGCTAAACAACGCAAACACACACCTTTCTGCAGCAGAAGCAGTATAGTGATGATTTACCATGCTGTGTAGTCAGTCCAGCCGTATTATATGGATTTAGATCTGTGAATGAGAGTTAAAGGTGATAAAGTGAATGTCATTGCCAATAGATTTTTATACACTATCGTTCAGTTTGGGTTTTTTGAAGAAGTCTCTTATGCTCATCTGCATTTATTTGATCAAAATACAGTAAAACATTAATATTGTGAAATAATATTACAATTTAGTTTTCTATTTGAATATATTTAAAAAATATATTTATTCCTGTGATACAAAGCTGAATTTTCTACATCATAATATTGCTAAATATTATTACAATTTTAAATGTTTTTATTTGAATATATTTTACAATGCAATTTATTCCTGTGATCAAAGCTGAATTGTTAGCATTATTACCTTCAGAAATCAACATGCGTTCTTCTTGCTGACTAAAAGTATTAATTTCTTTTTTTTTTATCACCCTAACCCCAAATTTTTTAACTGTAGTGCATGTTCTGCTTGCATGTTTCTGTATATGTCTTTAATATGGGAAACAGTATAAGGGGGAAATTGTGATGCCTAATATGACGGCTCAATATATAATGCTTAATATAACGGCTTTGGGAAAGCCTTTTAAAAGACCCACTTGTTTTTGAGGTTTTGTGTAGTTTTTTTTTTACTGTACTTTGAAATGAAGAGGCCTACTATTGTTGTCAGATCTTGTAGGCGATTTGAAATACTGTATATTTTTTAAACATAATCTTCACAAAAAACGGTCCTGTTGGGAGCTGTACTTGGATTTAAATAGCATTTTCCAAGATGGCCAATGAATTAAGGCAAATAAGTTAATTCATTGGCCATCTTGGAAAATGCTATTTAAATCCAAGGACTTACTAAATGTAGGTTTAATATTATAAAAGTGGCACGTATCATTGCATGAAACTTGGACCTGTCCAAAACACATAATTTACATTTATGCATCAGATGCTTTTATCTGAAGCGACGTAAGGTATATTGTATCCAGGTGACTCTTTTTTTTTTTTTAACCCATGATCTTGGCATTGCTAGTGACATGCTCTACTGTTTGAGCTATTATAAAAGAATCATGTAATATAAAGGAAATAATGCTTTAAAAAACTTACATTCATTAAATACTTTAAAAAAAAAAAAGACTAATAAGTTTACTCTGTAAATTTCTTGCTTAGACAGATAAATCAGAAACTTAAGAATCTACTATGCATGTTACCATAATTTATCACTGCATACTGTAGATACATTTTTTATTTTGTTCAATCTTCCATATGTGTTTGTGTGGCAGGAGTGACCAGCTCAATGTCGGCGACTACATAAAGTCAGTGAACGGGATAAACCTGTCCAAGCTCAGACATGATGAGATCATCAGCATGCTGAAGAACATTGGAGAGCGTGTGGTGCTGGAGGTGGAGTACGAGCTTCCTCCATTCGGTACGGACACACGCATCTCCAATATTCACATTTATTTGATCAACAATGCAGTAAAAAAAAAAAGAAAGAAATATGTTATATTGTGTAATATTATTGACATTTAAAATGTGCTATTTTCATATTTTAAAATAATTTATTCCTGTGAATTTTCAGCATCATTACTCCAGTCTTCAGTGTCACATGATCCTTCAGAAATCATTCTAATATGCTGATTTGCTGCTCAAAAAAACATTTCTGATTATTATCAATGCTGAAAGCAGTTGTGCTGCGTATATTTTTTGTCTTTACTGTCATTTATTATCAATTTAATGCATCCTTTCTGATTAAAAGTATTAATTTCTTTAAAAAAAAAAAATCTTACTGACCCCAAACTATTGCTAGTGTACCTTAAGTACTGATTGGTATAGTATTCTTTGAAGCAAACACCACAGAACATAAATATGTGAGTAGTACAGTATAAATATCAAAGTACCTGATACTGCTGTGCTGATCGCTAGTACCGCAACAGTACTTGATATGTAAATGGGCTTTTCAGCAGAGTCCTCAAGTTATATGTGATAATTGTCTTGTGGCATTAGTGTATATGGTCCTGTGAAAGTAAACATACGTACATTTCAGTGTGTAGAGCTGTATCTCATGCTCCTGTGACAGTAACTCAAGCTGTTCTCTGTGTGTTTAGCTCCCAGCAATCTCTGCGGCGTCATCTCTAAAACTATCGAAGTGTGCTTGGAAAAAGAAGGCAACAGCTTTGGCTTCGTTCTGAGAGGTACTGAATCCCCATCAGACAGCTTGAAGTGTCTTTACCCTAACATCTCATGTGTTTTTAATTTTAAAACTGATGTTTTGACCCTTAAATTGAGGAAAAATACATAAATGATGGCTTGAAATAATCCAGGTTCAATACAACAACAGCTTTCCCAAACTGGGGGTTCGTGAGGGAACTGCAGGGGGTTTGTGCTAATAATCCATGAAAACATAAAAAATCAATAAGGCTGTATTTATTTGATTACAATCAAAGTAAAAACAGTAATATTGTGTGTAACTTAAAACACCTGTTTTCTAATTTAATATGTTTTAAAATGTAATTTATTCCTGTGATCAAAGCTGAATTTTCAGCATCATTACTCCAGTCTTCAGTGTCACACGATCCTTCAGAAATCATTCTAATATGATGATTCGCTGCTCAAGAAACATTTCTGATTATCAATGTTGAAAACAGTTGCTTAATATTTTGTGGAAACTGTGATACATTATTTTCAAGGTTCTTTGATAAATAGAAAGATCAAAAGAACTGAATTTATTTGAAATTTAGAAATGTCTGAAATGTCTTTGCATAAATATTTCATGTGTTTTTAAATGTTATGACCCTTAAACTGAGGAAAAATACACCAATGAGGATTTAATACAACAGGACTGCAGTAAAAATCAAAATAAAACACTTACTAAAAAAATTTAATGGATAATGAACCCTTTTCACAGACTATGACGATGCATTTCCACAGTTATCAACATCGCAAATCTAGTAAAGTTTTTAATATTTTTATTGAATTTAAAAAAAAAAAACATTTATAACACTATACTTTGTGTTATATTACCTTGCCAGTAAATTACAAAACAACGTATTATCACTGCTATGAGGGGGTTTCTAACACGGGAGTGATGGCAAATTTGACATCTTTCTCTCTTCGGACTGCTGTAATCAATCTCTGTATTTTTCATTCTTTTGGTATTTCTATGGTAATCTACAGCATGGAACAGATCTCCAAAAAAGTTTGTTGGAAAGAAAAAGTTATTTAAAAGCATTTGTGTTACTCTCAAGGGCAGCAAGTGGTGTGTGTGTGTGCGTATGTGTTGAGCTGCATTTTATTACTATTACTAAAGGCAATATTCAGTTGTGCGTTTCACATGCTTTCAGGGGGCTTTCACGAGGACTGGCATAAGGCTCGACCTCTAGCGGTGACCTACGTCAGGCCCGGCGGACCCGCAGACAGGTGAGACCACGATGACTACAATCTCTGTGTGTGTGAGACACGTTTATACCACAAAGACAAGGCCCAACAGAACATCTCTGCTTATTAATTAGCACAATGTCTGAATCATCGTGAAGCTCTTTGCGTCTTTGTGTGTGTCACATCAGTGCCGTCTCCATGCATCCGTCTAGGTTATTTGTCTGTATATTTCCATAAAGAGTTTTTATTTTGTCTGAGATATAATGTATTTGGTGTACATTCATTAGAGCATTCTATATGTTGTGTGTGTGTGTGTGTGTGTGTGTGTGTGTGTGTGTGTGTGTGTGTGTGTGTGTGTGTGTGTGTGTGTGTGTGTGTGTGTGTGTGTGTGTGTGTGTGTGTGTGATCGTTGAACCCTGTAAGCTGGTTCTGGAGGCACACATGTTAACTGAAGCATAGGCTGATGACATTAGAATGAGTGAGAAGGGTAGAACACAGCCCGAAGCGCGCACACACACACACACACACACACACACACACACACACACACACACACACACACACACACAGATAAAACACACATGTATATGAAAGCACACTCTGTTTCAACATAATGCTTTGAAGTGAATTAGATTTGCTTGATATTGCACTTCCACAATGCTTATTGTTCATGCAAAAGGATGCTTTTATTTTCTAGTTGACGTCTGCATTCACGTCTCATCCCTACTGCTGTCTTTTTGTGTTTCCGTACGTCTCTCCACGTTTCTCCGTCTGTCAGAGAGGGAACCTTGCGAGCGGGCGACCGTGTGTTGAGTGTGAACGGTGTTGCTGTGAATAGACAGAAACATGCTGACGCTCTGACCCTGATCATGCAGAGCAGCCAGGAGGCTTTCTTCCTCATCGAGTACGACATCATGGTCATGGGTGAGCAGACACACAGATGCACGCAGACACACACACACACACACTTGAGTATGCTTGTGTGCACAGATACTCTCATGTGGCCTTAATTAGAGTAGAAACATATTCCACTTCTCCTCCACATTCCCATAGGAAAGAAAAAACACCTCTTTCGCTTCTCCTGGACGGCAATGAGATAAAAGCCTTCTGCTTCTCAAAAAAAGAAGCATCTGATCGGAGCTGCTGTGCATATTACATTTAAAGCTCTTTACTGCTGATAGGAAAGATTTTATGGTATATAATTGGCCGTTCATATACGACAGCAGTGACGTCATGTGCATGCGTATTACTTGTGTTTCTTTACAAAGTGACATCGCCAACTACTGGCCTGGCATGAATAATACAGCGTTTTTAGTCGTTTTCGCGGATCCGTGTGAACGGGAATAGTTTTGACAACCTTGTCTGTACGCGAAAAACGCAAAGGAAAATTTTTTCCGCTTTTAGTACATCGTTGTCGGGTAAACGTACCCTTAAATTCAACCGAGATAATATAACCCATCAAATGGTTTAAAGGGGGTTTCTTTCCTATACTACTGTTCAGAGGTTGTTGTTTTTTTGGGGTGTTTGAATGAAAGAAGAAATTAATACTTTTATTCAGCAAGGATGCATTAAATTGATTAAAAGTGACAGCAAAGACATTTATAATGTTACAAAGATTTCTATTTAAAATAACTGCGGTTCATTTCAACTTTCTATTCGGTAAAGAATCCTGAATCTTTTTTTATAATAACTGAAATAATGATAAATGTATATTGAGCAGCAAATCAGCATATTAAAATGATTTCTAAAGGATCATGTGAAGGGATAAATTACATTTAAAAAAATATATTAAAATAGAAAACAGCTCTAAAAATGTTTAACAATATTAGCGTTGTATCATATTTTAACATTTTTTTTAAATGAAATAAATAAAAAACAATAAAAATATTACTGAGTTCACACTATCAAATGATAGTGTGTGCTATTGAAACAGAAAGGTTTGTTTTGTTACCGTTTTGAAAAAAGAATGAACATACCTTGATGGTTTCCTGAATTAGCACTGAAATACCTCATCTTTCTGCTTCTCTCTGGTTCTGGTTTGGCCTCGCATCAGACTCAGTCCAGAAGTCCTCCGGGCCACTGCAGGTGGACATCGCGCGCTCCGCCGGATCAGTACTGGGACTCAGTCTCACCACCTCCCTCTACATGAACAAACAGGTCATTACAATCCAGAAAATCAAGCCGGCTAGTGTTGCAGACAGGTGAGCACACAAATGCAAACACACACGTGTTTACCAAGCAGATTATTCTGTCACTATTTAGACATTTGGTTGATATTTGACCGATTATCAGCAGCTTTTTGGCTCCAAAACATACTGATTGCCTCATAAATGGATAAGGCAGATCAACTTATAGTCAAATATTTTTTTGAGAATTTGTATAGTTTTAAATAAATATTGTCTAAAAAAATTTGTGTACATATAATTGCCTTACATTAAATCAGATTTAGATTACTAATCATTATATTTGCATTATATCTATTCTTCATATATCTATAATAAACATTTAGCAATCCTCTTCTTTTTCACCTCACACCTTCTCGCCTGTTGTCATTTTCACTCTCGCTGGTTCTTGCTTTTCTCAACATAAATGACGTTCTCTCCTTGTTACCACCACTATCTGTCTCTCTCTTGCTGTCTTTCCCTCTTTTTCTCAGATGTGGTGCTTTGCATGTAGGAGATATTCTCCTGGCTATAGATGGCATGAGCACAGAGCACTGCTCTCTGATGGAGGCTCAACAGCTCCTGTCCAGCTCCTCAGAGCTCACCAAACTAGAGATCCTGCCGTCTCAGCACAGCACACATGACGCAGGTCTGCAGGCACACGGGCATTTACAAAACACATCGCTATAAACACATACTCAAAGCTCATAGCGACTGATATTCACATGCTCAGATAATCTGAATTTATACACAAGCAACTTTACTTTGGCTCTGTTTGCAAGAGCATACTACTCTAATACTAATTCTGTGCAGACTATACATACTATGCTATGGAAGCTTGTTTCCGCCACTGAATAAAAAAAAAAAAAAAAATAATTGTGACTTTTTATCTCACAGCGAGATAGAGAGTCGCAATTCTGAGAAATAAAGTCGCAATTGCAAGATATAAAGTCGCAATTCTGCGTGTATAAGTTATTATTGTTGTGTATCTTTTCTGTTGTCACACTATTTTTGCTTGAAATAAATAAATAAATAATAAATAAAAATAAATAATAATTCTGAGAAATAAGTCGCAATTGCGAGATATAAAGTCGCAATTATGAGAGATAAAGTCGCAATTGCAAGACATAAAGTCGCAATTCTGAGAAATAAAGTCGCAATTGCGAGATATAAAGTCGCAATTGTGGAAAAAAAAGACAGAATTGAGACTTTTTATCTCACAATTCGGACTTTTTCGAAGTTTACATCTCGCAATTCGGACTTTATAACACACAATTGCGAGTTTATATCTTGAAATTCTGACATCTTTTCTCAGAATTGTGAGACAATTGTGAGTTATCAGGCCAATTCTAAGGAAAAAATTCTTTTTTCCCCTCAGAATAGAGTTTATATCTCACAATTCTGACTTTACAACACGCAATTTCGACTTTATATCATGCATTTTTTACTTTATAACACGCAATTGCGACTTTATATCACGCAATTCTGACTTTATATCTCGCAATTGTGAGAAATAAAGTCAGAATTGCGAGATGTAACTCGCAATTACCTTTTTTATTTTTCATTCTGTGGCGGAAACAAGCTTCCATACTATGCAGAAACATAGTGTGCAAATTTTCTGTTTACATGGAATATCCAGATGACCTACTAAGAGAGCTTACTACACAGATTACTGCACTTGAGGTGACTCACCATTTCCAGTGTGAAGATTAATTTAAAATATATTAAATAATTATATAACCCACTGAATTTTTTAAACATTTATTTTATGACTCATCAGACTTCCAAGAGTTTAGATGTTTTATACATAAAGGCAAAATTATTTGTTTGTTTATTTATTTTATCTTGACACCACGTGCTGAATTAAAAACTCAACATAGTGAGATCATGTGACCACTTTTGTACATACTACTGTTTGAAATATTTATTTTTGCAATACATTTCACTTATTTATTTATTTTATTTTATTTATTTATTTTTATTATTATATTTGGACACCACTTGCTAAAATAAATACTGACAAAAAAAATTAGCATACAGTTTGGAATGTTTTTTTTTTTTGCCAGACGTTTTACATACCGGTACTATTTATTTATATCATTTTTTTTATATATATATATATATATATATATATATATATTTGGACACCACTGAATTAAAATCATAGCATAGTACAGTTTGAAATGTTTATTTTTGCAGTAGCATTTTACATAATTGTTTTTTTTTTTTTTTGGACACCATTTACTAAATTAAAAACTGTGACCAAAAACATGGCAGACTTACGGAAGAGGATTAGGGCCAAGCAAGCAATAATAAAAAAATAAAACCATCTCGAGATTAAAGTCATTATAATGCTAAATTAAACTTTAACGAGTTTTTTTCTCAAAACACAATGACTTAATTCTCGAAATTTAATGAGTTTATTCTCAAGATTGTATTTCGACTCTTTTCTCGAAATTTAACGAGTTTTTTCTCGAAACACAACGACTTTATTCTCAATATTTAATGAGTTTATTCTCAAGATTGTATTTCGACTCTTTTCTCGAAATTTAAAAATTTTTCTCGAAATACAACGACTTTATTCTCGATAATTAATGAGTTTATTCTCAAGATTGTATTTCTACTCTTTTCTCGAAATTTAACGAGTTTTTTTCTCAAAACACAATGACTTTATTCTCGAAATTTAATGAGTTTATTCTCAAGATTGTATTTCGACTTTTTTCTCGAAATTTAACGAGTTTTTTCTCGAAACACAACGACTTTATTCTCGACATTTAATGAGTTTATTCTCAAGATTGTATTTCGACTTTTTTCTCGAAATTTAACGAGTTTAATTTCCCATTATAATGACTTTAATCTCGAGATGGTTTTATTTTTTTATTATTGCTTGGCCCTAATCCTCTTCCGTACATACTGCAGTTTGAAATGTTTATTTTTTTGCCAGACCGTTTCACATAATATTTATTTATTTTATCTGGACACCACTTGCTGAAATAAAAAACTCAATATAGTGAGATCACGTGGCAAAAAATGTAGCATACAGTTTGAAATTTATCTTTTTACCCAGACTGTTTCACATACTATTTTTATATTGTAAAAAAATAAAATCATTGTGTACATCATTGTGTAAATCTAGTGCATCTGTTAGCACTATGCAAATGCATTTGTTTTTAACAAGATGGACGTCCAGACTGATTGCCAGCATTAGCACAATAAGAGCATTATCTATAGGTCCTATTTTTAATTCAGATCCTGGTTGTGTTTGTTCTCCATATTTACAGAAGGAATTCAGTTCACATCTGCTTCTTTATGCTTTCGGTCTTACTGGATTCTATCCTTGTCTCATCTTCCTTTCTCCTTCTCTCTTTCTGTCTTTCTTTGACCTTTATGTGTGCCAGTGTTGGTTTGTAGTGGTTGTTGGCATCCAGCTTTGGGCCACTTTCTTACAAGTATCATGAGTCACTCTTAATATGCAGAGCACCGCAGGCAAGACTTCCCCTACCCTACAGACATGAGTATACACACACACACACACACAATGAGCTCAGAGCCTTCACTCTGGCTTTACCGTGTTACTAGAAAACCGCATTCTGACTGTATCATTGGATTTTCTAGAAATGCGATATGAAGAGGCGCACAGCAGTTATAAAGTGATTTGTACACCTGCATCCTCTTTTTCTGAAGCTTGAGCTCACTGGGCAGCTCATCTGTCAGAATAATCTCATACGTGGAGTCATTTTCCACACTGCAGAATTGAAAACTGAGGAATGTACCGAATGGAATACTTGCTTATATAGTGTATAGTACAGTGAGTATATACTGAATACTGCCAACTAGTATGTTATAAAATACATTACAGTTCAAAAGCTCTTGTTTTTGAAAGAAGTCTCATATGCTCACCAAGGCTGCATTTATTTGATAAAAATACAGTAAAAACAGTAATATTGTGAAATATGATTGCAATTTAAAATAAATAATAGTTTTCTATTTGAATATATTGTAAAATGTAATTTATTCCAGTGATGTAAAGCTGAATTTTCAGCATCATTACTCCAGGCTTCAGTGTCACATGATCCTTCAGAAATCATTCTAATATTCTGATTTTCTGCTCAAGAAACATTTCTTACTATTATCAACGTTAAAAACAGTTGTGCTGCTTAATATTTTTTAGAGAATTTTTTTAAGGATACTTTACTTTGATTAATGGAATCATTAAAAGTAAAGAGCAGTGTTTATATGAAATAGAAAATCCTTTGTAACATTATAAATGTGCCCTTGCTGAATGAAAGTATTAATTTTTTTTTTTAAATCCTACTGATACACATTTTTCAGTGGTAGTGTGTATGTGACATAGAACACAATATACAAAAGTTAAACCATTCAAACTGTAGTCTGCTATATTTTTTATTGTAATGTCACATGACCTTCCTCATTTGCATTTTTAATTATCCAGGTGGTGCTCAGTTATCATATAAGGAACAAACATATCTTTAAATAATTTCTGGTCTCTTGGAAGTCAACCGATTTTATTCTGGTTCATTCACGCGTGGCCTGTTTGATTGACAAACGGTGTTATTTTAGCATTAATTATATACTATTATAGTATTAATAGTATTTTAATTAGTTTTAAATGGTAATGGTAATGATGAGTCATAAAATAAATGTTTAATAGTTTTACTTCATAGTTTTACTTTTATATGTTTAGTTTTCATTTTAATGTTATTTAAGTATTTGTGATTTCATGTGCTTTTGTCTTTTTTTGTCATTGTTAGTTGTCAAGTTTAAGTTCTTCGATATATTTGTTACTTCTATTTCAATTTATAAAAAAATATTTTTAATACTTTGTTAACAATAACAACACTGTTGACAAGTATATCAGTGGAAACACTCATTCCATGAAATTTTGGGTATGTTTTTAATGACAGTTTTATTTTTCAGTATATATACTATGTGTACTGTGCGTATGATGCTAATTTTCTGTATCTAAAGAGATTCTGTTGAGTTGGCTGTTAGACCAACTACTATATTTGCAAAAATGTGCAATATTCAACCAAGGTTTGGCTGGCTAGCATAGTCCAGTTAGTCTCTGCTGGTAGATATCATAATAACTACACCATCTAGCTGTAAATAGCATCTTAATGGCCTTTCAAAAGTAGCCATGCACTCTGACAATATACTATTTTTTGCAAGTATGTCACAAATATTTCATTGTCAATGTTTGACCAGGGCCTAATTTTGTCTTAAAAGCACGACTATTCCTTTCTATGGTCTAAAAGCTCAGTATCAGGAATAGAGGGGGGGGAAAAAAGGAAATAACTGCATAGTTGTATAAAAAGAGAGTAGCCTAAAACAAAGAAAAGAAAGGCACAGGACCTCTTTGATGTGCAGATTTCTCTCTGTCTGATGGGCGGGGCTCTTCCTAACGAGTGTGACACGCTGCATGTCTAATTAAGCATCGTTAGTGACACAGCTGTATAGTGTCAGAAGGATCTGTTTCTGTCAGAATCCAAAACAATGTCCTCTATCTGTCTTGCAGAGCATTTGTTTCCAAACGTGAGCTAAGAGAGAGTTTTAAGATGGTTCCTCCACTGCTGTCAGCCTTACTAGAGCTGGCCCGAAAATGTAAGAGAAAGAAAAAGAAATGGGGGGAATAAATGTGTAAAGGAGCGAACCAAGCGCATGCCTATGAGCAGCGTCTCGGATCCAGCCCTCTGATCCGCACTGCTTCACTGATCATTGACATTCAGTCTACATCAGATCTGTCTACAGGCGTATATCAGCCTGAGTGCTGTAACATTAAGAATGTTTTCAGCAGAAATAACCAATTTACCGGCCATTTTGTGTCTGTCTATGTTTTCCCTGCAGTACGTGTCCAGAGGAGTAGTCAGCGCCAGTGGGACTGTAGTGAGAACTACACCAGCGCTCCTCCACCTTTGCAAAAAACACCCTCAGCCTGGAGTCACACCACCCCTACACCCTCACACCGATGTGAGTGTCCCCTATGTGCACGTCTTCATAATGTCCTGTCACGTTAAGACCTGGTTTCACAGACAGGGCTTAGATTAAGCCAGGATTAGGTATAGTTCAAGTAGCTTTTATCAACATGCCCTAGAAAAAAAAACATTACTGGTGTGCATCTTGAGACAAAACAATGGCACTGATATTTTATAAGTTGCTTTCTGCTCAAACATGCATTTTAGTCCTGTCTGTGAAACTGGGGTAAATGTATAAACCAGATGCAATGATGCATTTTAATCATTTTTAAATCTAATGAATTGCCTGAGGTGCAGGCTTAACTGGTTCAGGATGACATGTAGGGTACGGTCAGAATGGCTTACTTATATACAACTTATAATTATTTGCAGTATGTACACCTGGAAGACCTTCTGTACTACATTGATTTGCCAAAATGTTTAATATAGAAAGCAGTGAGCACAGAGTACTATGTGAAATACTGTATTCCACAACTTCCTGTTTTTGCCGATGTACTTGAAGTAGTAGCATGAATAGTCATGAATATTTATTAATTTGCACATTGGTTTATTTATTAGTTTTGATTTATTTATTTGAATTAAATTATTTATTTTATTTGTTTTTTAAAATATTTTTTATTTGCATGATTGTTTATTATTTAATTTTTATTTAATCGCTAAACTATAAACTATTATTTATTTATTTATTATTTTTATTTATTAGTTTGTTATATATATATAAATTTTTTATTTATTTTATTAAAATACATAATGCTAATTATTTACAATTTGGCTGTCACTCACACTGTATACTATAGCAGTATGCTAGTATTCCATTCCACATACAACCATACACCGATTAGACGATTCCAGCATTGTCGATCTCAAATGTTCTCTGTCCTCCAGCTGTGACATCTGGCATCTCTGCAAACACCTCAGGCTTTCACAGCTACAACTGTGGCACCCAGTCAACGTATCCCAACACCTACCCCAGTAACACACTGCCATCCAGCCCTCGCTGCACTGTCAGCAAGAGGAGACACCGGAGAAAAGACCACAAGAGCTCCTGTGAGTGAACTTTATCCATCCATCCATCCATCCATCCATCCATCCATCCTTCCTGAGATGTTGATTTCCTTCCTTACTTCCAGAGATGTTGATTTCCTTCCTTACTCCCTGAGATGTTGATTTCCTTCCTTCCTTCCTTCCTTCCTTCCTTCCTTCCTTCCTTCCTTCCTTCCTTCCTTCCTTCCTTCCTGAGATGTTGATTTCCTTCCTTCCTTCCTTCCTTCCTGAGATGTTGATTTCCTTCCTTCCTTCCTTCCTTCCTGAGATGTTGATTTCCTTCCTTCCTTCCTTCCTTCCTTCCTTCCTTCCTTCCTGAGATGTTGATTTCCTTCCTTCCTTCCTTCCTGAGATGTTGATTTCCTTCCTTCCTTCCTTCCTTCCTTCCTTCCTTCCTGACTTCCTGACTGAGATGTTGATTTCCTTCCTTCCTTCCTTTCCTTCCTTGGCAAATAATTCTTGTATTAAAAATAAATAAATTTGCTCTCTCTCTTGTCTCTCAGTGTCTCTGGCATCGAGTACAGTGGGCGCCGGTGGTCAGGTGGTGCATCTAGAAACCAGTGAGGTGTTTCTGAGAGGAGATCCTCTTACTGGATTCGGGCTGCAGTTACAGGGGGGAGTGTTTGCTACAGAACCCCTGTCAGCGCCTGCCTGTCTCCGCTTTATCGAGCCTGACACACCTGCTGAAAGGTGAGAGGACGCTGCTGTCCAACTGTAGATGCGATGCATGCTGACGCCATTGTCTTGTACACTCAGAGCCTGTGGATAGATGTATGTACATTTACGTGCACACACACGAACAAAAGCCTTACAGAATCTGAGATGTTGATTTGGCACAGTACCAAGATGTCACAGCTCAGTTCAGGGTTGAAGATGTTACTGCACAGTTGCTATCATTCTATTGACGTCCCAAGTCCAATATATCAAAACAAACAATCAAGCAGGTTTAAACTACATATAAATGTTGAGTCTGTTTAAGTAATGTCGATCAATGGATGATGGCAACGTGTTTACAAGCTATACTGCCATTCAAATGTTTTGGGTCAGTAAGATTTTTTTCAAAAACATAAATAATCTTACAGACCCCAAATTTTTGAATGGTATTGTAAATGTAGCATCTTCATTTATAATCATTGATAATATATTCTTTGTCTTCTCTTTTCTTGTATTGTTGTGCATGTGTCTTCTTTGAATGCATGTTGTATTTATTTTTGCATTCAAGGTGTGGGGTGTTACAAGTCGGAGACAGACTTCTTTCTGTTAATGGAATTCCCACTGAGGACGGAACTCTGGAAGAAGCCAATCAGCTGCTCCGAGATGCAGCTCTGGCCAATAAGGTCACACTGGAGGTGGAGTTTGATGTCGCAGGTACAAAATGTCATTTCAATCAAAAATCAGCAATTCAAGTTGTTTTTAAATGTGATGTGGACACACAGATTTTTTGATGTATAATTATGTGTGATCTTGTGTATCTCTCTCAGAATCAGTCATTCCCAGCAGTGGCACATTTCAGGTGAAGTTGCCCAAGAGACGTGGAGTGGAGCTTGGCATTACGATCAGTGGTGAGTGATGACCAACAGGGGGCGCTGTTGATCCATAGTATTTTACAGTCCAAATGCATAAATAAGATATAAATATTTATATGAATATTAAATGCAACTTTTGTCTGTAATAGTAATTTCGGCGCCTAGCATTCAATGCTGTCTATATACTATTATATATAATAGGTGGTAATTGCATAATTCTTTTTGCAATAATGCAAGATTTCTAACTCCCATGAATTCTGATTTATAGCAAGCAAGAAGCCAGGAAAACCTCTTATCATTTCAGAGATACAGAGAGGCAGTATTGCACATAGGTAAACCTGCAGTACAACACATTAAACCAATTCATTTGCTTTTAAAGAGGCAAACTGATAGATGTGAAATGGCCTTTTATAATAGAATAGGAACCCTGGAGCCAGGTGATCGTCTGCTGGCTGTTGATAATGTTCGGCTGGATAACTGTGGGATGGAAGAGGCCATGATGGTTCTCCAGCAGGCCGAGGGGATGGTCAAACTGCGAATTCAGAAAGATGAAGACAACCTGGGTGAGTTTGTTTGTGTGTGTATTCTTTAAGAAATGCTAATGTGCAAGAAATGCACATTAATGGGCACAGACCTTAAATGTATTGAAAGTGCTAGACTCTTGCACTGTCAATTCAAGATCTTGATGTGTGATGTTATTTCCATTAAAAGGTGCATCAATTTTTGGTTCTAATTAAAAATATTAATAAATAATATAACATTACATAAGTAACACTGTAATTAAATCTTAAAGGGATAGTTCACTTTGAAATTAATTTTTGGTATGTTTTAGCTTACCTCAAGGGCATCCAAGATGTAGGTGTCTTTGTTTCCGCAGTAGTTTTAATTTTGATATTTTTAGGTCAAACCGTTCTTGTCTGTCAGTCATATAATGCAGATCTATGGTCACCACCTCAAAGAGCATGCACAGAGAAGTCCAAATTAAACATGATTTAATGACTCGTAAATGTTAGTACACATTGATGGCCTAAGACACGAAACGAGCAGTTTGTGTGAGAAAATGAACAGTACAATTTTAATTAGCCGTCTTACCTACAATCTCTGTTCTGTGTAAACAATGAGTGACGTACACGCGCGAGAGATCACTTCCGGCGCTTGCCGGAAAAGACCGAAGCGCCCGCGCCATCAGATCACTTGGACGTGGCTGTGTTTACAAGACTTCTCTGTGCATGCTCTTTGAGGTGGTGACCATAGATCTGCATTATATGACTGACAGACAAGAACGGTTTGACCTAAAAATATCAAAATTAAAACTACTGCGGAAACAAAGACACCTACATCTTGGATGCCCTTGAGGTAAGCTAAAACATACCAAAAATTAATTCCAAAGTGAACTATCCCTTTAAAAATTACACTGTTTCTGAACCTATTAATTTATGCCCTTTTAACTTCTGTATGTCTCTGTATATTGTAGATGAATTAGAGTCCTCAGGTTCGGTCATATTCACAGTAGAGCTCAAGAGACACGGAGGTCCTCTTGGAATCACCATTTCAGGCACTGAAGAGCCCTTCAATCCCATCCTGATCTCCAGCCTGACCCGCAACGGCCTTGCGCACAGGTGCACACAAACACTCACAACCTCATCTAGTGCTTCATGCAGCAGTACATGAATAATACACACGCTCAAATGTGCATGTTTCATAACACACATCATCTGACATCGTGAACAGCAAGCTCACATCTGACATCTAGTGGGTAGTGTGGGAACTGCAGTGTGGTGAGTGTTATCTGACTAATACATGAGAGTGTGTGTGTGTGTGTGTGTAGGACTGGCGCTCTTCATATCGGTGACCGTGTCTTGGCCATTAATAACATGAGTCTAAAGGGGAAACCTCTGAGCGAGGCCATCCACCTGTTGCAGACCGCCGGAGACACGGTTACGCTCAAGATCAAGAAACGATCTGATCGTAAGTGTCAGAATTAAGATGTATGTATGCATGTAAACATTTCCGACATATAATCCACTGGGAAGAGCATCTCTATGAATAATGCATCAATGCTTGTCCTCATGACCCACATCTGCCTTTTCCAGCACTTTATGGGTCGGACAGGGGCAGCCCGTCCAGGACGGCTTCATGCGTGAGCGACATGGAAGACGATCGCTCAGATTCTCTCAGGCGGGGTAAATACTCTGAACTTCAGCGTCTGACCACACCGCCCAGTCTAGATTCAGCCATGGACTCATGGGATAGCTCGGCCCTGGACGCCGGCTATGGAAGTCAAGGTACAGAAGTCCCTGGGATTAGATGAAGAATAACGTAATTGAATGTTACCAAGGGCTGGCTAAAGTGAAATGTGGAATATGTCCTGAGAGTTTTCTGTTATTGAGGTCATTGAAGGATCCTTGGAAATTTAAAGAGAAAATTCAAGTAATTTATTTGTATTACACTTTTTTACAGTACACATTGTTTCAAAGCAGCTTTACAGAAAATCATGATGTTAATGTTTATAATATCTTAATATCTTCTTCATGCCTTTACAACTGCATACCCTTTATAGTTTGCGACAATAAATCAGGCAGTTGAGATTTAATATATGGTATATATTGCTTTACGTGAGTATTGATGTATATGCATTTATATAGAAATAATGAATATCCAACTTTATATAAAGAGCTGGGCAATAATATAGTAACATTTTGCAATAATATAAACGATCAGTCAATTTACATGAGTATACTGTATGTACGCAGGTGAAGCAAAACTACTATATCTCCTATATATCCAACTCGTATCACTGGACGATAATATAGTTTACAATTTACATTATTTGATAATATAACAATCAAGCAGTTGACATTTGCTACGTAGTACTGTACGTACTGTATGTAAGGTTCGATATACTTGTAGTAGTTGTATAATTTATTCATTTAATTTGAGTTAATTAATTATGTGGTGATATTGAGGATTATGAAATCTTATAACAATTTGGTGTAATGACAAGCCAAATTACTAAAGTTCACCCAAAAATGAAATGTGTCCCTCAAAATGTCCATATCTGTATGACTTTCTTCGTGGAGCACAAAAGAAGAAGTTTAGCAGAATTCCCAAGCTACTGTTTCGTACAATGGGTCTCATTCATGAAACATTCGTAAATATACGAGTAAATATGCGAGTGATTTGCGCGTAAAGAGACCTTCCCGAAAACTCTCCTCCTGATTCACAAATACTTCGTAAACGTCAGATGTGATAGTGAAATGTGTGTGTGTGTTAATGAATTCCAATCAGTCGTACATGGGATGCGCTTGCACTTTCATTCTCAATTACCATAAATCCCGCCCATTAAATCCGACTGACAACTATATATGGGCATCATATTATGACAGGAATGCGAATGAAAAAAAAAATTCTCAGATGCAGAAATTGAAGTTTTATTATCAGAAGTTCATTCAAAACGCCACATTTTATTTTCAAGCGTACATAGTGGCGTATCGGGTCCTAAAAAAAAGGAAGCTTGGCAGCATATTACAGATGCAGTTAATGGAGTTTCATCTGTTAATCGAAAATTCCCAGAAGTGAGAAGGAAATGGTTCGACATTAAGCTTGAGAGCAACAAACGAATAAGTTCACTTCGGAAAAATAGTATTCAAACTGGAGAAGGACCACCATCGCAGATGCTATTACTGGCTCTCATAATAAGAAAAACCGTATGTAATTACTATATATAATATTTTTTCAAAATGCTGTGCAAATATGTACCCGATTAAGGTGAATTAAAATGCAGCCTTATTAATGAGCAAAACGTTCGGGTGTTAAGCGCACCATTTACGAGTGGCTGGGAGCAGGTGTAGATTTCTTGTGTACCAACTAACATTTGGAAAATACGAACATTTTAATGAATCCGAAAATTTACGCCAGAACCACTTTACACACGATTTACACAAAAATTCGTTCTGCTCGTGTTTCATGAATGAGACCCAATGAAAGCATACAGTGCTTTTAAGCTCCAAAAGGACAAAAACGCACTATAAATATTGTGCAAAATCTTCCCCGTTACCGTAGCTCTCAAATCTTATTCATGTTTGTTCATAAGCAAACCTAAACCTTTATTTTCAGGTGTCTATATTCATAGAGCATCTGATTTCACTCTTCACCCCAATGACTGGAGACAGACCAATCACAGGAGCCCGCTGGTCTCCAGAAGACACGCCCACCGCACTGCAATGTATGATGGGAGTCTGGGCGAAGAGGACTGGACGTACTCTGGGTGAGTTTGTTTAGGGACACAGCTTGTTGATTCTTCTGTTACAATACTTAGTCTGTATTTTCCTAGAGATACTAGTCAGGAATTAGAAGATTAAAAGAAGCATAACAACAGCTGACTTTTTATTTTATTTTATTTTTTATGAAGAACATTTCAGCTTGTTTTATAGCTTTTGTTACTAACACAATCATGTGGCTGTTATTCTTTCTCTTGGTCTATCAATTATTATTTCCCATGTAAATGTATGCGCTTAAAAAAATGAAACAAGTGAACCTCGAGGAAATCTGTCAAGAACATGTCCAGGTCATATTTCAAAGATATATTGTTTGAATTGTAACACATTCGTACGACATTGGGCTATGCTGATTTAAATAAAAATCATTTGCATTATTTATAGTATTTTTATATGACATTATTGAGAATCTAAATAGAATAATTACTATATTGGTTAATGTTTTCATATTTTAATTCCTGTGATGCAAAGCTGAATTTTCAGCATCATTACTCCAGTCTTGAAATCGAAATCTTTTGTTACAATATAAATGTCTTTACTGTCACTTTTGATCAATTTAATGCATCCTTATTGAATAAAGCTATTCATAAAAAAATAAAAATCTGCCCCTAAACTTTTGAGTGGTAGTGTATATTCATATGTATATGCACATATTTAGATAAACTAGATAAACATTACAAAACTTAACTAAAAGTGACAAACAGCAGCAAGTAGTAAAAATTAATCCGAACATAAACAAGCGATTAATGTACTGTAATACAGACCCAAATATTTTATTATATTTTTGAGCACTAAGCTGCTTAAATGACAGTGCCATTTAATTGTAATAAATGATACATACAATACCGTAAAAAAAAGGAATATACTGTGAATTCACTAACATTTGAACTGAATGAGATTCACCTGTACAAGTTATCATTTTGTCTGTGATTTTATAAGTAACTTTGTGGAAAGTGAAATGCCTTTCTTATGCCTAGATAGAACAATACAAGGTTTTTGAATCTAATGTTTCTGTTTCTGTGGCTAAACGCTTATTAAACATGCACACTGTCTAGCACAGAAACCACTAGCCTGTTTGCTTCCACAGTCTCTGTATGGTCCTACTTTTCTCTTTTCTATTTTTTCTCAGGTTTTCTGTCTCTCGTCTGCCTTACTAATCATCCGTCGGCCACATGCTGTCATCTGCCCTTGTGTGCTTCTTTTTTGCTCATTTTCATAATTGTATTCTTTTATCGCTGGAACTAGTTCACGGTTCTTCAGACACATCTGTGTGTTTCTCTTTCTCTAACCGCCATGTTCTTGTAGTTGAGAAGGATCTTTTACAGTGACTTTCAGTTATGCCATACAGTACAGTTATATATATATATATATATATAGAGAGAGAGAGAGAGAGAGAGAGCGCTCCGCTTCCAATAGTACACCTGGCCTTACATTACCCAGGTTGCTTTGCATTGACACAGATCTGTCAGTCCAGCATGCGGTCACAACCACAACAATACAGACGCTCAGGAGAACTATTGGTCACAAGCTCTTCAGGATCTGGAGACCTGCGGCCAATCGGAAATCCTGCGGGAACTTGAGGTAAATGCAATTGGGACTCAACTCAAACGATTTGTGTTCCTTGTTTGTGTTTTCTGTGTTAATTGTCCAGGATTTAATCATTATGTCTCCCTGTTTAAATTACTTGGCCATTTGACCAGCATCTATACAATATAATTAATTTAACCAAAATATTAACCCAATGTAAGTCATTGTCAGCCAACTTTTTGACTTGAGACCATTGGATCGTATCTTCATTGATGCTTTCTGAGAATTGTTTACTCCTGTTTACAACTAAACCGGCCTTTATCTAAGGGTGTGTGATTACACTTGTAGTCCGGTTCGCTTAGTTCGTTTGGTCTGGACCAGACCAAACCAAACCAAAAAAAAACATTTAGTTCTGGTCTGCTTAGCGTTCACATTGGCACTTTAACACCAAACCTAAAGATACTGAACCTAAAGGCATAGGGATATGTTCACAACCTGATTGGTCGGCTTTTATTATGTATATTTCATCTTCCCGAACATCCAAAACAATGCTGTGTTTTGGGCTTAATGCGCTCATTGTATGTGCATAGTCTACATACACTCACCGGCCACTTTATTAGGTACACCTGTCCAACTGCTCGTTAACACTTAATTTCTAAGCAGCCAATCACATGGCGGCAACTCAGTGCATTTAGGCATGTAGACATGGTCAAGACAATCTCCTGCAGTTCAAACCGAGCATCAGTATGGGGAAGAAAGTTGATTTGAGTGACTTTGAACGTGGCATGATTGTTGGTGCCAGAAGGGCTGGTCTGAGTATTTCAGAAACTGCTAATCTACTGGGATTTTCACGCACAACCATCTCTAGGGTTTACAGAGAATGGTCCGAAAAAGAAAAAACATCCAGTGAGCGGCAGTTCTGTGGGCGGAAATGCCTTGTTGATGCCAGAGGTCAGAGGAGAATGGCCAGACTGGTTCGAGCTGATAGAAGGGCAACAGTGACTGAAATAACCACTCGTGACAACCGAGGTATGCAGCAAAGCATTTGTGAAGCCACAACACGCACAACCTTGAGGCGGATGGGCTACAACAGCAGAAGACTCCACCGGGTACCACTCATCTCCACTACAAATAGGAAAAAGAGGCTACAATTTGCAAGAGCTCACCAAAATTGAACAGTTGAAGACTGGAAAAATGTTGCCTGGTCTGATGAGTCTCGATTTCTGTTGAGACATTCAGATGTTAGAGTCAGAATTTGGCGTAAACAGAATGAGAACATGGAACCATCATGCCTTGTTACCACTGTGCAGGCTGGTGGTGGTGTAATCGTGTGGGGGATGTTTTCCTGGCACACTTTAGGCCCCTTAGTGCCAATTGGGCATCGTTTAAATGCCACGGCCTACCTGAGCATTGTTTCTGACCATGTCCATCCCTTTATGGCCACCATGTACCCATCCTCTGATGGCTACTTCCACCATGTCACAAAGCTCTAATCATTTCAAATTGGTTTCTTGTACATGACAATGAGTTCACTGTACTAAAATGGCCTCCACAGTCACCAGATCTCAACCCAATAGAGCATCTTTGGGATGTGGTGGAACGGGAGATTCGCATCATGGATGTGCAGCCGACAAATCTGCGGCAACTGTGTGATGCCATCATGTCAATATGGACCAAACTCCCTGAAGAATGCTTCCAGCACCTTGTTGAATCTATGCCACGAAGAATTGAGGCAGTTCTGAAGGCAAAAGGGGGTCCAACCCGTTACTAGCATGGGGTACCTAATAAAGTGGCCGGTGAGTGTATGATGGTATTTTGACCAGCTGAGAACTCATGAAGAGCTTATAAAATGTGTAAAGGAGTCAAAACAGCGTCAGGAATCCCTCCGTCACACACACAAACACAGATTTGCTGTGAGGAGACGCCGTTCTGATGCCAAACTGTGATGGGCAACATCATGACTATGATGAGAAAAAACTGGTATGCTTGAGCATTCTGTCCTTTTAGAGTCACATCTTGTGACATCATGTCCTGTTTTTGGTTCGTTTACATGTCTTTGGTCCGTCTTGCGTTCATATTTCATTCAAACTGCACCAGAGTACGCTTGGAAGCGGACCGAGACCTATCTTTTCAGCGTCCTACGTCCGCTTGTTTGGGTTCAGATGGCAGCGTTCACACTTATTCAAATGAACCGCAATAACAGAGCAATCGCACCAGGGTTCGTTTTAATCTAACCAAACCTGTTCTGTATGTTGTTCCAAATCAAAGGTAGTGCAGTTTGTATACGTGTGTTTTATTTCCTCTGTAGGCTACTATAATGTCAGGCAGCACACTGAGTTTGAGCGAAGACAGCGAGAAGCAGAATGAAAGCAGGACCAAAGCTCTAGCACTGAGCCCGGAGAGGACCTCAGGGAACACAGCTGTACCAGAGGACATGAAGGACACCAGCCCGTCCATGCCATTAGAGCTTCATAAGGTAATGTTGACTTTCCCAGCAGCTCCAGGGTCTGAATTATGTCTTATTTTCTACCAGACAGATCTTTATTCTCTCCCTCTCTTTCAGATCTGTTTACGCAAGGATGTTGACAGCAGGGATTTTGGGTTCAGCGTGTCCGATGGTCTGCTGGAAAAGGGTGTTTATGTGAACATGATCCGTCCTGATGGGCCTGCGGACCAAGCTGGGTTACGGCCTTATGATCGTGTTCTACAGGTGATTTATTCAACCAACTGACCTTTTCTTAAAGGGATAGTTCACCCAAAAACGAAAAATCTCACTGTTTACTCACCCACATGTCACCCATATTTTGGAAGTTTGAACTATTCCTTCCTAACCTTGACAGTTTCCCTAGTCATTTTTTTAATGACTTTTATTCAGCAAGGATTTATTAAATTGTTCAAAGGTGACAGTAAAGGCATTCATAATGTTACAAAAAATGCCTTTGCACTTTCTATACATCAGAATCATGGTTTCCACAAAATATATAAAAAATATTAAGCAGCAAAACTGTTTTCAACATTGATAATAATAAGAAATGTTTGAAAATTCAGATTTGCCATCACAGGAAAAAAATAACATTTTAAAATATATTAGAACAGTCATTTTATATTGTATTCATATTTCACAGTATTACTGTTTTTACTATATTTATGATCAAATAAAAGCAGCTTTGGTGAGCAGAAGAGACTTGTTTCAAAAACATTAAATAAATTCACCAACCCCAAACGTTTGAATGTTAGTGGACAATAATTGAACGCCAAAGAAACAGTTCAAACCTTCTGATTTCATTTGCTTATTTATCAACAGGTCAATCACGCACGGACTCGTGACTTTGACTGTTGTCTAGCTGTGCCGTTGATCACAGAAGCCGGAGAGCATCTGCAGCTGGTTATTAGCAGAAGCCCTCTCGCTCAGGCACACATTTGGCCACCTAAAGACTGTCAGGACCCTTCTGAACCATCTGTGGTTTCTGCAAAAAATCCAAGAAGAGTTGACCTCTGATTCCCAAAAATGAGCAACACAAACACAGAGCACAACTTTCTTTCAATTTTTTCCACACAAAAGGTTCTGTCTCTCACCTTCACAGGGGACACATTAGCACTATTATTTTAATATTTATTTATTTATTTTATCATTTTCAAGCTAAGTTCAATGCTTTTGTCACAAGTTAGGATCCACTGCTGCTTTTTATGTTCCACCAAATAAGTTTATTTGAACGCTCACAGAGGCACGAGAGTTTTATGTTCACTTTTAGTTACACGAAACATGTCAAGTTCATCTTCATACACGCCACTTTTGTTTCTATTATAAATTAATGACACACTCGTTTGGTTTCTCCCGTCCACGAGAACTCTTTGATGATTCAGATCTGCAGGTTTTTACAAAAACACAAAGAGACACTTCAAGCCATGTCGTCAGTTTAGACGGATAAAAATCTTTCTGTGAGATCAAAACCATGACAGTCTGACAATCGATTTTTTTTAACACTGATGTTCTCTGATGAAAAGCTCAGTTTGTCTTGACGTGTATGTTTCAGGTGCATGTGATGTCTTTTGTGTACCGTGAGGCGTTTTACGAGGATTTTATGGCTTTACGTCCTGATACAATCCAGGAATAAATTCTCATTTGAAGTGTTCTAAAGTCCTTCATAGGAACTTATTTTAAGTGTAACTTTTAAAAGGAGATCCTTGTCTGTATATTGTTTACCTTCAATCCTTGATTTCCTGGATGTTAATTATGTAGAATGCCATGAATAAGATGTACATTTGAATATTCTTGGGTTTGAAGTGATCTTTTCCTTTTTTAAAGAAAATAAAGGATAAAAACCAAAGTGTATGTAGCTCTGTCTCTCTGGGAAGAATATAAGCCGAAGCATCTCTCTCTTCCTGTGGTTCCACCGCGTGTGCCTGTCAGGATGGCGTTCAGAGGTTTTGATGGTGTCGACAGTGTTGTCACGAGCTGTCCCACACCTCACCGCGCTGTCAGATTCTGGAAGCCCAAGCCGCTTGACACGACTCCTAATTTAGGCCAAGAGTGGATTCTGATTTGAGGAAATGTTAGGCCTAACGCAGGGCTTTTCAATTTTTTAGATGCCATGCATCCTTGTGTGAGTTCCCTATCCTAAAATTTAACAGCTATATTCATGTATAAAGACCCAATTTATACTTTGAATAATCAATATTATAAATGTGTAAAATATTTACTTTCTATTACATCATTGGGTTTTCTACTCACTCACAGTTGTACTGGACTGTTAGATGTATTTTATTCATTCATTTAATTAATTTAATCAAATTTATTTAAATACAATTTTATTTTAATTTTTTTATGCTTTTACACTGCTTTCCTTATTTTTATTTTCAAATCTAGTTTGTTTCATCAAATGCATGTATTCACTTAGAACTAATTTTATTAATTTTAATCAAACGTTATTTATTTAAATAAATGGGTTTTTTTTTTTTAATTAATTTTTTGTATATTTTTGCCCCACTCCCTGGGACAGCGACATTAATTTTGTTACTGTATTTCAGTACATACTAATTTTGTACATATCAGAGTATTTTAATTTCAATTCAAATATATTTTTATGCTTTTTATATTTTAATATTATATAATTTATAATCATATAATATATTATTTATATTTTACAAATATATTAGGCTACTTTTTACTCAACTACATTTCAGAAAAACACACATTCCTCTCCGATAGTAGGTGAGTGTTGATGTTCGAATCGTGATGAATCATTTGTTTGAGTCAATTCATTTTAATGAACCTGTTGAACTCATTGGGTTTTTCAAGCTAGGACTCGGTGATCCAGTGGGAAAGAGTCTTGAATCAAATCTCAGAATTGGTCAGGTCATTTCTCACTCAGAAAAATCCCTCTTTTACTGTCTGAGAATGATCCTCGGTTCGGACCGGTTCGGACTCAAGAGCTCGAGCGTGCGGAGCATTTGACATCTGATTCTTTTCAATGAACCTGTACCTGTTGAATTGCACTGAATGGTTTATTCATGAACTGGGCTAATCCGATTGGCTCATTAATCAAGCTAAAACTCGATGATTCAATGGTCCGGTCGGAATGAGTCTCTGTTCAAATAACCTGACTAAATGACGATCCCGAGAGCTCGAGTGTGTGGAGGATTTGACTTCCAAAATGACGAATTGTTATATTGTTTATTGTAACCAAGTCATATTTAGGTTATAAATGACTCTTGTTTATGTGTTAAATCAGCTGTGAAAGAGTGAGTCGCTTAAGCTCATTGTGTTCAAAGTCATAATCACACAATTGATTTATCAGCCACTTTAATATTGCAAGTTTAATCTTTGATAGATATGAAAAAATAATAATTCCATTGGGGTTCACTGTGATGAGAGCTTGTCCTGGCCCAGATCATTAACAAAGCAGGTAAACACATATCTGAACAGACTTTACACAACACATACCAAGATTGGACATTTTTATTTTGTCTGAAAGATGCAATGTGCATCTAGAATGGTCCGTCACAAAACTACTTTGGTTTAACAAGATTTTTTCGTTTGTTTTTGTTTAATCAAGTTACCTTATAGTACAGCAAAATGTGAATGAAAATTTTCATCTTAAACTTCTTGTTTTCATCATATTACAGTATTTTCCAGCTGAAATTATAATAAAAATGGACAAAGCCCGTTGTTTACAAATATTGCACACTGCTAGTTGCTTTTAGGCTGACAACTAATCAACGTTTAAATATAAATTTCTGAATACATTCAGAAAAAATATAGGCAAATGACCAATCACATCAGGTACAGTATAAAATGGTTAAATACAAAAAGGCAAATTTCAGATAAATGAAAATACTACAAATGAGCAAACACTTGCTTAGTTAACGGATAGCTCATGATCGGTGAAGGTTCAGGGGTCATAGGTCAGGTTGGATGATCTGGGCTGCGTCCGAAATCACTTATTTTGAATGAATACTAACTTTGTGAGCACTAAAAGTACGTTCCATAAAGTATGAATGAAATCCGGATGTACTAAATTCGCCCTGTTGTCATTATCAGTTACGTCGCTTCACCTCCATTCACAAATCCTCTCCCGTGGCCTCATGGGATAGTAAAGTGTCCATTGTATGCACACTTCAGGATCTCACCGGAACTAGTAGGTCATCTGGGTACTTTTTACCTACTCTTTTATGAGTGCTGTAAATTCGGACATACTTCATATGTCACATGCTGTTTTTTTGCCTTCTATCTAGTAGGGAAGTATGTGATTTCAAACGCAGCCCAGAGACATTGGGGTTAGAGAGGGTCGACCTTGAGGATGGTGTTTTTGGAGGGCTGCATGGTCAAAGGTAAAGGACACAGAGGCATTATCAGGGGCAGTTCTTTGCTGTTGGTGATTAGCTTGAATATTTATTTAGACGTTTTAAGGCTAAAGAAACAATCTCATTTTTAGTCCAGAGAGGGAAATGGCAGTGTCTCTGTGCAAGGACATAAAGCCCAGATTTCCTGCGCTCATTCTGAAAGCTGATGGCTTTATGATGACGAGCGGTTTGGCTGTGCTGAATCATGTGATATACAGCGGCCTCCAAAAGTCTGAAACGTGTGGCAGTCAAAATCTAACTTAGCAAGTTCATTAGTAGTGACATTGATCATGTGACTCTTTGTACATTGTAGCACAAGGTGCTTTAGCTCATCAGGTTTTGTTCATGTCAGCTTTTTTACCTCAAATTCTTATACTGATCAGGGGCAGTGATTTGGGGGCCCTAATCAATTCCTGGAATGGGGCCCCAACACGCCAAACTATGCACCATTTGTTCTTCATTTCTAAATAAAATGTCAAATATTCATTGTCAAATTGGTTTACAAGGGCCTCTGGGTATTTTGTTGGGGCCCAAATACCCAATACCAGCTTATCTTGTTTATTGGTTAAGTCCGCCCCTGATTCTGATAGTACAATTCACAATGAAAACAATCTGATAAATAAATATACACACATTGCATCAGCATTCACATTAAATAAAAAAAAATCAAAAAATCATTTTTTTATGAATTGATATTCTCAAACATTTTTTGGGAAAACCAGTATCTATGTATACAATACCAAATGATTAAAATAAGATTGATCAAATTCTTTTCTTGAAAAAAGTAGAAATTCCCTGAAGTTAACATTTTTTTATTATAGAGGGGGAAGTAGAAAAGTTTTAAGATTTAAGAAAATGTTAAATAAAATGAAAAAAAAAAAAAAATCTATAGAAGAATTTTGACTTGTATAGGCTGTCCGAAATCACCCCCTAAACCCTTAAAAACTAAGTGCACTATTTGAGACAGCCATTTGTAGCGGTGTCCGAAAACCATAGTGGACGTAATCGAGTGCACTAATCCAATCCCACAATGCACCACAATAACGAGTGTACAACTGATGTACACTCAGCGGTTCGAGAATACCCATAATGCACTGTTAGAGTCAAGCGCTGAATGGATTCCCGTGTCTGACCAGAAGATGGCGCCGCAGCTGAATCATCCATCCATCCATTTTCTAAACCGCTGGACCAATGTGGCTAGTGGCTACAGCATAATATCATACAGGTATCAGTTCCGATTTAAATTATTATTAAATTGTTTAGTTAAGGTTATAGTTTCCATGACAGAGTTCAAGATAAGTATTTTCATCTTACTACTGGAGCTGCTAGTTTTGTTCATTAAACAGCAAGCACAAACTATGCAAAAGCGGCATCCCTTCCCTCGCACTCAGCGTCGTCCTCGTTTTCATTCACTCCTTCAAGTGGACTAAATTAATGGATAGTGAATGAGTGTATAGGGGGCGATTTCGAACACAGCCATAGTCTCAGACTTTCGGATTTTGCTGTACATGAAGAGCTAGTAAAGTGCTGCCAAACGGCTGTTGATAATCATCAGCTCTCGGATCAGCTTACAGTGAATGACGCTCATAACAGTGCATCAAATGATACTTATATTAGTGAACAGAGCTGCCTACAGTGTTAAAGGAACTCGATGTGCGCGATGGCAGTGATCACTATAGTTCAAGGAGAGACTGAAAGGACAGAGCGTTAAGGTTTGCTTATGTCTTACATGTGAGTGTGTGCATGACTGTGCACAGCGTCCGCCCAAAGCGGAGGTACATTCATTTTTCTTCAAGAACATTTAAGAACCTCATCGTACAAGAGTTACAGCCACAACCACTGACGGACGGAGCTAAATGTCACATTTAGTTCGCTGCTGTTTTAAATTTTTTTCTTCCTAAAAACGAAGCTAAAACTCGCTCTCTCTGCTGATGAATTGTGTCCTAACCAGGTGCAACACGATTTCCACAATAAAACTCCTTATAGAAAGTGAAATGCAATAAGAATATAAAAAACCTATGTTTTATGTAAATCTATGCGGAACAAGATTTTGGACCAATGGGATTTCGCTGTTGGCGGGGCTACCCAGAGTGACAGGACCGAAATCGAAAGCAAATTCTCTCATCGTGGCTGTTTAGGACCAAAACTTTGATTGATATGATAGAGATAGTAAAGCGATGCGCTGTAAATCCTGTGTCGCTCCTGATTAGGACACGGTTTAATGTGAAACTGCACTACAGATTAAACAAACCGCCCCAGACAGCTAAAGCTCACATCAGGTTATTACAATATCAGCATTAATGCTAATACCAGTGATTACAATCAGAATACAAATCCTACATGGCAAAAAAAGAGATATGAATATAAGATCATTTCGTAAAAACGCACTAGTGCAGAGCGAGAGAGAGAGGAACAGAGGGGGAGGGAGAGGGACAACACAGGAAAACGGGATCTCCCATAGGAGAGGACAGGAGCAGGAGAATATGGGAATCTCTCTTAGAGAGTCTCACATAGTAGTTTCTACGATGGTGTGGGTGTGTTTGGTGAAGACGTGGATGCCGTTGGGGTCCAGAGGGTGAAGCAGCTCGCTGTTCTTCAGCCCGTACTCCTTCGGACGAGAGCTCGCGCCTCCTTTAACGGGCGCCGCCACCGCTTTGATCCGCTAAACACGGATAGTTTGTTGATTTGAGTGCATTTTCAAGATTATTATCAAAACGATAGATGCAGTGATAAAGATTTTAACATGATAGCTGCTAATTATTTTTATGGCCTAGAATTTGAACGATGGATGATATTATAAATCTATTTTAAAAATAAAAGGCATTTTTTAAATATTTCGGATATAGTGTAAACAGCAGTCACATTAAATCTAAAACAAAAAAAAGAAGAAATACATGTTATGAATTCAAATTATAGAGGGAAGTAGAAAAGTCTGAATTAACTTTTTTCTTAAAAATGAAGAGAATAATTAAAAAAAATAAAATTAAATTAAATTACAATAAAAATTAAATAAGAAGAAAAAGCCATATGTTATTATAATATATCTTTAAAACTAGAATGACTAAATTATCTATGGATACAATACGAAAATGAATTAAAATTTGATTGATACATTTCTGTTCTTGAAAAAATTTAAAATTGCCAAATTTATTATACATGTATTGTATTTTATACAAATTTATTATACATGTATTAATCTGAGTTAACTTTTTCCTAAAAAGTAAATAAAAATGTAAATAAAATTAAAATTAAAAAAATAAATAAGTTATAATATTTCATAAATACTTTATATATATATATATATATATATATATATATATATATATATATATATATAAATTACTTTTTATATATTTTATAAATAATTTTTCCAAAAATTACTTGTGCGATTAATTCGTTATTTTTTTAAATCACACTACTTTATATACAGTATATATATATATATATATATATATATATATATATATATATATATATATATATATATATATATATCATTTCTACAAATATTTTTCTATAAAAGTATTAATTTCTTTCAAATCATTGTATGGGACACAAATGTTTCCCTAACTTCCCTAATCATCACAGATATATTCTACTTTCCTAATATAATAGAATGATCAATAATGCCACTAGATGTGTATGTTATGTTGCTTTGCATAACAGTAAATCAGCCTGACGTGTTTTATATTAAGTAAATGACCTACTCACCTCTATCAGGGAGCCGTCTGATTGGATGATTTTGATGACGACCATCATCGGGATGCAAATCATAGAAGTGAGAGCAAGAACCCAACCCAATCCAACAGACCAATCAGGATACTTGTAAAGCTTGTTATAGGTGAGGGGCCTGTACTTCACCAGTGAAAAGATAAAACAACCCTGAAATAGAAAGATGGGATTAGTCACAACCTTTTGCTGCTGGCCATATTTCTCAAGCATAAACTGCGTTCACACACTTACCACACACAGGACGGGTGTGATCAGCATCCAGCTCCATTTCATCCAGCTGTTGGGTCTGTAGCCAATCATGTCCTCTATAGCATCGTAGAAATTATCAGCCCCTACAAATGAACACATGCAGTCAGAATGGATTCAGGAATTGTGTATTGATCATTAGTAACTGTACATCTCAACTCATAGAGCCCTATTTTAAGGATCTAAGCGCATGTTCTTAAGCACACGGCACAAGCGCACTTAGGGCGAGTCCGAATCCACTTTTGCTAGTTAAACGACGGGAAAAATGGTCAGCGCCCGGCGCATGGTCTGAAAGGGTTAATCTCTATTCTCTTAATGCGTAATGGGTGTGTTTTGGGCTTTACGTGCAATAAACCAGTCAGAGTTTCATCTCCCATTCCCTTTAAAAGCCAGTTGCACTCGCGCCATGGCGGATTCGCTTTTTATTTACATGACGGAATTTGCAAGTGGAAAGACTGAACGCTTCTCCAGAGAAAACACGGATCTGCTCATGCGCGAGGTTAAAGTGCACAAGCAGACCATCGACGGGACAAGCCGGATTCCACCATATCTTTATGTACACAATAGTAATCTTTTATATTGTAAACCTTTTATTTTTAATATTTGGCATGTATAAGCAGAGTGTACGCACGTTGTGGACCCACCTATAGGCGCACATTTTAAATAATAAAAAACTTTTTTTTGTTGTTGCGTCATTGACTTCAGACCAGGTTTCAGTTGGTCAATGGCGCAGTCTATTTTAGTTGCCTCAAATGCATTTGCTATTTAAACAACGTGGCGCAGGACGTGAAAATGATAACTGCGTCGGGCTGAAACTAGGAAAAAACACTTGCGTCGCGGGTGTATGATAGGGCCCATAGAGCTTAAAGGTGCAGTATGTAATATTGACAGCTAGTGGTTGAAATGGGTACTGCAGTACAAATTCAAACTATCGGAGATCGTTGTGTCTCCCGCCCCCTCCTGCTCAGACTCGATGCTCACGCGGGTTGCCAGATTGAGGACATGCAACAGGAGTGAGCGCAATTGACCGTTCGCAAAGACCCGCCCCCCCTTAGTTACTGTCGCTATGTCCGACAAGCTACGCTGCTCTCACACACATACACCACAGTGAAAAATACATTGCTTTCAAATTTGGTCATTGTTTTAAAGAAATTTAAACAATAAATACCATTTTGTGGCTCTTTAACGTGTGGTGACAGATCGCTGTAGAGCATCAGTTAAAGCTGCTCGTGATCCGATCATCTCTTTCTTCTAGTTCATTTATAGCATCAAATAAACATGAATGAACATAAGAAGGAATGTTGTTTTACCCGCAGAAAGGCATCAGTACATTCCGTTTTTCAAGTTCAAATCCTCCCATGTTAATCTACTAACTCTCCTGACTGCTTTGTCGGACAAAATGGCGGATGGCGAAGTATGATTGGTCAGATCACCTGTCAATCAAGCTCCCTGCGAAGGGTCAATTGACAATGGAAGAGACTTACTTAAGATACTACGTAAGCTGATGAGTTGATTCATGATTCATCCGCATTTTAATATGCTTCCGTTCATAGAGATTTTTAGATGGATGCCGAGGCTTTTTAGGTCAGGTAAGCCAGTTCGTTTGCTGGCTTCCATGGCTGCAATGCATTGTGTTTTCTGCCAACTGGTAACCCTGGGTGTTGAAATACTATTGGGTGAATTGGCAGTGGGCGGATTCACACGGATCAAAACAAAAACAGACTTTCCAACACGGAATGCACATTTAAAATAAAGTAAAATAAATGGCTGTAGCATTGGTTTTCAGAGAAACAAGTACGTTAACTTAGCATGTTTCCAAAATATCTGCAAACTTTACGGTATTTTAATGCTTTGGTACAGTCAAAAATTACATACACCAAGTTTAAATTAAATGATATTGAGCTGGCCAAAAGGTTTTTCCCAATAATCAGCAGTGAAAAACATGCTGATTTCATGTGGGGCCAGTCATGACTAAAAAGAGAGATCTGATATAAGCCCAGAGGACTGATGTGATTATATAAGACTAAATAAGATTATATAAATTAATCTCAGCAAACACTGTTAGACTGTTGATTGAGTAACCTCAATGAGCTTAATGCACAGATCATAAGACGCATGAGCTCAGTATTTATGCTGTAAACACAAGTGACAGCAGCATGTTTTTAAAGAGACAGACACCCATATAATAAGTAGAGCATATAGTGTGTGTGTGTGTGTGTGTGTGTGTGTCAGTAAGCTTTTTGATGTTTTTGTAAGAAGATACTCATGTTCACTTATGTTCACACATTTATTTGATCAAAAATATAGTCAAAAACGATAATATAATAACAATTTAAAATAACCGTTTTCTATTTTAATATATTTTAAAATTAAGAATTCATTCTGTCACCAAAAACACCATAGCAATAAGTTTTTTTTTAAATCCTGTAACTGGTCACCACTTCATTTTTTTGCCCACATTATTTAAAAATATTTTGCCATTATTTCTTTCTAGAGGCCAGCATTGATTACTGAAACCTTATGTAATGTGTATTTACCGTAAACCCAGGCTACTGCAACACATTCAAAGAATGCAACCCAGAGAAGGCACACACCGCTGGCGGCGTAGTAGTCAAACAGCTGGAAGACGTACATGCCACCCTGAGAGAGAGAAAGATTGAGAGAGAGACATATGGGCATTCAGCGGTCAGACACTGCAGGAGGGCTGAAATCCATATCGTTGACACTTACTTTAGTGACCATGGTGAGTCCCAGCAGGTAACTGATGACGCAGATAACAGCGATGAAGATTTCTCTCCGGTATCCCTTCCTTAGGAGGGATGGGTACAGGTCCACCAGCGAGGTGATCTGACCCTCCACTTCTACAAACTGTGGGGAGAAAACCCACACACACATGTTGGAATTGGAATTAGTAAGTAACAGTGTTATTTTAGTATTACTTATCTATTATAGTATTTATTAATATTTCCTGTTATTTTGATATTTTCAGTTTTTTATAATTATAAGTCATTTTGGCATTGTATATATATATATATATATTTCTATATAATTTATTTGTTTTCATTTTGGCCATTTTGTTATGGGCTTTTGCCATTTTATTACTTTGTTTAGAAAAAAACTTATTTGTTTGCTTAATTCTATTTAAATTTCATTTATTTCTATTTCACTTTTAGTAGTCTTATTTAAAAAAAAAATTCATTTAAGTTTAAGTTTTTCATCTAATATTTATATTTTATGTAAGTTCATTTCAGCTTAATTTCAATTTATTTATTTAATATATACTATATATTCATGTAAAGCAGGTGAAATAACCGTTTGGTTACAACAAAACTAATTTAAAACTCTATTCTATCTGACTATTCCATAAAAAACATGGAATAGATAGCTTATGTCACTTGTTGCGATATCATGTGTCTAATTAAGGCCTGGAATGACAATACATTTATAAAGATGTGTTCATACTGACATACTAAGTGATTTACAGAACAAAGCGACCATTTAACCTTATGCAAATGAGAAGTGATGTTATTTGGACAATACCAATGTTTGTGAAGCATAGGTCATGTGACACATTGGATACTGCAGTCCAGTACAGACGTCCTACTAGTGACCAACAGTACAGCATTGTTAGTGTTTACACAGTTTTTGTTTTAATCATAGTTGTTCTATTTTGACTGTAGGAAAGCCAAAAATGCATAATAACATTTTTTTTTCTCAAATGGTTTTAGTTTAGTCTTGAGAAATGTTGTTTTAATTAACTGTTTTGTTGTTGAATCTTTTTTGTATAATTACATTTTGTAGTGGAAGTGACACTTATTACTGTATGAAAAAAACAGTAGGTAGGTAAAATAGGACTCGGAGTATGCAAAAAGTTCCCGGATCTACTTCCAGTGAGATTCTGAAGTGTGCATACGATGGACACTTTACTATCCCATGAGGCCAGAGGAGAGGATTTGTGAATGACAGTGAAGCGACGTAACTAATAATGACAACAGGGCGAAATGTAGTACGTAAGGATTACATTCGTACTACACACATTCATACTATATAGAACATACTTTTTTAGCGGTTGTGAAGTAATTACTTGAAAATTACTTGTTCAAAATAAGTGCCTAATCAAAAGAGTATCCAATTTGGGAAGCAGCCTTGATTTTTTTTTTTTTTGGATCTACTAAAATAGGTTTTCATGCTTGAATGTTTAAAAACATTTTCACATATTTGAAATTGTTGCAGCTCCTCTCTTCCCAGTCTGTCAGTAACGCTCTGTTTAGTTCGTCTCTATGAAACCCCTCCTTCCGAAAAGCTCTCGGCTGGACCAGTGTGTTGTGATTGGTCAACCGTTTCTAGCATGTTTGGGAAATGTCCCGCCACTTACATAATAGCGAGTTTCAACAGACACAACCGATTCAACACAACCAGGCCCCGCCTCTTTATTTTGTGTATGCCTATGGCGGGAATTATTTAAATGCGGAATATTGTGACGTGTTTGTTTCTGGAAGAAAACTCGAGACTACAATGGAGGCGTTTCAGGGATTAACTCCCTTTAGAGTGACTTTGTGCTATGTAACTTTGCAGACCTTTTTCATGCTCAAACAGGAACATTACACACTAAAGAAAGTTGAAAATGTAAAAAAAAACCATAAAGGTCCTCTTTAAACCAAAAAACCTTTTGCAACTGCACATTTTGACAGATAAACACTGCTTTACAGGGACAAGCCTCTTGGAGTCATCTGAGGTTGTGTTTTAATGAATGAACAATGGTGACAGCTTATGCATCTGGTCATCACCTTATTTGACCCTGAACTGTGGAAAATCTGAGGGTTTATAATTATTTTTATTGCCCACTGGAGAGTGAATGACATTCATAACAATGGCAAACTTATTTATGTCCTGTTGTTGCTCTTAGTGTGTTTGCACACTAGTGTGTGTGTGTGTGTAATTTCACACACACATATCCAAAAGGAAATGTGATCCATCACACGTTGGCTTTTCAGCAAGTCATATGAGACTGGAATAACTTCACTGTCTCGTGATATGTGACTTTGAGGGTGTGTTTGTGGGAGGCAGCCCGAAATATAGCAGAGTAATTCCTCAACGCTGGCTCACAGCCGCAGAAAGATGATGTTTCACATTAGGACTGAACACTATGCTGTATAGTTATGATCTCCTGGCTTAACCATCTCAATGTTTGCGGTCTTTCATTCCAACACCAGGACACTCATATGTCAAACCACGCAGAGGACATTTTTATTGCTCTTTTATAGCTCTGGAGACTTAATGGAGTTCTCAATTATGTTTTGGTGTTAACTTTGTCTTAGATGTTTTTCTTAAAGAAATAGAAAAGAAAAATATATTTTATATTATGCAGAAGAAAGAAAGTCATTCAGTCATTAGTGGGATTAAATTAGTATTTTTGGGTGAACTATCCCTTTAATTTAAGAGCAATGGGAAGTGTAGGTGTGGGTTTGTGTTGATCTAACCTGACTGTCTAGGCCCAGCAGCAGAAGCATTATGAAGAAAAGTATCGCCCAGACCGTCGGCAGTGGCATCATTGTAACGGCCTTTGGATACGCGATGAAGGCCAGACCAGGACCTGAGAGACACAGAAGTAATTCATATATTATTAAAAGAGTGTGCGAGTGTATATATATATATATGTATATATATATGTAGGGCTTGTCATTAACTTTTTTGCTCACCAGCCACTGTGACTAGTGGTTTTCCAAACTTACTAGCCACTCAACATTTTCACAGACCACAATTTTGACATCGATTCCATGGGAAAGCCATATAGATATTTTTAATATCTCATAATTTGGCAGCAGGTATATTAGTCTGCTGTCACTTTAAGACCTGACACACGGATCCATTATACTGTTACACATGTGTTTTCTTTCTCAACTGTTTACTTTCACCTAAAACATAACTGACTGTGTTTACGTGAATACTCGTATTGTGTGTATTTGACTGTTTAAGCCCAATAAGCAGTGAAAAAAAACTCAATTTAGTACTGAGAGGCGGCTTTATGTGCATACACTTTAGGTGTGAGCATAAAATCTGCGGAAATGGGTAAAATTATACGCAATCCGCGCAATCCGTCGCCGAAAAATTCAAGCCCTGTAACACCAACAATATTCATCCGGAGGAAATAAAATGAGTGGGTATGGGGAAGTTTGAGTATCGGAGAGATGAGAGACCGAGAAAGCGCAGTTGGTATTGTGTATATATATAGATATATTAGGGCTGTCAGTTAACCGCGTTATTAACGGCGTTAACGCAAACCCATTTTAACGGCGTTAATTTTTTTATCGCGCGATTAACGGTCTTTTTGGCCTAGCAAACTTTGTAGTTTTTTTTCATATGCCTTTGCAACAGGACGCGGCATGCCCGGCGCTGCGCTATGAAACCCATTCATTTCAATGGCTTGCGCCGCGCAAGGACGTTTTGTTGCTTCGTCGACCAAAGCGCAAGCGGATCTAGCTAGACCGGAAACAAAACAACAGGCACGCGGCACACACTCGTTTGGGTCTGCGAGCCGGCCAAATAGTAGGTTAACGTTACGTTTTGAGTGGATGATGAGCGCCAGACGCCGAAATGGATGCCAATAAGATTCTGAATGGAAAGTTTACTTTTAAAAAGGTGCCGAATGGTTCCATTGACAAGAGCAAAGTGATCTGTGTGTTATATCGTTGTGAACTGAGCTATCATCATCGCAGCACGTCCAGTCTGAAACACCACTTGATGATGGCCAAGCATACACACACACACACACACACACAGCTGATGCGAATTCTCCGCCCCCTCGTCAATATCAGGACCTCGTCAGTATTTCTTTCACCCTTTTATTGATGGACAGTGTTACATTGTGTGAGAGATTATTTGGTCCAAGTGAGAACGTTTTATTGTGAAATTGAACACGGTATTTTCAATGTTGTTTTCAATAAAAAACATTTGCACAAAGCAAGCCGATCCACTTTTCCGTGTTGATTAAAATGAGAAAAAAAGAATGGGACAAAAAGAAATCAAGAGACATTTAGAATAGATAAAAATGTGCGATTAATCGCGAGTTACCTATGACATTAATGCGATTAATCGCGATTAAATATTTTAATCGTTTGACAGCACTAATATATATATATATATATATATAATTGACACTTCGCCACAAATGCTGCTAAAAGGGCTTCAAATAAAATATAATACATTAGATTTATCACAATCTTAAATTATTATTCACTTCTTCCTCTCATTGAAAGCATTCCTTGTGAGCAGATTTGGTGACCTTTGACCCTGAGGATTACCTGACTCGGCCACGTCTGCGATGGCCACGCCCTGCTCCTGTGCCATGAACCCCAGGACAGAGAAAATGGCAAAGCCTGACACGAAACTGGTACCGCTGTTCAGGCACCCGAGCAGCATGCAGTCCCTAAACACACACACACACACACGATGTTTGAACAATAAATAGACACAGCATATAGATATAAACATATAAAACATGCATTTACAATTGGTAACGCACAACAACAGGCCCTCACCTGTAACAGTTATACTTGTACTTGTTGTAGCTTCCCAGTGATGTCATTGCACCGAGACAAATAGCATATGAGAAAAAGATCTGCGTGCCTGCATCAATCCACACCTAAATCAGTCAACAGAGAGAGAGAGAGAGATTGCAGCTTGCTTCAAATGAAAAATAACAATATACCGAGATTTTTTTCTCTCTGTCTCTCTACCTCAGGGTCCTTTAGACGGGTCAGATCAGGGTAAAGGTAGAACTTGATGCCCTCGGCGGCACCAGGCAGAGTCACACCACGAACCAGCAGCACAATCAGCATGAGGAAGGGAAACGTCGCTGTGAAATAAACCACCTACAGACAGAGAGAGAAAAGGGCAGAGCGTTCATGGATTTCCATTATGAAAATAAAATAATTATACACCTACGGAAAGCAATCCATATTCACAAATGAAACCCACATAGCTACAAATTCTGGAATGAAGGCTTGTTAAAGTGCACATTGGACCCTTTTCCACGAAACACGAGTAGATTTCTGTGTAATTCGTTTGCCACAAAATCATTCTTTCATTAGTCATTCTTTGATTTACACAGAAATCAGTTCTGCTCGTGTTTAATGAATGAGGCTCAGTGTGTGTCCATGATTAGATCCTAGACAGTTACTAGATCATGTGCACCACTAAAATGTATTTCAATTAGAAAACCTTGAATCTTTTAAAGACCCTTTTAAAATCAAACATTTGTTTGTGGTTTTTAGTTCATGTCCATTAGCTTTGAATTCATCTATACACTATCATACAAAATCTGGGGTCTGGGATTTTATAAAAGAAATGAATAGTTTTTTTCAGCAGGGATGCATTACATTTTTTAAACATTAAAGACATTATAATGTTGCACAATATTTCTGTTTCTAATAAATTCTGTTCTTTTCAACTCTCTACTCATCAAAGAATCTTCGAAAAAGTCACTGTTTCCACAAAAATATTAAGTTTTTAATATTGATAAATAATAATAAATGTTTCTTGAGCAGTTGAAGGATCATAAGTACCGTAAGTATGATGCTGGATAAGGCACTCCTACATAAGGAGGAATGATGCTGAAAATTCAGCTTTGCATCACAGGAATAGCTTAGAAAATAGTTATTTTAAATGGTAATAATATTTTACAATATTTTGGTTTTTACTGTATTTTTCATCAAATAAATGCAGCCTTTGGGTGAGCATAAGAGACTTCTTTCAAAATTAAAAAAATCTTACTGACCACAAACTTTTGAATGGTGGTGTATGAATGGTAGTGTGTTCCAAAAAGACAAAATTAACTTAGCAAAGCAGATGCATTTAAAATATACAGGCTTTCTCTTCCAGGAAAATGGACCAACATTTATTTTTATTTATTGTACATTCGCTCTTCAATATATCCTGTTCCTACTTTCTGTTACAATAGGAAAAAGACAGATAGCAAAAGAAAACTGTGCCTGTGCAAGTATCTATTGAGTTGTGTGTCATATTTTTGCTTGCTTACTGTAAATATGCATGTTGCATTGTGTATGTTAGCATGTTACATTTGGAGTATTCCAAGTAAACAGGAATCCAATAATCTCGTATAAATTAGGGCTGCACAATATTGAGGAAAAAACCCGACATTGCAATATTTTGTTTTTCTGCTATATATATTGAGATATGAAAATTTTACCAGATGACTTGAATAGCTCTATTTGGAAAGAATGAATCATTCTAGAATGATTGAGGTGATTTTGTAGCGGAGTGCATCTGCATAGAAAATAAACAAATTACAAGCATAGATACATACAACAAAACAAAACAAAGATACAAATGAAATAAACTTACTTTATGTTTTTCAGGCAAGTCTAACAGTATTTAGGTACAGAACTTCAATAATTAAATGTAAAATAACACTGCATAGTCTTCCCTGTATAAATGAAATGTAATATTCTTTGTTAAAGCGAATGATTTTCTTTTTGTCTTTTGTTGTGTGATTAACATTAATGACAGATGGCAACAGATATATTAGGCTAATGTTACTTTTAGAGCTAATGCACTGATCCAATATAATGAGACACATGAGACACAAGTGACTGTTTACGAGGATACTCGCTGAGACAGACATTTTGAGACAATTTTGCATCAAAAAGAAGATAATAGGAACTGAATTTGCTGTTCCAAATTGAGTTTGCGTTCACGTCTTCTTGCGCTAGGATGCTTTCAAGTCACTTTATAGGATAAACTTGCAATTAATCCGTGAATCACATGCATTCTGAACCATATAGCCTGGTCCATACGGATCACGGATCAACTACGACTCCTACTATCGCAATGCTGATGCTGAAATTATATCATGCAGCTCTAATATAAATCATACAGTACTATATCTGACCATATTATTGTTCTTAGCTACTTCTGTAATCAGATATATGGTATCATCCAAAGGAACCAAGGCTTTACAGCAAAGTTATAGGAACTACTGTACCTGATAATTTGGGTAATATTATAAATAAATATAATATGCGTGCTGCTGAATATTATAAAACCTATCAGCTTGACTCATAAATATGAATAATGCAAAGTCTGATTTATTGAAAGGATAAGGTTTATGCCTGCAAGCTTCTACTTGGTAATTTTATGTGTGCAATACAATTTGCGCTCTTAAAATATAATGATCACTTTGCAAAATGTGGGGGTACGAACTTCGACATTTCTGAAAGTGTAATGCTTGCTTTTTAAAAATGAGTCACTTTTCTCGTCCTCTCCCTCACCTTGCCGGTGGATTTGACTCCTTTCCAGATGCAGAAGAAGCAGACGATCCAGACGGCCAGCAGACACAGCGCCAGCTCCCACTTCAGACCGCCGACCTCGTCGATCCCTGAGGAGATGCTGAGGACGTTCCGCCTACAGACGATATCAGAGTGATGAGAACGGGCGTAGAGCGTCCGTCCCGGACACACACCCGCGCACGATACTCACTCCCAGAATTCGGTGACCGGCGAGGTGAAGTTGACAGTGTTGGTGGAGAGCCAGAGGGTTTTGTTCTTGCGGACGGTGTCCTCCACACAGTTCTCCGTGTTCCAGCTGTGCTTGCAGCGGGCCCAGGGCAGCTCGTGCTGGAAACACTGCAGAAGGTAGTACAGACCCCACGCCAGGATCACGATGTAGTAGATGTTCAGCAGGGACACGATCACCACTGAGGCGTAGCCGATTCCTGGCAACGTGAAAGCAACATTTACTTTCTTAATACACATTCATGGTCTTACTGTTCACGGTTCTTCAGTGATCATTCAAAATTATACAAACAAAAAGAAATTGTTAAATGATAGGGTTGCACCACCTATTTACACTAGCTTTTCAAAAGTTTGGAGTTGGTAAAAAAAAAAAAATTTGACTTTTAAATTAATGATCACAGAGGCTGCATTTATTTGATCAAAAATACAGTAATAACTAATATTATGAAATATTATTACAATTTAAAATAACTGTTTTTCTTTTTTAATATATTTTAATGATCAAAGCTGAATTTTCAGCATCATTACTCCAGTCTTCAGTGTCACATGATCCTTCAGAAATCATTCTAATATGCTGATTTGCTGCTCAAGAAACATTTCTGAGTATTATCAATGTTGAAAACAGTTGTGCTGCTTCATTTTTTGTGGAAACTGTTATACTTTTTTTCCAGGAATGAATAGAAAGTTAAAAAGAACAGCATTTATTTAAAACAGAAATATTGTGTAACATAAACGTCTTTACTGTCACTTTTGTTCAATTTAACGCATCCTTGATAAATAAAAGTATAAATTTCTTTCAAATAAATAACAAAACGGGAAAAAAAACTTGGTAGTTTATATAAACTATATGTACTACTACTATAATACTAATACCCTGAACTCTGAAAATTTGCTATTAATTTGTTTTGATTTATTTTTATTTTGTTTTGATTTAAGTGTTTAGTTTCATGCTTGAGAGCCACTAAGTCATAATTTATAATATAATATTCTCTCTTATAAAATGTACTGTAAATGATGTTAAATGTCAACATCATCATATAATTATGTCATAAGAACTGAAGTCTGTTGGGTAAAACATGAGCTCACTGATCTAATTTAAGAGATCTGCTATTTTACTCCTACTTCTTTAAATATTTAGTTTATACGTAGCCGTCAATGCTCAAATATTTAGTAGCACAACAGCTAACTTACGCACAGCTGGTGCAACCATACCCCAATGGATAAAAACAAGTATCGCTATATTTTCTCTTAATTAATCATTTATTTCATCAAGAAATGTCACATTATGAAAGTAAAATGAGTATGACTTCATGTTTATAAAGAAAGAGTAGAAACCGTAGAAAGGTGACATTTTTTAAATCAGTGCTACCTGACAAGAGAAAAAAGAGAAAAAACTATGTAGGAAAACTTTGACACCCATAATGCACTGGGCATGTTGCCATCCAAGGCCACTCCCACCTCCTTGCTTTAGTAGGAAATAATTCTTAGCAAACTTTTAGTCATAATGGAGACTGTATTGTTCCCGGGTGCAAGAATTCAAAGAGTGAACGTTTAGCGGGAGTGAGTTATTTTCGGTTTCCAGTGAAGGATCCAGCACGTTGTAGCCAGTGACTAAAGGTTGCAAACAATCATAAATATGGAGAGAACACTGCGACCGAAAATCTGAAAACCCCCTGTGTCAACATTTTCAAACTGGATGACCTTAAACACAGTGTTTGGACTACCAGCTAACTAACTTATTCTCTTAGCAATCTGTAGTGCTGTACTGGAACTAACAGTATATTAACAACACAGATTAACATTAAAACATTAATCTGCCAGGATTAGAGCTGGTCATAAATGATAAGACAAGCATCTACTTGCACAGCATGTAACTTGCCACTGTTACAGACATGAGTGATATCTCAAATCATGCGGCTTGTTAAAGGAGAGCTGCCACATCTAAGCAGACCGGAGCACAGTGTGAGACTTTATGAGAAAGACTTTATGTTCTCATTCTTATAATGAGTCACACACAGCTGAAACGACTCTATTCTCAGAGCAATGAAGCTTCACCTGTTGGCTCTGACACATCTGCGTCTGAAATTGTATTTTTCTAGGGTTGAGCGCAGTCAAAGGGCTGAATGCTGGTTTTATGCTAAAATTAATACAAAGAGCCACAAGCTCGCTCTGCGCTGCCAGGAGCTCACTGTGACAGCTGACAACAGAATGCCAAACGTGCGTTTGAGTATATGCAAGAGCAGGACATCATTTGTAGATGTGTGTGTGTGTGCTCAAGAGAGATCGCTCAGCTGCCGCTGATGCTAAGAACATAATCATTGGGTGAAAGGGGACAATGGGCTCACGGTGTAAGAAATATCACTGGTATGTGCTAAATAAAACCCATCCACGTGAGCGATGTGCCCCTGCATGTGTGCATATAGAGGTCAGAGGCCAAAATAATACAAATATCCTCTCAGACAGGGGTTATAATAGGTGGTCTGTGGAAAAGTTGTCAAAATAAATAAATAAAAATCGGATTAATCTAACTAAATAAATACATTTGAATAAAATAAAAAGTTAATTTAAATAAACAAATAAAATAGTATTTAAATAACTGGACAATAAATTAATACATTACATTAAAAAAAATGGATTGAAATAAATAAATATAATGTTATTTAAATCAAAATAAATAAATAAATTGATTTGAAATTTTTATTTTACTTATTTTTATTTATTTATTTTAATCAAATGTTTTTATATAACTACATAAATAAAAACATTTGATTTAAATAAACTGATTAAAATTGACTAAAAAAAATATATATTCAAAATGAATTTGATTTAAATAAATAATAAACTAATGCATTACACAGTACAGTACTAGAGTAAGTAGAAAAAATTGCAATAATGTAATTTAATAGAAAGTAAATATTTGACAAATTTATAATATTATTTTTCACATTATTAATTAGGTCTTAATACATGAAAATTGAAAAGCCCTCCTCTAAGAAACTCCCCCCTGCCCTGTTCTTTCTCATCCTAACACAACCACTCCATTTTGGCTCCTGGGCAGAATATCTCTGAGCGGACAGAAGAAGGACATCCCATCGAAAGCATCTCAGTCACCTCTCACGGCTGTTGCCATGGAGATCAGAATACATGCCCAAATGCGGAGCGGGGTGTTAGTCAAAGCACTCTGAAGCAGAGAGCGGCGGAAAGCAAACAAATGATGGGGAATTAAACACACATGTAGTGTGTGTGTATGAGTGACCCGCATCCTGCTGACACACATGCAGAATCGGAACACGACGACGCATCTGAAAAGAACACAGCGTCTTCCAGTGTTGCTTAGAAACCACAGCAGACGCTGAAAACAGGTCAGAGTGAAGATCAGTTTAACAAGCCACCTCAGCAGCCAATCAGACTCGAAGCGCATCACAGTAACGGCCATGTTGATTGGCCGAAGCTGCCGTGAGGGACCACGGGTAACCTGTAGAGGTCATGAAATATGACTTATGCTGATTAAAATGTGCTTGAGCCCGATGAGTCATCAAAGTCAGACCTGTCTCGTCCTCCCCCTCACTCTCTCCATCTCTCTCTTGATCCATCTATTTGTCTCACCAGTGAAAATGGGGCAGAGTTTCCCCCAGCAGGTGATTCCTCCCTCAGAGGTGAACTGGCCGAGCGCCACCTCCAGAAAGAAGACAGGTAACCCTCCGCCAAACAGAAATATGAAGTAGGGGATGAGAAATGCACCTGGAAAAAACAACAACAGGTAAGACCAGGTAGAGACCAGTTTAAATTACTATTATAGTAATCAACAGTGTCACAGATGTTATTGGTAGTTTAACTTGTATAGAACCTAAAACCAGTGTTGTTATTGTTAACTAAAACTATAAAAAAAAAAATTTATTAATTGCAATAAAGCTGAAATAACAGAGAAGATCGCACTGCGCACACAGAAACATTCAGGAGCTCTATATGTGTGTGCGCAGTGAGATCTTCACTGTCTGTGTGCGAGTGACAGTAACGTATGCGTGTGTGCGCTTCAATGAAACAGCGCATTAATATAGAATGGGGATTAAACTGACTGGAACTACCTGTGCATTAAAGGGGTAGTTCACACAAAAATGAAAATTATGTCAGTAATTACTCGCCCTCATGTTGTTCCAACCCCGTAAGACTTTCGTTCATCTTCGGAACACAAATTAAGATATTTTTGATGAAATCTGAGAGCTGGATCACTCCTCCATAGGCTTCTAAGGGAAACTTGCCGGCCCAGAAAAGTTATTAAAGACATCGTTAAAATAGTCCGAGTGACTACAGTGGCTCAACCTTAAGTTTATCAAGCGACTTTATTCAACTATTCATTTCCTTCTCTGTTGGCCTCGAGATAGTTCATGTAGTGTAACAGCGCAGCGCTTCTGTGTTGTATGTCACACGCATCACACACATGACCAGCGTCGGCCAATAGTGAGCCTGCGTGTGACGTACAACACAGAAGCGCTGCGCAATATCACTACGTGAAATCTCGAGGCCCACAGAGAAGGAAATGAATAGCTGAATAAAGTCGTTATTTTTTTTTTTAAAAATTGCGCACAAAAAGTATTCTCGTCGCTTGATAAACTTAAGATTGAGCCACTGTAGTCACTCGGACTATTTTAACGATGTCTTTCATAACTTTTCTGGGCCGGCAAGTTTCGATCCCTTAGAACCCTATGGAGGAGTGATCCAGCTCTCAGATTTCATCAAAAATTAATTAGTGTTCCGAAGATGAACGAACGTCTTACGGGGTTGGAACAACATGAGGGCGAGTAATTACTGACATAATTTTCATTTTTAGGTGAACTATCCCTTTAAACGGCTTTATTGCACACCTTCCAGCCAATCAGAATCGAGTATTCAGACAGACCATGGTATAATCTTAAATATGAACTTATTAAGATTAGAAATGTTGCCTTAGCAACTAACTAAAACAGAAAAATGTAAGAACTCAAATTACTACAACTAACACTGAAATAAAAATTAAAGCTAGATAGAAATATAAAAAATAATACGATGACAAAAGCACATAAAATTACTAAAAACTGAAAATAAAAGCTAATTCAAATTAATAAATATAATAATAAATACTATAAATAGTATATAAATGATACTATATAGTTTTAATACATATATTCATTAGCACAGCACAGAATATAATACATTAATATGTGAAATACTTAGAAAAAAATATTCTGCAATGAGCTCAAAGGTATTAATATCACAAGCTCTTATTTGCATGTGACATACAGTTCACAAAGACTGAAAAGTGTTATCTTTGTTGTCATATTACACATGGAAACACTCACCTCCGCCATTCTTGTAGCAGAGGTACGGGAAACGCCAAACGTTGCCTAAACCAACAAAACCTCCGGCCACAGAGAGCACGAAATCCAGCTTGCTGGCCCATTTCTCCCGCTGTGGTGCTCTGCCCTCCGCCTCGTCTTCCGGACGCGTGCCGGGACTCTTGCCAGGAGACGGCTTCAATGTGTCCTTGTGGAAGTCTTTGAGACACTGCAACTTCTCCTTCTGTGCCATACTGAGTACAAGAAAGAGAGAGCGGAAGGGGTTGAGAATGATATACACTACAAAAATGTGATAGAGACGTTTGAAGAAATTAATACTGAGCAAGGATGCATTAAATTGATCAAAAGTCACAGTAAAGAAAGACATTTATAATTTTACAAAATAAATTTCTGTTCTTTTAAACCGTCTATTCATCAAAGAAAAGAAAATCACGGTTTCGACAAAAATATCATGTAGCACAACTGTTTTCAACATTGATAATAATCAGAAATGTTTCTTGAGCAGCAAATCAGAATATTATAAGGATTTCTGAAGGATCATGTGACACTGAAGACTGGAGTAATTTGAGTAACTGGAGCTTTGATCACAGGAATAAATTACATTTGAACATATATTCAAATAGAAAACAGTTATTTTGAATTGTACTAATATTTCACAATATTACGGTGTTTTTGATCAAAGAAATGCAGCCTTGGGGAACAGAAGAGACTTCAAATCAATTAAAAAACTTAATGGACCACACACTTTTGGCAGTAGTGTATCATAAATGTCTGTTTATATGTGTGTGATTCATCTGGATTCGGCTTTATGAAGACCCACAAAGAAAAGACTAAGTAAATAAGCAGAAAGTTTGAGCTATAAAAAATGACATCCTCTGAGACTGTGCAAAACATGCACTGTTATATAAGACAGATCTAGAAGCCAGAGCTCAAAAAAATCTGCAAATCTCAATGCTGATTGCTCAAAGCTTATGCAAAAACTTCCGGAGGAATTATTTAAAAAACACAGTAGCCTCAAAACCGAACATGTATACAACTTAGATTACATTTCACGTGAAGTGAACGATGCAGCTACATACAGAAAACGCTATGTAGGGCTGAGCAAATATGGGCAGAACTCTTAACTGCCCTAGTACTTCAAAAAGCCTTTTAAAGGTATACATATGAATTAAACGTGGCACAATGGCCTTCATCATCACAGTGTGCTAATGCATATCTAGTGCAAGGGATTTCATCAATGTGCTGATTGAGGACTGTTGGGACACTCCAGGCACGGGATGCTTCTGTCATTTGCACCTCAATGACACGTCTGTACCATTTGCTTCACAGGACATATGCTTTCAACTACATACTGTTTATTTACTAGTGTGTTCTAATATGTAATGCCATGTTTGGTCTCATCTGACAGCTTATAAACTGAAATGAACGGTGGTATACCGATACCGAGATATTAAAGATATTAAAGGGGTCATATAATGCCATTTTTGTACAAGCTAGTATGATTCTTTAGGGTCTAAATTAAACGTTTGTAATATACTTTAATTAAAAATTCTCATTAGTATTGTAAGAAAACACTTATTTTACTTGATCAAAAACAGCTCTGTTTTCAGCACGCCGTTTCAGTGCATATGACTTTAAATGATAATGAGCTTTGCTCACTCCGCCTCTCTGTTCTGTGCGTACACCGTTTGTAACACAATAACACAATAACCATAACACGTTGCTCAGTATAAACATGGGATTATGAATTATATTGAGAACACCATACATTAAAAACATGCCGTAATGCACCCTGAGTGTAAACCTTAGACGCATTCATTGTGAAGCGTGCAGCTAGCGATTTGCAAAGATTAATATAAATATTAATATAAAGTTTAATAAAACGTTACACTCACTTCAGTTGTTCTACAGTAGCGTTTCTCAACGGGGGCGGTACCGCCCCCTTGGGGGCGTTTGGACAGTGTCGGGGGGCGTTGGGAACGAGGCAGCTGAGAGGGGGGCGCTCAGGCACAAATGGGGGGCGTTATGTCTGACTGTGGCACTATATACTCACTGTTATTATCACAACTTTTTTAAGCCTCTGACAACACATACAATGTTAATTTGAATGCATGGGCGTTTTAGGTACAGCATTGATTTCCACGCTGCTGCTCAAATCCATTCCACCTTCATTCGGAGTCCCACCAGGCCAGACGATCCAATACGCACGTGCAGTCCCAAGCGCGAGTCCTCAGGCGCACTCCGGCTCAAGCTGACATCCTTGTGTCCTGATGTGAAAAAGTTGGCTGCCAGTCACCAAGCTCAGGGCTCACACTAATGACCGTAATTAATGTTGACTGTTTTGGATGCCTTTGTCTTTTTTCTTTGGTTCAGTTCTGGTGTCTTCTTTGTTCGTCATTTGAAATCAACTGGCTGTTTGGCTATTCAAATTTGAAGCCTATATATTGCCTAATTAAGTGCGCGAACGACGCTGCCTTTTCATTGGCCATTTAGGTTATTGTTCATGTGATTGGTTAATTAAAAAAAAAAAATTAAATCACTTTTAAACGAACAAATTCAAATCGAAAGCTAATACAGTCTGATGTAATCCGTATGAAAGGTGCATTTCTCTCTAAAGGCGCATCCGCTTTACAGCAGAGATGGAGATTTGCTTGCAGCCAACACTAATTTATAAAACACTAGTTTACTAATAAACTATACATTTAAAATTACAAACTCGTTATTTTTTCAGACACATTTATTATCATTAGCCAGTAAATAAATCAGATCTCTGTATGGTTCCAGAGACATGGCTCTTCTCATTCAGCACTGCGGGGAAAATATAATTTCCAGGTTCTAATTTGGCCTTAGAAAAACAGTAAAATCTAAATTTAGTATTTTAAATGTTTAATAAAGGGGCACAATGTCAAACAAAAATATGTAAATATGTCAATTGCATTTTATACAACAACCAAAAAACCAACAAAAGCAAAATACAACAACCGTTAATTTTTCGTGTTTCAATTACGGGTTAAAAAGGAAAAACGAATGGATAGTAAAAGTAAAAGGACCTTATATTATTAAAACATTTCAAATAATGCATTTGTAGAAAAAGTTTGATAGAATTGGGTCCGTGTACTTTTGTGTCCATTCCTTTTTCCTTTTTAACCTGTAATTGAAAAATGAAAAATTAAAGGTTGTTTTATTTTTTTAAATGCAAATTTGCATACCAAAATTTGAATTTGAAATGTAGGCTACACAATGCTACGCAAATATATACATATATATATATATATATATATATATATATATATATAATGTATTTTCATATTTTTGTTTATGACTTTTTGCCCCTTTATTAAACATTTAAAATATTCACAAATTAATATGGAAACAATTTCTAAGGCCAAATTAGAACCTGGAAATTATATTTTTCCCGCAGTGCTGAATGAGAAGAGCCTCTAACCATAACTGATTTATAGATGTTTTATAAGTTAATATGATAATAAATGTGTCTTCACATTGACCCATTTTAATTGTTTATTAATAAACTAGTGTTTTATAAATCAGTGTCGCTGTCGGCTGAAAACCTCTCCATCTCCGCTGTAAAGCGGATGCGCCTTTAGAGAGAAATGCACCTTTCATACGGGTATTTGCTTTCGATCAGATTTTTTTCGTTTAAAAGTGGACATTTCAATATAGGTAGGCTATATTTTGTTTGTTCATATTTGAGACGCGCTCCAGTTCATCAAAGTGCGCCTGATAGTTTGATTTTATTTACAAAAGCACATTTTCTTGTTATTGTGAGTTTAAATAAAAGTTGCAAATTATGTTTTTTTTTTTTTTTTTTTATGACCAGAAATTATATAGCTAGTATTTTCAGTTGTTTCCACTGTTGATAGGAAAATGCACGTGATCGTGCCTGCATGCAGCAAGCGCCACACTCCGCACACACACTTGGATATGCGTAAACATCTTGTGTTTATTTGTGATAATCTTACTACTAACTACTAACTGTTACAGCAGGAACACACCCACTGTGCGCCCTCCAACTGCTGCAGATTCACCTGAACAAGCAACTCAAACCGTCTGGATAACAACCACACCCAAACAATAACAGCAGGTTCATCTTTCCCATCCATCTGTTTTTAACATCATCTACATCATGATTGCTCATAATACAGCAACTTAAACTTTCTGTAATGATGAGGTCATGAACACTTAAGTAAAACTTTTACATACCAATTATTTTAAGAGAACCATTTCAAAAAACAGCTTATTTAAAATAAAATAAAAATTATATACTGTAGTCCATACTGATTGAGAATCGAGATTGACTACCACTACCATATAAATAACTTCATATGCAACATTTCAAAAGTTTGGGCTCAGTGTGAATTTTTTTTTAAAGAAATTAGTACTTTTATTCAACAAGGACACATTAAATTGATCAAAAATGACAGTAAAGACAATTACAATGTTACAAAATATTCCTGTTTTAAATAAACACTTTCAAAGTTCTTTTGAACTTTCTATTCATCAAAAAATCCTGGGAAAAAATGCATCACTGTTTTGACAAAAATATTAAGAAAGCAGCACAACTGTTTTCAGCATGGATAAAAATAAGAAATGTTTCTTGAGCAACAAATCAGCATAGAATAATTTCTGAAGGATCATGTGATATGGAAAGGGAAAAACATATAAGGAGATTAAAACAAAAACACTGGATGGATTTTTATCATTTTATGATGGCTGTGTACAGACACTGCCAACACACATTTCAGTACAATCAACTTGTAAAAGTGCATGTACCATTATATGACCCCTTTAAAGTATCATAATCTAGGTATTATTGGTTAAACATGCATTGAGGAGAATATGTTAATGTTCTCCTCCCCCTCTTGATCACTACCCATTTGCCTCATCTTTTGGTTTCCTGTCGGTCGGTTTCGGTGTTGGTATTCCACTCATGTTTAACAATAAGAAGGAAAGGTAACTGTTGTTTTCACACAAACACCAGTATAGTGTTTCATGGCCTGCCTTTAATCAGAGTAAGACTTGAGCTCTGAAATGCGAGTCAGGAAGCTGATGGAGTCTGATATCCTGTTTGAAACTCACACTAACAAGTCAAACACAGATGCTGATAAACTAACTCACTCCATTACACGTGTCCGGGTTAGCCAGTGCCCTTTTCTCTGTATGTTTGGAGGTTTCATACCATTTGCATATATATTCTTATTAGTAGGAGGTCAGCACATGACTTACTAGCATCCTGCTTTTTCTTCCTTCACTCTTAAAATATAAAGGTTCTTTATAGCATTGCTGGTTCCATTAAGAACCTTTAACATCCATAGAACCTTTCCATTGCACAAAAGGTTCTTTATAGTAGAGAAAGTTCTTTGGATTTTTTTTATGTTCTTTATACTAAGGGGAAAAATGGTTCTTTTAAGAATTGATCACTGAAAGGTTCTTTAGGAATGAAACTAAAAATGGTTCTTCTGTTGCATTGCCAAAGAAGAACACCTTTCTCCTTTGGGAACCTTTGTTTTTAAGAGTGTATCAGGAGTTATCTAAACGCACTGACTCCGAATTATGGAACAACCTTCTGATGAAGGCTAGACAGATAAGACAGGTAAATACAACTATTTTTTTTTTTTACAAATGATATGATCAGCATAATGCAAAGTTGAGTTGAAAAATGCATAGGCCTATGAATTTGAAAATGTCTTAGTAATTTCTTGGTCTCTCTTTTGCTTTACTGGGATCCACACATGCCAGATGTGGGCCGGATCTGGGCCGACACTATGTTGCTGTTTGGGACATGAACAAAACCTGATGATCGGGTTCTCCATGCAGCATAATTTAAGAGGATCCAAAGAGCATCTTGATCTGAAATTTACTTAGATTTAATTAGTGATCTAGAAAAAGTGCAGAATATTAAATATTTCTAATTCATTCTATGTTTCTTGGTTTAACAGTTTTCAAAATTGCTAAAACTTGTTTTGATTGTAAATTCGATTTTGAATCCCAATGTAGACTAATCTTGTGTTATTTTTTAAATAATTAGATTACGACAAACCATTAAATCCCAAAAATTCTGTTATTTCATCTGAACAACAAGCAGTGTGTCATTATTTATTGTAAGCAATGTCAACGACCGAGCCAAACACTGAGACGTGCGCCCTCACATTCCTCTGGTGTGTTAGATCAGTAAAACACCATAATAATCAACTTAAACTGAACTGAGCTGAATAATGACACTACTGTCTTCTGCTTTATAGCTGAACGTTTTTCAAAACTGATGAAGTTTGCAACATCGACATTGTTATTGAACTGAATTGAAGCGACGAGCTGAATAAAGACATTACTGTCTTCAGTAGAGCCGCTTATAGCTGAATTGAACTTGTTTCATAGTGAATGAACATAGGGTGTGTTCACACTTAGCAGGTTTAGTTGGATTAAAACGAACCCTGGTGCGATTGCTCTGTTAGTGCGGTTCATTTGAATAAGTGTGAACGCTGCCATCTGAACCCTGGTGCGCACCAAACAAGTGGACTATGACGCTGAAAAGATGGGTCTCGATCCGCTTCCAAATGAACTCTGCTGCAGTTCGAATGTAATATGAACTCAACATGGACCAAAGACCAGTTTTTACTCGTCATAGTCATGATGTTGCCCATCACAGTTCGGCATCAGAACCGCGTCTCCTCACAGCAAATCTGCGTTTGTGTGTGTGACGGAGGGATTTCTGCTACTGTTTTGACTCCTTTACACATTTTATAAGCTCTTCACGAGTTCTCAGCTGGTCAAAATACCATCATATGTAGGCTACGCACATACAGCGAGCGCATTAAGCCCAAAACACAGCATTGTTTTGGAAGTTCGACAAGTCCCGTCGCAAAAGCCATCTTTTTTGTTTTGTATCTTCAGGTTCGGTGTCAAAAATGTCAGTGTGAACGCAACCAGGACTAAATGTATCATTTTCTTTTTTGGTCCGGACCAAGAGGACCAAGGGAACCGAACTACAATTGTGAACACACCCTCACACTGAACTGACTTGACTTGAGTCTAAATACAGCAGCATCATTCATTTCCAGTTAATGTTGTGAAGCTGCTTTGAAACTGTTTCTGTTGTATAAAGCACTTTAAAAATAAAGGTGACTTGACAGATTTGTCAGATCCTCAACAGTGCACTGGGAAAACTGACTCAGAATGCTAGATTACTAGTTAAATGCCCTTTGTTGTCCCAGTGTAGACTTGGCCATGAGCAAAGAAATATGGCAGGTTCACAGCTCAGCTATCTCAGCCACCATCAGCTTTCAATCTTGACCCCAATAATGACCTTCTAAACATGCCCAGACCTCTCATTAGCCTTGATATAGATAAACAATGATATCTCACTATCAAAACAAGCTATGCAAATGCATGTTTAATCAACCAGTGCCAAGAGCAGAGAAGAATGAGACAACGTATCAGAAGGCCACAAGCTGAGACATAACGTTGTCTGGATATTCTGCTGTTTTAAACCCCTGAAGGTTATAAATTACTCTCTTTATACTAACTATCAAATATGAAACACGATATTGGATGGATTAAAATACACAAAGGAATGGGGATAAAAGCTTTAATGCTCTAATGTCCATTTATATTTGAACGGCAAATCTCATAAAGCAAATGGGATGTTATAAACAGAAACGACAACACTTACTCTAACGCCATCATTAATTATGGAAGGTCAGACACTATGAAGTTCATTGTTGTCTAGTCATTCCAACAGTGATTTACCCTTTTAAGTATGAGCAGAAAACTTTGCCAACTTTGTACAATATCAGTAAAGGTTAGGGATTAAAAAAAGAACCAGTTGTAAAACATGGTCCAATTATATTACCTTGTTTTTTTTGCACTTCTATAGCATATTGGTAACACTTTATCTTACAGTGTCCTTGTTACATATGTTACATACTTACCATAATAACAGTAAATTATGCAAAATTACATGAAACTAACCGTCAACCAAACACTACCCTAACCCTATAGTAAGTACATGTTGTTCATTTATAATACTCAGTACTTAAAATATATAATTACACTGTAACAGTGACACCTTTAAATAAAGTGTAACCACATAATACCTTGGTATGCTACTCTTTGAAGTACATGAATATGACAATCATAATCAAGTGCATGGCACTGCCACAGTAGGTATGGATGGTGGCACAAATATATCAAGTAGTGAAGACAAGCACTGCATGCTTAAATCTAAACCTGTCTGGTCTCAAAATGAAACCTGAATAATATCGCGCACGTGCCCTAATTTTCCGGCGCGCGCTCCTAATGAAATTACATTTTTGTGAGTGTTTAGTTTGGAAACCCGAGCTACGGATTCGGAATAAATTATAATTCCCAAACAAATTTTTATTCCAAGTTTGCATGATACAAAGACATTGCACGAGCCAGAGCAAAAGATGAACATGCATTTGTGAACCAATTATGTCTCTAATGCATCAATCAGGGTTTTTGCATTTACCACACCACCAGGCCAATGGACATGATAAGAAGTTAAAATCGTGACTATGTCCCAATAACCTACATTGTGTCTGGCGAACCCACATGACAGGTTTGAGAGCGATCCATCTCCAGCGGTGTCAGTGTTTACATGCACGAACAGTGCCGAATAAATTCACATTAACCTAGATTTTATTGACCGGTTAAAGCACGCGCTATGAGGATGATGCTCTGTGATGGTCCTGAGGGTGCCGTCAGTCACCTGAGGTGTATTAGACTGGTACACTGTTAACCAGTACTTAAAATGTAATACTTTAATTACGGTGCATCTAAAATAAATTGATAAATTGATATGCATTTAATATTTAATGACACTGATCTTGCAAAGCCTATGATCGAGAGCACTTAGGCAGAAAGAACATTTGTGCGCAACAACTAAGACACAAAGCTTCAATACAATGCCAGAAACCTGAAATATAGGGATAATGTAGGCTATTTGTAAATAAATAAATAAATAAAAATAATTATTCTCTATTTAGAACAGTTGAATGGGAAAATATTTAAAGTCTTTTTTAAATTTAAAGCAGAGACCAGGTGTCGTTATTGTACCAAAAAAATGAGTTAGTTTAAAAATTAAATGAAATCTACGCATAAAAATATGCTTCTCAAAGATGCAAATCAAACTGATTTTTTAAACATATATCTTAATAAGAAAAAGACTATGTATCTGCCTTAGACAAAAAATAAACGAGTTCTTGAAACATAAATCAGATGTACACATAAAGATGCGCTTAATCAGCCTCCACTGTCATGATGGCTGCAAGGTGTCACTCACCTGACAATGCAATGTATTGCTCAAGTCTGTCCGAGTCTCTTGTTCTTTTGTCTTCTTTCTTGTGGTGAGGCTACAAAGCAAGGGAAATAATCTTTACGCCCTCTCCCCCCGACTTCTGTCTTATATGGGAGCGCATGTAATAACGGAGAGAGTGGAAAAACACCAGGCTCTCGTGCAACAGGAGTGTTTCTTAAAGAGACAAGCACACGCTCGCTTCACATCGCTCGGCGTCGCGAGCGTCGCGCCATTGGGCGGCAATTATGTTGCTTGGTAATAAGAGTTTACCAGACACCACCAGGGGGCACAGAAAGCTGTAACCTACATCGAGTCTCATTAAAACATCATGTTGTTTTTTTTGTGTCTCAATTTAAACATGCTTAAATCAATTAGCTTGGTTTGGTACCTGACATAATAATGTAAATTATTTCAAGCAATTTCTATAAAATGATTCGCGAAAATCCTCATCCATTTAATCACAAACGACTGTGATTAGTCCATGGTTACCAGCGAAGGAAACTGTAACAGGTATCACGTGACTGCTTAAAGGCTGGTTCAGCAGTGGTGTGTACTACAATTTAATTTACTCCTGAATAATGGTGCTGAAAAACATTACACAATTCACAAAAATATACCCAGTTAAGTCTTAAAAAATAAGATTTAATATTTAGACCTATCCAAACACCAATGCAATGCAAGCTTTTTGACATTAACCCCCGCCCATTTAAGGACTCTTCAAATTGATTGCCTTTCTACGCTCTTATTCATTTCTACATCTCATCGCGAATTTGATCTTGCGCATGCGCATTGTGAATCAGGACGGAGACTGCTGCTTGCGTCACTATACTGGAAAGCAAACAGTCGTGCATGCCGTTCCATCAGATACCTCGATGACTGACACAAACAATAAATCATTTCCCAGGTGTTTTTTTAAAGTTTCAGTCCCATGGTTGTCATGCTAAAGCAAAATCTCCAGATATAGGTATAGGTAGTGCTAAAGTGAGGTCACATAGGGGTCAGTGGCCTTGTGAGGGGATAATCTTTCTAGACTCAAAACTTTGGGATCAACTTAAGAAGAAGAAAAAGAAAGAGGGGGTAGGTGTCCAAACTCTGATATGGCAACAATGCTGAGCTAAACGTGTCTGCCAATCACAGCAAAGCCAAAGGATTGTGATCCATGGTGGTGTTTTTCCATAACGCCAGTGTGCAATGATGCCTTCACATGTCCTCATCTCTCCTTTTATTATATGCTTTAATAAAATCTTACGACAGCATGATCACAATTAAAGGTCACACATTGTCACGGATATCAAGGTCTAGTTTCTGGCATTTGAAAACTGAAGTTGAAGCTACATCACTGCCCTTGCTATAATATAATAAAGAGTTTGCTCATCCAAATTCATGCTTTGACACGTGTGTGAGATTGTCTGCAGACAGATGGTCTGTCCAGGATGTTAGTCAAAGGGTGTGAGCTGCGGGCTGCCGACTCTCGCTGCTTTTATTATTTTTCCCACATACATGCACATTGGTGCTGTACATGCCTTGCATGGTTAAATGTCACTGCACAAATGTAAGCTACATGCTTTTGAAACAATATATCCAATCAATGCGAGAATTTAGTAGCTTATCTCATATACTTGTTGTATGGTCATTTTCTACAGCACATAACTGTATTTTTCTTTATAAAGTGATGTGATATTTAATATAAGACCAACTTAAAATGACATGCATTGCCTTTAAAAAAATACAGGTACTACTGTAAATTCTTGTTGAATGGTCACTTTAATTACACTATAGTGCCAAAAGTTTTGGGACGTCTGCCTTTACATGCACATGCACTTTAAAGGATTGGTTCACCTCAAAATGAAAATTTCCTAATGCCATCCAAGATATCCATGTCTTTCTTTCCTCAGTGGAAGAGAAAATACGTTTTTTGAGGATAACATTTCTGGATTTTTCTTCGAATATTGGACTTCCCGGCGTGTTACAGATCAGCTCAATCCGAACAATTGTAGTTAAAAAGTATTTAGTTTTTTTTGGAAAATGACCTATCGTTTCGCTATAGATAAGACCCTCTTCCTCAGCTGGGATCGTGCAGAGCCGGTTAAAGCACTTCAAAGACCTTTGAAACTGCATTGATTTGGACTTCAAAACGTTGGTTACCCTTGAAGTCCATTATTCGATGAAAAATCCAGAAATGTTTTCCTCAAAAAACTTATTTTCTCTTCCACTGAGGAAAGAAAGACATGAATATCTTGGATGGCATTAGGAAATTTTCATTTTGAGGTGAACTAATCCTTTAATGACATCTCATTTTTAATCCGTAGGGTTTAATATGGAGTTGGCCCACCCTTTGCAGCTATAACAGCTTCAACTCTTCTGGGAAGGCTTTCCACAAGGTTTGGGAGTGTGTTTATGGGAATTTTTGACCATTCTTTGTGAGGTCAGGCACTGATGTTGGACGAGAAGGCCTGGCTGGCAGTCTCCTTTCTAATTTATCCCAAAGGTGTTCTATCGGGTTGAGGTCAGGACTCTGTGCAGGCCAGTCAAGTTCCTCCACACCAAACTCGCTCATCCATGACCTTGCTTTGTGCACTGGTGCGCAGTCATGTTGGAACAGGAAGGGGCCATCCCCAAACTATTCCCACAAAGTTGGGAGCATGAAATTGTCCAAAATGTCTTGGTATGCGGAAGTATTAAGAGTTCCTTTCACTGGAACTAAGGGGCTAAACTCAACCCCTGAAAAACAACCCCACACCATAATCCCCCCTCCACCAAACTTTACACTTGGCACAATGCAGTCAGGCAAGTCCCGTTCTCCTGGCAACCGCCAAACCCAGACTCTTCCATCGGATTGCCAGACAGAGAAGTGTGATTCGTCACTCCAGAGAACACGTCTCCACTGCTATAGAGTCCAGCGACGGTGTGCTTTACCCCCATCCAACGCTTTACACACACTGCATCCGATGCTTTGCATTGCACTTGGTGATGTAAGGCTTGGATGCAGCTGCTCGGCAATGGAAACCCATTCCATGAAGCGCTCTACGCACTGTTCTTGAGCTAATCTGAAGGCGACGCAAAGTTTGGAGGTCTGTAGCTATTGACTCTGCAGAAAGTTGGCGACTTCTGCTCATGGAATATGTTATTCTGCTATATTTATAGAAATTCCAATACATGGAATCATTCCAATGTATGGAAATATAGTGTATATACATGTATAAAATAGCAAACTATATCATATTTGATATTTGTACTCCATATTTAAATGATATGATAATTTTTTATTTTTAATGTATTAAAAAGGCATGCATTTCCTTTTGAAATACACATTTTCATTGTAAATACTTGAATGGTCAGATTATGATTATACAGCTTAGCTTATATATTTCATATTTAAATTATATCATGCATCAACCAGCTTACAATGACATGCATTGTCTTTTAAAATATATATGTCTACTGTAATAACTAACATAGGTTGTTGAATGGTCAAAATACACTGATTTTATATAGCTTGTATTCATATTTAAATCATATTAGTATTTCAACCAACTTAAAATCAATGACATGCACTGCCTTTTTTAAATGCATATTTTCACTGGTAAGGTAACTTAGTTAACCAATTATCATCATGTTTATAGTTGTATTTTATATTCTTTTTCCAATAAACTTTTTAAAGCATGCGTCTATGCAATTAAAAACTAATGCAAAATTTGCTCAAACAATATTTTCAATTTAGATCTCCATAATGCTAATGCCCATCAAGACATCAGTACAGAAAAACGCAGAGGATCTTATTACGATATGAATATTTGTTTAGTTTCTGAAATCCCCTTTCACTTTTATGTTCTTATATGATGTTAAAGTTGACTTTAATGTAATTATTTCTCATTTTCTTAATTATGTCCATGTGAGGCACTTTGAATACCCGCATTAAGACAATGTTGAAGTCAACAAAAATTCTAACAGTTCCCATTTGAGTGCTTCTCTGTGTGCGTGTCTGTGTACCGTGTTGCCAGGTTTCCTCGCTGGTCTCTGGAGCCTCTGCTCACCCAGGAGGAGATTAAAGAGCGAGGCAATGGAACAGGTTGTTTTTTATCCATGCCAAAATAATACCTGTAAATCAGCTCAGCTCCAGAGTGCTGAGTCCAGCTATTTGGTGCTCTAAAGGGTTGTGTAATGCTGACATTTCCATGTGATGAGATCTCTTGTGCAGCGTTTGCTTGCATTTAATTGAATTATAAGCAGCGGTTTACAAAGCGCTTATTGATACTTGTTAATTATTCATGTTGTCATTAGTTGTGCATTTTATTCCCAGTGTCATGTGGCTGCATGGATTTGCTTTAGTCATTTCGATAAAGAGATTTTTTGTGAAGTGTTTGAGCTCTACTTTTACTGACATGTGAAGCAGGTGGACTATGGGAAGAGTCATGTGGTGCCACAGTAAGCCTCTTTCAGTCTCACATGCACTGTTTGTGTCACAGGGCAGCTGGGGGATACTGAAAGATTTCATTCACATGCTGACACACACAAACCACCAATTCGCCAAAACGTCCCGAATTGCCATGAGATTGTGTTCCCTCCTAGAAGAAAAGGCTCTGAACCTTGCAGGGTTCAGTCAGGGGCTTCATTGAACCTTTTAGGGGTTCCCATCATTGAATCATTTTATGGATTAAATCATTAATTTTGATTTAATTCATTTTTTTATTTTTATCAAATTTGATAAATTAAACAGCTCGCAAACATAATTTCTCACTGTTGAAACATAAAAATATTATGTAAAGCGGTTCCTATTGTACCCTTTTTCAAAGTCTTAATTTTGTTTTTGGGCGCTACTATAGGCTTTCATGCTTGAAAGTTCAAAAAACACATTATTTTAGTCAATCATCTTGTCCCAGTTAAAATCCTCCACATTCAATTCAATTTAATTTCCTACCGTTTCGTAGAGAAATGTAGTAGTCTAGCACATTGATCTGGCAGTCGTGGGTCTTATGCGGAGAACTCTCCTCATGAGTTTTCAATTTGCATAATGAATATGATGCATTTAAAAGTTAATTGCCAAATGTATCTTTACAAAAGTACATGGTGGATAACATTTAATAAATATCTTTTCGTCAGGTTAGATACTGATTCTTAATCCCCTTTATCTAAACCTCTCTACATCGGACTCGCACATGATCCGCCA